TCGGGTGTTTCCGGAAAGTCGACTCCGCCAAAGAAAAATAGTTCCTTAAGACTGCCGCGCATGCGCACATTACTTTTATAGGTAAGTAAGCATTTATTGTTATCGACGTAAGCTACTTAAAATCAAATTTGGCGGTTTTTCTTCAATTATTTTATATCGAACTGCGCATTGATACATCTATCAATAACTGCTCATTTGGCTCCAAATAGCTAAAAAATTACATTGCAGATTTATTGTGCATTAATAATTTTATATCGCTTTTATATTGTTGTGCAAAATCGTTGTTTTTATTAAAACTTGAACAGTTTTATTAACATTTGTGTTTGTGTATTTTTAGTGTTGGTGTTTTTATTCGTTCATTTGTGTTTGTTGTTCTGTGTTTTGTTGTTAATCATAATTCATTTATATCGTGTTTGTAGTTCTACTTTATATATTGATAGTATTCTAATTTTTTTTTTTTTCCCAACATGAGCCGGGGACGTGGACAGGTAACACCGAAGAAACCGAGGAAGCTGAAAAGGTGGTCCCATTTACACGACGGATAAAAGAGGAAGATCCTTCAATTCCCAATTCAAGCTGCAATTTGCAATCTATATGAAGCCTTGGAGAAAGAACGTGAAATTGGAGAACTTCTAGTTCCATTAAGCAATGTCAGGTAATCATGTATCATTTTTTTTCTTTTCATAGAAATCGAAGTTAAATCATTCAGTGTTAGCATGCCATTTAGTCATCACTGATAGTATTTTTTTTAAATTACAGACAAAGAGTTGCCACATATCTAAATATTTCTTTAGATAGTGTGACGAAATACGTAGCCATTGGTGAATCTGGTCAACCCTTTTCTACACCAGGGAAAATTCGACCTCATCCAGCACCCAATTCGTGATGCACCAGAAGAAGTAAGAATGATATTGTAATCTCATTTACCAAATTTACCAGCAACGAAGGAATGTAACAGTGGAGGAATTAGTACGTTTAATTAGGTAAGTTTGCACCCTGTTTTAGCATGATTTTCTCGTTCTTTTTACATTTTTCATGCTTCGACTACTATATTGCTTATATGCTATTGCTAGACATGTTTATTCTTTCTTTTCTTTTTCCTTCTGCTTTTTCTAATAGAGATAAGAAGATTGCATATAATGGTGGCAAGGAAACGTTACGAAAGATCTTGCATGATAAAGGATTTTCGTATGAGAAAAGAGATGGCAAGCGTTATGTTATTGAACAACCATACATTGTATTCAAACGATTAAAATTCCTCACAGAGTATAGGGAGAATTTGCAAAGTTGCAACAAACGCGAGGTCGTATTTTGGATGAAACGTGGACATTCCAGATGGGAACTGGAAAAACCAAAGATTGGCAGTGCGAGGATTTCCGCAGCTGTTCAATAAAGAGTGCTGGAACAGGTTCCCGATATTTAATCTGCCATGCAGGAGGAGAAAATGGCTTCATTGAAGGCGCTTCATTATTTTTAAATACAAAAAAGAAGCCGAAGGATGGTGATGGACTATCATGGAGACATGGATGCTGCCATGTTCGAGAAATGTTCTCTGAGCAACTATTGCCCAACTTGAAGAAACCGTCCTTGATAATTATGGATAACGCATCGTATCACAATAAAATGGTATGTATTATCGTTGCAAAACCTCGCTTACTTTTGTTATTTCGTTGTACTTATCATTTTATATAAATAGTTTTAATGATTTCTTATTTTGTTACATTTTACAATCAACAGTTTATTAAAATCAGTGTAATCATTATTATTCCAGATTAATCCACAACCTACGACTAATTGGAAGAAGAAGAATTTGATGGCATGGCTAAAAGAACGCAGCATTCCTTATAATGAGCATGATACCAATGCTGTACTACTCCGAAAGTGTCAGGCCCACAAAGAAAAAATCCGGTACAAAATTGATCAACTCGTGGAAAATACTCAGCACAAAATTCTTCGTTTGCCTCCCTATCATTGCTGCTACAATCCCATCGAGTTGGTTTGGGGAATCACTAAAAGATACCTGGATAAACATATTGGTCGTGATAATGATTTCTCCGAGGGTAATTTGTCTACAATCTGGAAAGAGGCCTTGGCTGTTGTTGATGCAGAAATGTGGAGTAAATGCTGTAAAAAAGTGGAAACGGAAATTTTAAAGGATGCTCTCAACAATTGGATAATCCAAAGGTAAAAAAATTAAATAATGGATCTAAAAATGGATATAAATGTTAATTTAATACTGACTTTTATTATTTGTTCAGTTTATAGAAGAAGTGAATAGCAGAAATAAGAAAATTAAAGAAGAGGATCTGTTGACACGGATGATGATGATGAAGATGAATGGGAAGATGTACCGGATGAAGAAACGAAGTCTCAAGATGTTCATGAAATGGATGTAGTACCAGAGCTTCGTGAGATGGAAATAGCTTCACAAGAAACACCCAAACTCGAGAAACAGTCATCAGCTGTATCAAGCATCCTTTCTTGTAAAAATCTCTTTTTAATGACTTTGACGAAGAAACGGTAAGTTCTATTTTACTATATTTTATGGTTATTATATTTTTTTTCTATTAAATTTTTAGATGGATGAACCATGTTCACCACCTCTTCCAAAGATCTCACAAGAGGAAACTGATACTGCTGCAAATGCCATTGCTGATGAATTGTATTCAATATCAACATCACCTCTTGATGACTATAAGGTAATTTATTCTTTTCTCCCTGATGGATTCATGTCAATTGTTAAATGAGAGTTGCAATTAGGTTCATAGTAAACGTAGCGTTTACTTCAAGTCATTTAAGGGTAACTTTACCTTAAAATAACTATAAATCAACCGTTAGAACATTACTAAGAAGCTGAAGTAGCTCTTTAATTATATTTGTCATGACTCAGTACTGTTATTTCATGTAATCTAATTGTATTTTATTGTTTCAGGACTGTTTGGGGCCAGACGATACACTCATACACACGAAGGTCAAGATGTCGGTGTATGTACGAGATTTGAAGACTCTCTATCCTCCTGAGTGGTTAAATGACCAGGTGAGTATTACCAATTCTTTATCATCGTAAATTATTATTATGCATGCTTTTAATTCACTTTTTGTACAGATTATCAATGTTTATTTGGAGATGATAGCAGAAAGGGGGGCACCTTCTATCTACGCCTGTAACACTTTCTTCTTCCAGCAGCTGATGCTTAGAGGATATGAAGGAGTTCAATCATGGACGAGAAAGGTATGCTTTTTATACTCATAAACATTTTATCAAACATTTTCATTATTGCTTTTATCACATTCATTTTATTTTCAATAGGTTCGAATATTCTCCAAGAGATTGATGATGATTCCCATTCATCTAGGTGCTCATTGGTGTTTGACAGTGATTAATTTTGAAAATAAGTCCATCACTTATTATGACAGCCTTTATAGAAGAAATGAAGCATGTCTTTTGTGAGTATTTAATAAATTCAATCATGGAAACAATAATTGTATATTACCAACAAATGTCTATAGATGTTTATAAATGTAATTTTTTTCTCAGACTATCATGGATTACTTATGCAGAGAGCACGAAGCAGTTGAAGGGCAACCTCTTGATCAAACTACATGGACGATGAACCATGCCAAGGTAAGTTTGCTATGAATTATTGAGGCACACTGTCATCCCATATTATAAATCATCATTACTTCATTTTTTCAGGGAATTCCAAGGCAATCAAATGGTTACGACTGTGGGGTATTCGTTTGTGCTTATGCTGAGCACATTTCAAGAGATGAACCGTTCAACTTTACGCAAAGTGACATGAGGCAAATTCGGGGTCAAATGTTGGATGAAATCATCACCAACAAGATGTACTTTCCGGTATTGAAGCGTCACAAACAAGAGGATTGAGCTACGAGTTAGATAATACATCTTGAGAAACCGGTAAGAATCATAACAGCATGCTTATCTAATATTATAATACCAAATTAAAATATTCATCATAAATTTTATTATTTTTCAGGTGAAACGGATATTGCAGTGATGAGGATGGTACAGAAGATGGTGTCAGTATTAAACATGTGATGTATGTGAAATCGAAACCTTAGAAGCTAAGTATATTTTTTAAATGAAATATTCTGTAAGAGTTAATATTAAGTTTACCGAAAATGAATGAAATTGATTTTTGTCATTGGTGTTTTCAGGGAAGATCGTACGAGGTTTTACGGTGCTGAAAGAATATCTGCTTTGAATTATTTTCATTCTCAAGAGATTATTTGCAGAGATTTGCATCTGAAAAATCTTTTGCTGGACAAAGATGGTTATATTGAAATCGCTGATTTTGGACTATGTCAAGAAGACATAACTTATGGTGAGTTGTTTCCTGTTTTATTTTATTTATTTTTTTGGTTCTTTCTATCTGAAATACTTTGAATAATTATTTCTATAACTTGAAATGATAACTATGTTTTTATAATAGATCTTACACTATGTGTTTATTAGGATCAAAATTGTTTCTTAAACCACATGATTAGCAAGAATAATTCCAATGAAGTATTGAATTTAATTTCGATATTTTGTCTTTGATTTTAAATTGATTGAACATTTAATTTCTTTTTAATGCATTTTATTTTTCTTGAATAGTTTCTACTTTTCATTAGGAGAGATTATTTGTTATCAATTTATTGATTATTTAATTAATAATTTTTCGAATATTCAGGACGATCAACAAAGATATTCTACAGTAAACCAGAATATTAAGCTTCAGAAGTTCTAGAGGATAACGATTATGGAGGTGCTGTTGATTGGTGGAGTATTGGTGTTGTGATGTATAAAAAGATATACAGTGGTCTTCCATTTCATAATTGAAATGATCATGAGAAATTATTACTTTAATTTTTCTCGAAGAAATAAAATTCCCAAGAGCAATATCTAATGAAGCTATAGATTTACTTGGAGGTAAATTATTTGAATTGATATTTATCATGAAATCTGTTATTATCATAAATATTTTAATCATTTCATTTCTTTAATTCATTCTTTCAATAAGAGCAAAAAATGGAAAAAAGATCATTGAGTAACGTAATAGAGTTTCGTACTTTTGTTTAATGTTTGTAATAAATTTTTCTTTCTTACTTCATTACATTATAATTTTTTAAAAACAAATTATGTTAGTATTTTTTCTTATACTTTGAACGCACATAAAGCAAATCATAAAGAAACTAATCGATGGGGATTAAATCTGCAGAAAAGAGATAAAACAAAAAATAGTTTAAACAGTCAAAAAATTTCAGTAATTGAAAAAAAACATTCCATACTCATTTCAATAAATAAAAAAATTATTTTTCAGAAAAAGAAAGCTAAGGAGTTGAAAAATCTCAATGAAAATGTTTCGAATGGATTGGATCCTTTCGATGATAATGATGATGCCAAATTAAAAGAAGTAGCTCGAAAATTTGAAGCTAAATATGTACGGTTGAAACTTTGAATTATATTATTTGTTTTATTTATCTATTTATTAAATTATATTAATATAATGTGTCATTAGGGACCAACTCAATGACCGGAAAGAAAAAGAAAAAATATGACGAAGTTGATCTTGGAGCAGGATATGATGAGAATGATCCCTTTATAGATAATACAGACGCGGTGAGTACATTAGTAACAAATATTAATTAAACTTATTATAAATATTAACAATTGTTTAATTAATTTACTCGAATAGTATGATGAAGTTGTTCCTGAAGGAGTAAATACTGCTTACGGAGGTTTTTATATTAACAGTGGACCTTTAGAATTTAGTGTCAAAGAAACAAATCAAAGCGAAAGTAGTGATGATGATGAAGAAGATAGTCCAGATTCTAAACGAAGAGAAAGAGATCTTGACACATCAGATGATGATGATACTGAAGAAGTTCTCAACGGACCAATAACCAAGGTAAATAAATAAATATTAAAACAACTTAACATTAATACTTATTATAATATCACCATTTTTACAGAAATTAAAATTAGATGATAACTGTGAAAAGAATCTGTTTATGATAATGGGGTAAAACGGAAGAAAAAAAATCATGATCATTCACATGGTGATAACTCAATTAGGCAAAAAATGACAGTATGGAAGTAGACAATAGTTTTATAGAAAATCAAGAAGAGAGAAAGAGGCTGCAATGTGATGCATCTAGATCAAAAGAAAAAAAATTAGCGAAAAAAATATTACAAATGGCACTGAAGAAAAGAAGGTTGAATCAAAAAATGTTCCGGTAAAGATAATAATATAGATGATGCTATTGAAGTGTTGTGAATGATGGTAAACTTGATGATGAATCTAGCCGAGACACAATAGATTCTGGTAAATCACGATGCACAGCTGGGACATCATCGGAATGTGAAGATGCTGAAAAAATTGATATTCGTTTACCAGATAATCTTCCAGAAGATGTAAAAGAAATTATTACAAAGCTTAAAAAGCATGCTGAAAATAGTAAAGAAGGAAAAATAAAATTTTTTGGTACTTCTGTTAATGATACATTGTTAAGGTAATCACTTGTTTTAATTATTATTTAGTAAATAACCAATGGAATATTTAATAATATATATTTAATAATAAATAAACAATTGATGGATTTCAGCTTAGAAAAAAAATTACGCGCTACAGAGTCATCAACAATAAGGTCGCAGGTTTACGGCCACTTAGCGCATTTCTTATCTTGTAGTAAAATTACGCTAGTAGTCGTGCTAGAAAGCTTGTCTTCAAGATGCTGAAACAAGAGTTAAAGAACCTGTTCAAAGGTATATGTAATAAATCAATTATAATGATATTTATTTTGGACATGAAATATGTATTGTTGCAGGTTAAAAACGATAATAGATCGAATCGTATCGTCGCAAAGGGATGAAGAAAATAAGAAAATAGCCGATGAAAAGTGAGTAATAAAAAAATTCCGTGATAACTATACTAACCTACTAATCTTAAAAATTGAGTAGAAAATTAAAAATTATAAGTTTCATGAGATAGGCAGCACAGTTGTTGGCAAAATATCAATTTTCGACGTTCTTAATGATAAATCAATGAATAGAATACGTGCCAGAAAGTGTATTTGACATGTCAATTACTGTAAAGCTATATTAGATTTAAAAAATATTAAATATCTGACTTTTAGTGTTTTGGTCTCATATTTAATTGACTATGAAAAATAGTCATTTTTTTTATTTCTTAGCCCACTTTTATATCGGGAGATATATCGGTACTGTGGGTAAGATGCCCTCAAATAATTTACTTAATTTTATTTATTCCATATACATTTTCAATGATTTACGTAATTTAAATACCTTCATTTGATAAAAATGTTCTTTCAATTTTTGGAATCAAGTTCGCTTATTTACTGACATTGAGATCAATTTTTAATACAATCCAAAGCACTACAACTCCAACGTTTGATCGATTTTCATCTGATTAAATGTAATGTTATTTTTTCAGGCTTATTGAAGAAAGGTATTATAAACGATTAGGTGGAGGTCCAAATGACAGTAAAGACATAATGAAGTTGCGATTATGATGATTATAATTATCTCACTACAATATTATAAATATATTTATATTTTAACAATTAAAAGAATTATCGAGAAAATTTCTCTTAATATTTGTGGTTTTTATTCAAGTTATCTGATTAACCCTATATTCTTATTATAAATATACATTAATAATAAAAAAGCTATTTGATAAATCAAACATGTGCTTTTTTATATTCACCGCGCGGCGTAGTAATACAAGATCCAGCTAGGCGCATGCGCTTATTATTTTAGTTATGGTGGGGGTACTTCGCCCGAAAAAACCCGAAGACGACTCTTTCTCTGGTCCAACCATATGACGTGGGATTTTTTAATATTGTATTTTTTAGTAAAAAAAAAAACGAAAAAAACAACATTTTAATCCTTGAAGAAATGAGCGGCAAAGAAAGATGAAATAGATTTCTAAATTTTCAAAATATTTCATACAAATTATTAGAGCGAATTACCAGCTTTATTATCTTGCGCATGACCATTACAATATAAATAAAATTTGAGGAGAGATGGAATTCCTCGTGCAAATTCCGATACCAACATGCCTGTGTTGGTTCTTGCTTTAGTTATATACTAATAAATAGTTTATATTGAAAATTTTGTAACACTTTACATAGTTTTTAAAGTACATCTATTGTGTATTAATGTAATTTGATTTAATGAATAAATGTCACTTCTGTGATATTAAAATATTTTAAACCGAAGTTTGCACCTACAAAGTGTTACTGTTGATTCATATCAAATTGCCGAATACAGAGTATGATTAAAAGTAAGTATTTTTAAATGAATATTGATTTGAAAGAAGCAACAGAATAAACATCATACTGTCTTTTATTTATTTTTGCATCATAGTTGTTAAATTAAAGACTGTTACATAAAATTTATGCTTTCACAAATTTTATTTTGAGGTTATTTCACTAGTTTTACCAAAAATAATAGAAATGAATTTTGTTTGTGTCAATTAGTTCTCAACTTTTCTCAACTTCGATATCAATCAACTGCTAATTTAGCTATTTTGCCACAACAATTAAAATGTAAACGAGGATCTAAAAAATATGCAGCACTTTCAGAAGGTAAAACTATAACATGTGATGTTGAAAATTGCAATTGTTATGCAATTTACACTATAAGAGTTTTCTATATTTTTTGATAGCCAATCAATCGGATATTACTTTGAATAAGTTGCAAAAAATTAAACAAACAAATGGCATGAAAGTAAGGTCATACTATAAATTAAATGATTCTAGAGACCTAAGTAATGATAGAAGAATATCTAGTCAGGTAAAATAATGATGAAACATCTAATGTTATAACATGATATAAATGATGTATGTGAGATTAAATTAAACCATTGTTCCAGAGTATTGATAATATACATCGTTTGTATACAAACCAATCTCCAGATGAAAGAGTGAAGTTAGATCCTACGGCAATGATTGAAGATTTGCATTCTTCCGGGGTTTCTGATCCTGCTTCTATTATTAAAAGTACTTCTTTATTGAATTCGTTTTCAACAGAGACTTTAAAGAAAGAGTTAGAAGAAGATGACGAAGAAGAAGAATTGGAGACGTCAAAAAAGAAAAGGTGGATAAATAAATAATCGGAGTTATAGAAGAAAGGTGATGAAGTTATTTTAAAACAATTATTAAACTTTATATTTTATTTCAGAAAATTGGCAGAAAGTGCAAAAAAAAGAAAAGGTCCAGGCTTGAAAAATCAACCGAAAATAAATAATTTACAAATACAAGCCCATAAAGAAAGTTTAACACGAACTTTATATGCGTATTTACGTGTCTGTATTGTTGGCGGTATGATTGGTCGTGCCTATCATACTGTTATGTATTACAGAAAAAGATTAAATGCAAAACCTTTCTCTGTTGTGATTAAAGATATTACGCTTTACGATATTTTACTTCAAGCTTACGCTTCTCGAGGGAATTTAAAGAAAGTGAAAGAATTACTAGAAATCATTAAACAAGATCAATTAGAAATGACGGTTAATACATATGCAGCTATCTTTGAATGCTTTGGCATTATTAATAATCCATCAAGAGAAAAAAGTGAGTTTTTTAATCATTTATTTATTATATTATTTGATATTAAATATTAATAAATTACCATTTTTTATAGAATTTTTATCAAAAATACATGCAAATATGCTGAAACAGAATATCACCTTTGATGATATTTTAATCAACTCTAGATTTAAATTGAATCAATACAGTAATGTGTTGAAAGGCATTGCAGTATTAGAACCATCATTTAAATCTAAACCAATTGTTAAAGATGAATCTTATAACTGCCATCTTTTAAATCAAATAGTATCACATAAGAAGCAACAAGAAATTTCTGCGGAGAATCGGTCAATATTATATAATTTAAAAGATAGTTTCAAAAGACAACTAGCCAATGAAATTCATGGAAGTATCGATATTAAAAGTATTGAAAAAATAGATCAATCGAAAATTATTGATCATTATGTACGTATCAAATTTTTTTTTTATTAAATGTAAATCAAGTTAATGCAGAGAAATCAAATCTTAATATTTAAGATTATAATTTTAGAAAAAAGAAGTTCAAAGGCTCGAATCACAATGGAGGAAAACAATTTCTGAAGCATTTGATCGAGATTTAAAGGCATTAAAAAATCGTGAACATAAACCCATTCCTAATTCCATGGTATTATACCCGTGCTTAAGTATTCTAGACAAAGAGGAATACATTACTGCAACATTGTTGGAAATACGTAAATTAGCTACTGGATCCGAGAATTATAGTCCTTCTCTCTCAACTCTTTGTAGAAGATTAGGAAAATACATCAATGATAAATATGAAGTAAGTGAAAATATTTGCATCAATTGGAGACTTTTGAAAGACTAATAAAAAATTGAAAAGAGTTTTTAAAGTTATACTTGAAAGATATATTTTTATTTCATTTTAGTTAGTTGAAAAACAGAATGTTGGCTACGTTAATGTTTTGGAAAAAGTATATGAAAAGTATTATAATTGGTACATAAATGGTCAAAATGATTCAAATAACCGAACAGCATGGCAACGATTGTCAGATCAATTATCTCCTCATTTCTCTCTGGAATATGAATCAGTTCAATGGCCTTCAAATTTACAAATTTCAGTGGGTAAATTTTTATATGACATAATTTTAAAAGACATCAAAGTTGAGGCAAATTCTTTAAAAACTGGACATGGATCAAAACGGATTTTCCCTGCGTTTTATTCTATATACAGATACAATAATTCTAAACATTTGGTAGAAGAGATAAAACCTCATCCTGTACTTTCTAAAATATACCGTGAATCAAAGCCAGAGACGTTAACTTTTGAAACAACACTGACTCCATCAGAATGCCCACCTAGGCCATGGTCATCTATTGATAATGGTGGATATTTATTATTAAAAACAGATTTCGTTAGATTGCCTTTGTTCGTTTCAGAACAAATGAAGCGGCTAGTCAATACAGAGCCTAAAAATTTATGGCCTTCATTGGACTGTCTCAATCAACTTGCATCTATACCTTGGAAGGTAAATAAGCCAATTCTTGATATAGCAATTGATGTATTTCGTAATGGTGGTTGTGATCAACTAACTGTTCCTCGACCACCATCAATTCTTTCTCCACCACCTTTATTACGCCTCAATTCGACAGAAGCTGATCGAAAGGTCGTTATAAAAGCTCGATTAGAATACAAACGAAGAAAAAATGAAATGTTTTCTTTATGGTGTGATACACTTTATAGATTGTCATTAGCAAATCATTTTAGAGATAAAATATTTTGGCTTCCTCATAACATGGACTTTCGAGGACGAGTTTATCCTGTGCCTCCTCATCTTAATCATCTGGGTGCTGATTTAGCGCGTTCACTATTGATTTTCGCGATGGGGAAACCTTTAGGTCCAAATGGTTTAAATTGGCTGAAAATTCATGCTATCAACTTAACTGGATTAAAAAAAAGAAACTCGATAGAAGACAGATTAAAATATGCAAATGAAATATTGGATGACATTATAGATAGTGCAGAAAAACCAATGACCGGACGTATGTGGTGGAAACAGTCTGAAGAACCCTGGCAGACACTTGCTACTTGTAAGGAAATAGCTGCAGCACTGAAAACCCCTAATCCTGAAGAATATATTTGCAATTTTCCAATTCATCAAGATGGCAGTTGCAATGGCTTACAGCATTATGCAGCATTAGGACGAGATCAAATTGGTGCTGAAAGTGTTAACTTGTATCCTAGTGATAAACCTCAGGACGTTTACACTGATGTTGTGGCCAAGGTTGAAGAACTTAGACGTAAAGATGCAGAAAGTGGAGTAGAGATTGCAAAAGTATTAGAAAATTTTGTAAAACGTAAAATTATTAAGCAAACAGTTATGACAACTGTTTATGGTGTTACAAAGTTTGGTGCTCGGCTACAAATAGCTCGACAATTGAAAGATTTAGATGATTTTCCTCAAGAATACGTATGGATTGGTAGCTTATATCTTGCACAAAAAACCTTTGAAAGTTTAAGGACAATGTTTGAGAGTGCAAAGAAAATCCAAGATTGGTTCACTGAGTGTGCAAAAATTATCTCGAAAAATAAGGCACAAAACATAGAATGGGTCACTCCACTGGGATTACCTATTGTTCAACCTTACAGCAGAACAATTCCTGCTAAAACATCATTCAAAGATTCATGTATTGATGCTATTCAGTAAGTACTATTACGTTAAATTTTATTCCTTCCTTTATTATGTTTAAGTATTCATTTTAGAATATTTATATAATTAATTTTTTTTTTTTCATAGAAAACCCAATACTTCAAAACAAAAAAATGCATTTGCTCCAAATTTTATTCATTCTTTGGACTCGTGTCATATGATGTTAACAAGTATTCATTGTGAACATGAAGGAATCACTTTTGTATCCGTTCATGATTGTTTTTGGACACATCCATGTTCTGTAGAAATCATGAATAAGGTAATGACGAAAAATTGAATAAAAATTATACAAATATTATTTTCAATTTTGTTTACAGATATGTAGACAGCAATTCGTGGCTCTTCATTCAGAACCAATACTTGAAAATTTATCGGAATTTTTTGTTAAAAAATATATTGATAATATAGAGTAAGTAATTTTTTCATTGACAGTCACTTAATATTATAAATTATTCTAAAATTTTATTAACCAAATATTTTTTACTATTTTTTTAGAGAACTAGATAGTGATAATGATGATGAAGATTTGGAAAAGATTCTCACTGAAAGAAAATTGTATCAAATTTTAACGAGTGTCCCAAAGAAAGGAACCTTTCAATTGGAAAAAGTTTTAGAATCTACGTACTTCTTTAGTTAGTATTTTTATATTAAAAAACAGATTTACATCAAATTTTTATTTATGTAAAAAAATAATCTCAGATTATTTATTATAATAAGACATTGTAATATTGTTATAATTAATAAATTTTTTAACAATTAATAAACAGCAATCCCATCATTGTTGTTGTAGTATATATCTCGAATACTTGGAAAATTTCTCCAATCTCTATATACAGAGATTGGAGAAATTTTCCAAGTATAGAGACATATAGAGAAATTTAAATAAATTTGACAATTGATACGAAACAAATAGACGCATGCGCAATATCAAGAATAGCAAGAGGGTCAATCTCCATTTGAGGCGTCTTTGAAGATCCGAGGTTACCTGAATGATAGCCTTACATAGTTGAATTTTATTTATATTTTTTGGAGTACATAATCATTGGCCACAAATTCAATGGCGAATTTTGAAAAATTGTGTATAAATTTCAAATAATTAAACAATTTATATTGTTCTTTGGTATGGAACTTTTCATTATAATGTGCATTATTTTTTTACTGTCAATAATCTACGGATTCTAGATTACTTCATTGTTTAGTTGTTTAACTAAAAAATAGTGGACAAAAGTCACGAATTTGACATAAATATCGTTTTGTGTAATCAACCGTTTAAATTTTCAGCATTATACTACTAATTACTTCTCTGTACAAAAATACTCTTTGTTCCATAAAAAGCATCAATTTATGACATAATAAATTACTATTCAATATACTCATACAGTATAAAAAAATACAAAACAATTCTAATATCATTTTCAATATTTTTAATTTTATTTTTTTCTTGTTTACTGTGATTTGAATTTCAAGTAATTATTATTGCATTTCAGAAATGCAGTTCGATAAATGAATAAAAAACAATGGCAAGAAATAATACAAAGCTGTCTCAAACACATTGTACTCTGAAATAAAAAACATCAAACTTATTCAAGAGCCAAAAGAAAGAGTAAACAATGGATGACAGTTAAATACAATAAGGAATTAGCAAAAAATAGTCAATTGTAAGAAATTAAAGGAATGCTAGTAAGAAAAAAATGAAAAGTGTTCTTCTGGCTATTGGTCTTCTTTTTGTTCGTGAGTTAAACAATACTTTCTATTCAATACATAATACTATTTTAAATCAATTCAAATGTTATAAATAACTCTTTCAGGTGGACGGTGTAGCAATAATGAAAATAAAGATCTTGACATTGATCTTCATCCGCTTGATCGTGGACCATATTTCGATACATCAGCATCTCATAATGTCACGGCATTAGTTGGTAAATCGGCAATACTTCGATGTCGTGTACACAATTTAGGAGACCGTACGGTAAGTTAATAATAGCTATTTTATGCTACTTTATAAAATAAATGTTTACAGTATTATAATTATTTCTATTTCATGATTTTAGGTCTCATGGATACGACACCGAGACATACACCTACTGACAGTAGGTATCGATACGTATACATCAGATCAAAGATTCGTTGCATCACATTTTCCTAGAACAGAAGAATGGACACTTGAAGTTAAATATCCACAGCCTCGTGATACTGGAATTTATGAGTGTCAGGTATCAACAACTCCACCCATTGGCTATTCAATGCATTTGTCTGTCGTAGGTTTGTATTAAAAATCTAGAAAATAATTCAAAGATTGATGAGCGATTTAAAAAACCCATTATTTGTGTTTTAAAAAATAATTAGAACCAGTGACAACAGTAATTGGAGAGCCAGAGATGTATATAAATAAAGGTAGTACAATGAATCTAACATGTGTAGTGAGACATAGTCCTGAACCACCACCAGCTATCTATTGGACACATAACAATGAAGTAATTATAATCTTTTTTCATTTATGAGATGTTAAAATGTTCAGCATATAATTATTACATTATCCACTTTTCAGGAGATTAATTATGATAGTCCTAGAGGGGGAGTGTCTGTAATTACAGAAAAGGGTGAGATTACCACATCATACCTTCTTGTTCAACGTGCTCAACCTACTGACAGTGGAAGTTATACATGCCACCCAAGTAATGCGAATGATAAAAGCGTCATTGTTCATGTTCTAAATGGTACTTTTATAAACATTTTTTCTCATAAATGAATAAATATAAATCATTTTATATAAGCTTTTTTATTAATAGGTGAGCATCCAGCTGCTATGCAACATGGTGGTCAACTGAAATTAGCTAATCCACCGTTCGTTATTCTTCTAGCAAGTATATTAACTATAATCCATTTTTATGGTTAAAATTTAAATAAAAATTTTAAAAAGTAATTATGTAAAAGCATTAACATCAAAAAAATTTATTATTTAACAGTCATATGACTCTATTTTTTTGTTACTTATTATTCTAAAATTAAGTCAAATAAAACCAGAAATAAACTCCGAAGTAGAATAAACGTTGCAAATGTGAGTTGTCTATAGAAATTTTCTAGCATGAAATATTCACAAAAGCTAAACCTTCTTGCATTGAAACGTCTATTCTATTTGTACAGAGTTCCATGATAAAGTATGAATCGTTCGTCGATTTACTGCCACTCTTTTTGTCAAAATGATTTTAGTAATTTTACAAATGTAATTAAATGGATTATATAAAATTATAATAACATAATTTGTTGTAAAATTTTTTTTAAAATAGTTTTTAGAGTTATTAATAATAACATACTTTATCGAATGAAAAACAAGAATATAATCTGTTCTCTGCGTAGTTTCGGTAATGATAGTTAACAAAGTTAAATCAACATAAAGAGAATAATAAACATAGGAATAATACAAAACTAAGTCATCAAGATAAAAGAAAAACACTATCGACTATTGAGGAGTTTATAAGACATCGAATTCAAGTAGATAAATTACTGAAGAAGCAAGTAGTTAAGAACTCAACATTCATACACTCGAAAAAATACTCTTCAAACAATAAAATATAATCTTCGATTGGAATATATAACTGATCATGATCGTGAATCATTCAGGCTTACAATGAAATCGATGGTTAAACCAAGACTAATTATATTATTTTATCAAGAATAAATTTAAATATTATTATTGATAAGAACAGCTGGTATTCCAAATATTTACATTTATAATTTTCTAAAAAAATTGCAATTATTCTTAGTAAACATGATAGATAAACTAGAAAAAAATATGATAAGCTTGTTAGTATTGCAGAAACTAGGCTTATTACGTTGAATTTTACCTTCTGTAAGATAAGGGTTGGGCATTTAGCATAAAAGTCGTATACGATAAGGGAAGAGGTCATCGTGTAGATTGATTTCATATTGTAAGCATTCTTATTTTTTTATCGTTGACGAACAGACATTGATTTGCTGCATCATGAAATCTTAAGACAGTGACTTTAATTGAGAAGTAGTGATTACATAGTTTATTATTCTGATAGTTTTTAAGATATAAAGATTAATTATCATGCGACAATTTCTCGATTTATTTGTCTTCAAACGTATTAAATGTCCACATGTTACTTCTCACGTTCGTTACAACAGTTCTGTAAGTATTAATTGATGTTTAATTTATTAAATTCTTATTTAATTTTCTTTCATCATTTTATATTTATTCCACAGAACCCCTTGAAAGGCAAAATTATAGCAATAAGAAGAGAAGATCAATCAGTATGGGAAAGACGTGCACCTTTAGCACCATCCAATGTTCGTCGGCTGATCAGAGCTGGAGTAAAAGTAATTGTTCAGCCAAGTAATCGACGTGCTTATCCAGCTCAAAAATACCTATCAGCTGGAGCTCATCTTCAAGAGGATATTAGTGAAGCGTCAGTGATATTTGGAGTAAAACAAGTCCCTATAGATCATCTAATTCCTAACAAAACCTACTGTTTCTTTTCACACACAATCAAAGCTCAGGAAAGTAATATGCCACTTCTTGATGCTGTACTATCAAAAAATATTCGTCTAGTTGATTACGAGAAACTTACTGACAAAGATGGTCAACGACTTGTTGCTTTTGGCAAATATGCAGGAGTTGCTGGAATGATAAATATCCTTCATGGATTAGGACTACGACTTCTAGCACTAGGCCATCACACTCCATTTATGCACATTGGTCCAGCACATAATTATCGAGATTCAGCGGTTGCCAGACAAGCGATACGTGATGTTGGATATGAAATAGCTTTGGGTGCAATGCCAAAATCAATAGGGCCACTAACATTTGTATTCACAGGTAGCGGAAATGTAAGTCAAGGTGGCCAAGAAGTTTTTCAAGAACTTCCTCATGAATATGTAGATCCAATGAGTCTAAGGAAAGTCGCTGAGCACGGCGGTAAGTATATTTATCTTGAAATTATTATTACTACTGATAATGTCAAAATGATAGCCTGTCCAATGACCCTCGTATTTCGTTCTTTCTGTGCCACATTAGATACAAACAAGATATACGGCTGTGAAATAAGAAGACGACATCACTTGGAGAGGAAAGAAGATGGTGCTTATGATCCCGAGGAATACGATAAACATCCAGAGCGATATATTTCAACATTTAGCAAAAAAATTGCACCTTATGCTTCGGTTATAATAAATGGTATATATTGGGCTGTTGATTCACCCAAATTATTAACTATTCCTGATGCTAAATATTTATTGAGACCAGCATATACACCTTGGCTGCCTATTAGCGTTGGAGCACCAGCTCTGCCACATCGTATGCTCGCGATATGTGACATTTCTGCTGATCCTGGTGGCAGTATTGAATTTATGAATGAATGCACAACCATTGATACACCTTTTTGTCTCTACGATGCTGATCGTAATAAAGATACCAAGTCTTTTAAAGGACCTGGAGTTTTAGTTTGTTCTATTGATAATATGCCTACACAATTACCTAAGGAATCAACAGACTTTTTTGGTGATTTACTTTTTCCATATGCTAAAGAGATTATTGCTAAATCTGATGCTAAGAAGCCACTTGAAGAACATGACTTTAGTCCAGCAGTGTATGGAGCTATTATTGCTTCTAACGGTCGACTGACTCCTAATTTTGAATACATTAAAGAATTAAGACAACTTAATCAGAAGAGTAAACACAAAGCTGATAATGGTGATAATCAAACAAAGACAGTTGTTGTTTTAGGAGCTGGCTATGTTTCTGCTCCACTTGTAGAGTACCTACATAGAGATGGAAATGTTAGAATTATTGTCTGTTCACATTTTAAAGATGAAGCTGATACTTTAGCTAATAAATATCCAGGAGTTGAATCAGAGTTTCTTAATGTTATTGAACGTCCTGATAAATTACAAGAAATTGTTGGTTCTGCAAATGTTGCTGTTTCTCTATTACCTTATGATTTACATCATGTTATTGCAAAGACTTGTATTGAAACTAAAACACATCTTGTTACTGCTAGTTACCTTAATGACAAAATTCGAGCTCTCCATGATGAGTAAGTTGATGTTGAAAAAATTTTATTTCACTTTTTGTACATTTTATGCCAACTATTTTTATTTTAAATATGTTTTAGAGCTGAAAATGCGGGTATTACAATTCTTAATGAGATAGGTCTGGATCCCGGTGTTGATCATTTATTAGCATTAGAGTGTTTCGATGATGTAAAACAAGCCGGTGGTAAAATTGAATCATTTATTTCTTGGTGTGGAGGCCTACCAGCTCCTGAATGCTCAGACAATCCTCTAAGATATAAATTTAGTTGGTCACCACGTGGAGCTTTATTAAATACACTATCGCCTGCTAAATATTATCACAATGGACAAGTAGTTGAAATTGCTGGTGGTGGAGATTTGATGTCGGCAGTTCAAGGTCTTGATTTCTTACCTGGATTTGCACTAGAAGGATTTCCAAACAGGGACAGCACTGTTTACAAAGATTTATACGGTATCCATAATGCTAATACAATTCTGCGAGGTACTTTAAGGTTTGAAGGATTCAGTGAAACAGTTCAAGCACTTCAATATTTAGGACTTATTGATCCCAATCCACATCCAAGTCTTCATCCCAATGGCCCAGATATAACATGGGTGAGTAATTCTCCAAACCTGAGAACGAAGGTATACAATAAAACAGGTATGAGCTATTGAGACTTATCAAAGTCCCCGTGACTGAATACTTAGCAAAATTTTTATTGCAAGTCTTATTGTCAGGTAGTCCTAATCTAGAAGAGACTTTGGGAAATAACCGTAGCCCATACCTGTCCAAACGCTTACCTGGTTTTTCTATATACGTCTTTCTTCTTTGCCAGAACATTCTACTTTTATAATGAACTTAATAATTTTCTCGTAGCGGACCTTAATTTGTAACCTTCTTGGATTAATGAATGACAATATTTTCTATGAAAATCTAAAACGGAAGCTTATTGAACGTGTTAACTCAGAAGACAAAGCTCAAGCAATCGAACAACTAGGTCTTTTAGCTGAAGAATCAGTAGTGAAATTAAATACTCCATTAGATACTCTCACTCATTACTTATCGAAGAGATTATATTATGATAAAAATGAACGTGATCTCATAATTCTACGCCACGACATACGGGTTCTATGGCCAGATAATAAAGTAGAAGACAAAGGAATTAACCTGGTTATTTATGGTGACCCTGAAGGACACTCAGCAATGTCTAGAACTGTTGGATATCCTACGGCAATTGCAACAAAGATGATACTCGATGGAGAGATCCAACAAAAAGGTGTAATACTTCCTTTTACACCTGATATTTATCGTCCTATTTTAAGTAGATTAAAATCAGAAGGAATTGAATCTTTTGAAAGTTCAAAATGGCATTAAAATATAAATAAATGTATAACATATTTTATATAGTAAACAATTATTTTTTATTATTAAAAATACATTAATAAAAATATATACAGTCGATGATTTATTTAATTCATCATTTTTTACCTATGGGAATATTTGAGTTTCATCAAGAAGCTGGTGCTCCAAATCCCAATGTTTTAGTATTCTTTGGTATTTTTCCTGGCCTCAAATATGGATTATCTATTACATCTTGTTGTGTTGAAACTTCTTCATTCATTTCAGATATTTCTGCTGGTTTATTAGAATTTCCATTTTCATCTTTTATTTCTTCTTTGATTTTTTGGTCTTTCCTTTTTTTGCCTGGACTTGGTTCGAAGTTGTATTCTGGTTCAGGTTCAAAAATTTGATCTTGAGGTAACAGGGCCATTAAATAAGATGGAAACTGTGGCTTACAGGCAATTACTGAAATTACATTTAAAAAGTAAATAAGGATCTTTTATGAAGTCAGAATAAATTTAATTACTTACATGGAAATGAAAATAAATCATCAGAAATAAACAGACTGTGAGTTTCTCCAGTTTTAGCAATAAATCTTGTTAATGCACGTTCGATATCTCGTTTTTGAACGGCTGCTTTTTCTCTTATAGCTTCATATTCGGTAACAGGTTGCTTATGAGTCTGAAAAAAGAATATAAATAATAAAAAATATATCAGAAAAGTAGGTTGAGTATTTGATAAGACGTATAAAATAACTTACTGGTGTTCTAATATAAGCATGAGGATCAGGAAACGGTGGAAGATAGGCTGGTATATGTGAAGGATGCGATTGTTTCACACCAGCCTGTAAAATACTTAATTGTTTTGATTGTATTTGTTGTTGTAATGAAGGTAGCACAGTTTTGTTAGGCCTCCGACCGTAGTTTTCTAAACCATCGAGTCTAAAACCCATATTTATAAGTGCCACGATAACATCAGCTATTAAAGGTTCAGTACGACTAGCAAGTTCACAATAATTTTTTGAAGATTCTCCAACTTCTACAATAACTGAAAGATTAAAATGAATAATCATTATTGTTGTTGTATTTAATGAAATGAAAAACAAACCATTGTAAGATAAATAGTATACTTACAGCACTGTAGCATTTCAGTCAGAGTTTCTAAGACTTGTTTTTCACAATTATCAAATCCAGCTTCTGCTAAAATACTTCCTACTGCATGATTTAGAATTTTTCTTCGAGCATTAGAGCTTTGAACTTCCATAGTTGTCATTTCTGAATGAACCTAACCTCTCGGTGTACAATATTTTTACAATATAAAATTACTAACCTACAAATAATTTGATAAATATCTATTGTACAAATAAGTATAATTTTTTTGTTAAGTTTTATGTTTGTAAACAAACGTCAAAGTAAATAAACTCGTTTACGACGAAAGAATACTAACTGCCTACTCTATGTCAAGAGCTGAATGAAGACTGTTGGAAGAGCTGAGAAGAAAATTCGTCATCCACACTTGTACGCATGCGCAGTAGTAAAAAATGTGGTAGAAGGAGAAAAAATTGATCATGGGGAGCCAATAGCAACTGAACTCTAGAAAGAATTTGATCATCACGACTTCAAATATGCCGAAAATGAATTGTTCAGCTCTCACAATAAGGCATAACCGGAGATGGCTATAATTCTAGCATAAATTATGCTCGGATCATAGTTTTGACTATATCAATGGAAAGCTCTAGCTTTCAGGAATCCAATGATATGCTTGTGGTCCATGTACCTCTCATAGGTCGTGAGTTATAGGCGAAAAACAAACCTATGCTATGATGAAACATAGAAAAACCTTTAAACGCTCATAACTCGGAAACTAAGCGAGATACGGCATTTTTGACGGGGATATCCTGTAGGGGGGATCCAATTTTTCACTTGGGTCCAGATCTTTCATATGAGCTCTCGATCAACCCCGTAGCATCATTAGCATAGAAGTTATGCATATTTTTTATGTATTGCAGTTTTTCAAGAATATCTCTTGATTTTACTAACCAAATACAGTCGATAGCCAGTGTTTTAAAACCGCCTCGTCATGATCTTTCCAATGGCATCCTTGATTTTATGATCCGAGCATAATTACGATTTTTTGCCGTTTTTGCGGTTAGGACGAAAAATTCTTCAATTTTGATAATCAAGGGTTATTCTGTACGTTTCGATGCTCCGAAATTCAACCTTAAATAACAATTTTCCTCAACGCCCGTAGAAACGGAACAGAAGGTGAAACCGGAAATTGCTATAATTTTAGCATAAATTATGCTCGGATCATGCCCGAGACACACTATCTATGAGAGGTACATGGACCGCAAGCATATCATTGGATTCCTGAAAGCTAGAGCTTTCCATTGGTGTAGTCAAAATTATGATCCGAGCATAATTTATGCTAAAATTATAGCCATATCCGGTTTTACCCTTATTTTGCAAATTAAAAAATTTGTTTTCATTATATCTAATCTAGTACCTTATTTCATAACATCAAGAAAATACATGGTCGAACATTAACATTAGACCGTTTCTATTCTTCAATGAAATGTGAAAATCCATTCCGAAACTTGCACAATTAGGTAAAACCCTACAGTCGGACAATTTTTTTACAAGTCGTAGAGGTCACATGTCAAAGGGTAAATTATTTTTTTTTTTGCTAGAATTATTATAATGAGAGTAAAAGAGACCACAAATCTTATCTCATTTATTTCTCAGATTACGAGGGGTGGCTAAAATAAATTGGTGCAGCACCATTGCTCGATAGGTTTACAGAAACTTCCATGTTGTGACCTGCGATTACTGACATGTTGACCCAAAATACCAACATGTTGACCGAAACTCCGTCCGGATTTTTAACACGGCATTGGACTTCTATACTGGTTTCTCTCCTGTGATTGGAGTAATCACTAGCTCCTCTATGATCAATCATATAAGGTAATTTAAATTAATCGTGTTTAGTAATTGTAAATGTATTATTTATTCAATAAATTATTTGTTTTACATCAATCAATTCTTAATTAAAAAATTATGAATATTAAACTATATTAATATTAACTGAAATAGGAATTGAATCATTCTGATCAATCTACCATTTCGATGTAATTATCTCCCTAATTACTTTAACAACTTCTTGGGAACCAGGAATATAAAGTTTAAAACTGTCTGAAGGAGCAGTTACATCAACATTTGTTTTGTCAAGCTTGAAAGTTACAATATTGCTATTTTTTTTACTTGCAGAAATTCTTCCGATGCTCATTATAGGACATTGAACAATTAATTTTCCTTCTTTCTTGAAAGCTCTCTTCTCACGGATTAGAAGTAGCTGACAATCAGTAATAATAAGCAAACTAAAATAGAAAAACAATTATTTTTAACCGATTCTTGATTTAATATGATGCAAGGATTCAATAGTTTACCTTTTGTAAGTATTGTTTTTAGTTATTTCTTTACATTCCACTAATTTTACAACATTCGGATTTTTTACCCAATCAGTAATGGAAACTGTTTCAAATTTTTCACTGTCGAGACTTTTATGTAAATGGGGATTAATTCTAATCCATCGCATTATTTTTTCATTGACTTCTCTTCCTCTTTGAGTAAGATTAGTCCTTATTCTATTAGATAATCCAAGTGGTTCTTCTTCTTTTTCAGTTTCCATCAATTCTACAAGCTGATCTTTCTCCTCTTCCATCGATGTATTTAATATACAAGCTAAGCACGATCGATTATTATGATCAATAAGATACTGACCAACATGTTCTCTAAAATAATTATGAACTGCTTGGTAACCTCCAATGATAATACTAACATAAGGAATATAACTCTGAAGGAGATCCTTAATAATAACTTGAACACATTCATTATCTTCTAAAAATCCATTTCCCATTATTGTAACGTGCTTAGAAAGTGGATAATCTTCTTCATTTGATTTAAACATATCCTTAAATTTCTGTGATTTTTTTAATATATTTACGTAATCAGGAGCATCTAACTCAAAGATTGAATCACAATCTATAAAATATCCAACAGGTAGATGACCATTATTAAATTGTTCTAAAGGTCTACAGTCAGCAACAAAAAATTTGATAGCTTTTGGTTCATCAACTGGAGAAGTTACAAATACATTTCTCATCACTTCTTGTGCTGATACAGGTAAACATAAATCAGTAAGTTCATTATCTAGATCTTGACGCTTTCCAAAAATGAATGGATAATATTTTTGTTTAAAGAACGAAGGTGTTCTAAGTTCATATGATGCTGCCAATTTTAAAAATTCCATTATCTGTTTTTCATCTATTGAGCTAGGAAACGCTTCAATGTCTGTTTCTATTTTTTTTTGTTTGCTTTGGACATGCATTATTTTATTTTCTTCACTGCAAAAATCGAATAACAATTTAGTAAAAACAATAAGATAATATGTAAAGTATCATTACTTCAAAAGACTTAAATTTACCTGAATGTGATAATCATCGCTAGACATAAAAAAGAAATAAAAAAGGTATCCTCGAAATTATATATATAATCCCAAATTAAAGTTGCTACTGGTATGTTACAGACGCCAGCAAATAATGTATTTGTCCACACGTGAGTAGAATTAATGAGACAAACGTTGTTTCGATCGAAGAATAAACAAAGCTCGGGATTATGATAGAGAAGTAGAAGACGCAGTAAATATCCATGTGCCTCAATATTTGGTACATAAATATCTCTCATGTTTTTAAATAAATTATATGTTTCAAATCGTGAAAAACCTTTTAGTATCAATACTCCTAATAGCTCTATCCATCCATTATCAGGTTTATATTTTAGCCCTTCACTTTTACAATAAATTGTAATAATCACTTTTAAGTTTAAAAGAACTGATTCTTGATCTTCTTCTTCAATTTGAAGTGCATCTGTCAATCAAAAATTTATTTACAATAATTAATAGAAGTCATTTACAGGATTTTGTCTCGTATTTATAAAGAAATGTTACCAATTATTCGTCGACAATCTTCTTCGATGGCACTCTGTTCAGGAAGATCAAATAAATTTGTAGCATAAATAAGTTTTTGAGCTTCTTCAGAATCATCTAGATATATGTCCCATATACGTAGTTTTAATAAATCTTTATCAGATGGTATTTTCAAAGCATCTATCAAAGATTTTTGATTAAATAAGTAAGAACTTAGATTCGATTCATCATCGGAAATATCGAATTCTTCATGTTCATTTACCACAGGTCCAAGCATTTTTATTAATAATTTCAAAAATAAAACTTAGTTTTAGTATTTGTAAAAATTAGATTAAAATTGTTATCGAACATTCTCCATAAGCATAAAATGTTAAGGACAATATTTAAAAATTATTGGAGATGTTCTAGAAGTGTACAAGTGATAACTCAGTATTTTACAAAATATAAATTGGAGCCAAGTGTATAAATATTAGCGGTATAAAAGATGAAATATTTATTAAATAAATTAAAAAATTATATATATTTAATTGATTTATTTGTTATTATTTTCTTACATAATTATCTTTTAACTAGAAAAAGTGGAACTTATTAAAAATCAATTGTTATTAAGATAAACAGAGTTCATATCTAAAAAAATTTATCCTAATAATGTTTTATTTCACACGATGTATAATGATGAAAATGTTTTATTTTTTAAATGATTATTACCGTTACGTTACATGTTATATAAATTGTGAATGATTTAACAAAACGCGCACAAAGTCTATTTTTTGTTGTTAAGAAATTGTATAAGACATATTAAACATAAATAATAATTACAACAGTATTAACATAAAAGTACATTATTATTGATAAAATTTTTTTTTTGTCTCAGTAGTTGTATTTTTATTATTATATTTCTTAATTAATTTTTTTTTAGATTATAATTATCGCAAATCTTCATCGAGTAATTCTCATTAAGCTAATGAATATACTCCATCACTTAAGAGCCCAATAATATTATTACACGAATTCTATTGACTTGAGTCAACTGTCATTAAATTTCTTGACAATATTTTTTGTTATTTTTTTTTTTATCATTTGTTAATTCATTTAAACACAAAACCAGAGAAATTTTACTCTTAAAGAAATATAAAATAAAATTTTACAAAATTTACCATTTATTTATCATTTTTTTCCTTTATTTTGCCTTCATTTTTTTTATTATCATCGGTTTCTTCTGAATTTTTTTCTTTATTATGTTGCTGTGCCTTCTTTTCGGAATTTTTGAATCTATCATAACGTGAATCTTCATCATCACTAGATTTGCCTGGCTCGACTTCCCTTAAAATATCTCCTAAATCTTTATCAACATCCTCCCAAATTTTATCACCATCATTTCGGTAATCATCTTCGTCATCTTCTTGACTTTTAGATTCTTGTTTGATGTTATTTTGAACTTCAGAATTTTTTGGACATGAATCATCTTCTGTTCCTTCCTCAGAATTCATTGTGGTTTCTAACATGCTTGAATTACCATTTGATCCTGGATTATTTTGCTGAGGACTCTTAGGTGAGCCTTTAATAGTTTCAGTAGTTGTTGAATTATTAGATGTATTATTTGTTGATGATGTCTGAAGATGAATACGTTCAGCTTCTCGACGTAACGCTTTATCGTCATTATCACGAACATAACTGTAAGGTTTAAAATACCAATTAATAAAATAATATAAATAATTGAATATTTTTAATATTTAAATAAGAAACTCAAATACCGTTTGAGATGACTTCTGGTAGAACAATGCATTGCCAAAGCTCTCTCAGAATTTTCGTTCCTGGGCAAATATACTTTACAAAGCTCACAATATTGTACTTCAACTCGTTTGATATATTCAACTCCAACTTTAATCATTTGCTTATTCTTCGGTTTTTTCTCTGGTTCAGCAGGTGCAGTTTCATTCTCTGTTTTTTCTTTCTTTTTCTTTTCACCAGATTCTTCATCTTCTTCAGCTTTTATATAACAAAAAAGCATTATTTAATATATAAAATCTAATCTTGTGTATCAATATATTCTTTCATAAATATTCTATTATATACCATCGACATCTCCAACAGAATCGAGAGTCATAAAGTTTTCAAGATTATGATCTTTATCATCTTCTTCTGGTGCACTAGAGTCACCTTCACCTTCACCTTCTGTATTACCAGAATTCCTTCTCTCATCTAGAGTACTTTTTCGCTGGAATGAATAAAATAAAATGATATTCAACTGAAAGAGATCTATTTAGAAAAAAAAAATTCAATTTACCTTGATATGATCCAAAGAACAGATGTGTGTTTCAAAGAGCATTGGAGAACGGAATTGAACCCTGCATACTCGACAGAAAGGAGTAAGGAATCGTTTGATTTGATGATGAGATTCAGAAAGATGGTGCTTCTTCTTTAATGATCGATAATTAAGTTTGCAAATTTGACAAAACATTGTACGAGATGGTAATGTTCCTTGAGCCATTTCTCGAGCTTCTTTCCTTCGTTGTTCTTGACGTTGAAGAACACGCATACGTGCCAAACTTGCCTTATGACGAGCAGCGATTCTTCGCATTGCTGTACTATGTCGGCCGGAAAATAAGTGAAGAGAGTATTCTTTGAATGTTGTACTGCGATAAGAACAATGTGGACAAGTGAGTTTGATATAATGTCTATCACGTTTGTTTAGAGCATCATCAGATTCTCCTCCTTCTTCCTTTTCATTTCTATCTTGTTCTTCTTCTCTTTCATCTTCTTCGTTCTAAAAATAATAATACATTATATCCATTTATTTTAATAATTCTTATTTATTTTCTAAAATAATGATTATTTACCTCTCGTTTATCAGTATTTTCTTCTCTCTTCGTTTCTTCATCTTTTTCTTCGTCATTCTCATCTGCACTTTGTCGATCTGACTTCTCTTTTTTGCGCTTTTCTTCCTTAATTTTTTTCTCATTTTCATTACTTTCTCTTTGATTCTCTTCACTTTTTACCGTCTAAAATAGATGGAATAGACATTAAATCAAAAAGGCCAAACATAATCTGATGGATATTTTTTCAATAAAATAAGAATTAATACCTTTTCATCTACAATCCAATTGTCTTCAACATCTTTCTCTTCATCTTCCTCATCAGAAAATTCATCGTTAATAGCCTTGGCCAAATCTCTATCCTTGTCCTTCATGCTGGAACCAGATCCTGACTCCTTTTTACTTCCGGAAAGCCTAGTACCGCTGCAGAACGGCACAGCAATTTCGTTTTGAAATAAATTATTTCCATTCATCGTATTTCATTTTCCATTTTATACGTCAGTTATAATAATCATTTATAAATTCAGTTTTTTCGTATTATTAAACCAATAATCATGTGTCTGACATTGCAATAAATGCAATTTTTTTCTAAGTGCAATCGTGATACACCAGTGCTTCAGAACGACTGTTAAATAATTATGTTCGTTTCTATGATAATTATTATTATTTATATTTTATAAACATCTAGCTTCTATAATGACAAAATATAAAATGATAGTAGCCTCTGGTATTCATAATTAAGATAAATTGTCTTGGACGCAATGCGTATTTTTTATTTTTATTTCAATTATGCGTGTTTAAAATCATTTTTAAACCCTGTTTCAAATATTTTTGCCTTCTTTAAATCTTTAATTATTATTATTTATCGGCAGTTGACTTGTTTAATAAAATTTATTCGTGACATTTTTGTTCCCTTCACTTTTATTTTGCTTATCTTTTAATCTACCTGCTCAGTATAGATGCATAAGCAAGTGACTTCCTCACTTTTTTTTATTTTTAATTTTATTACAATATATACTCTAGTTTATACAACTTGCCTGAAGGCATTGTGACATCGCGTATGTTTTTTCAAGTAAGATTTGCTAATAAATTACCTCCTTCGTATTTTAGATGAGGCCAAGCGCACCCGCTGGATGTAGTCGCGTGAACGCGAAGTGAGCAGCTTGCGGCGATACTCGAAACTCGATGTGAGCTGACGTTTACGGCTCAATAGATCGGAGCGTGAACTTCCAACTCGGAAGCTTGAACCTCTTCCACGTGCTGAGGCCCTTCCACGGTAGTTAGAACCTTGACGAGATATTCTTCCACGGTTCGTTGAATATCTTTGAGCTGGTGGTGCCATGTCGCTTATACGTGGCGGTGGTGGAGCAGCATAGTTCCTTGATGTTGATGAATGCCGTTCCTCAGACCGATGATATGATGATCCCCGATCACCTTGCCTTTTATCCTCATAAACCGTTGACGAAGATGATCTTTTATTGTCGTTATAAGCTGCTGAACTTGCTGAGCCGCTATACGATGAAGGGTACCTCTGCGAGCCACTGCTACCTTCACCCTGCCAAATCAAATTCAATTTTCTCCATCCACCACCTTTTCTTTTTTTTTGTTTTTTGTCTTATAGCCATATTTTTCAATAGATTTTTCTCTATTTAGAACTTGTCAAATCATAAAATCATTTAAATTTATTGTTTTATACTCTCGTATTCTCCGTACTTGCATGAATAATTCTCACGCTTCGCAAACCTGTTTCTTATCAGTCCGTTTACTTCAAACCTGAGTTTCCAATATATATATTTATATATATATACATTTATTTAAAATTTTATTATTTTTAACGATCAACACCTCTGTCAAGGATTGTTGCTGGAACTTCAATATTTATGAAAACTAAGGTTTTTTTTTGCTTGCAGCAGTTTAAACCTTTTTTTCTCTACGGTAATCATAGAATATGTATTTGATAAAAAAATATTGGCAGTTTTAAAATGAACATTTGTCAAACTCATGCAGGAAAGCCGAGTATAGATTGGTAATATTTCTGAAACCGTTTTTCTTTAGTTATTGATTGGATATGTATATTTTTTCGGACTAATTATATGAACTAGTTGGATTAAATCCATGATTAGAAAAATGGAAATTGAAGAAATCTCAATGATGCCGTTGTACGTTGAATAAGTTAAGAATTATTTGTAAACAGAGGCATTAACGGTATTATGTAAAAAAGATGAATTTTTTTTTACATGTGTATACCAACATATTTTTTGTTCTACGCGTAATAGTATTCTTATCTTTTTTATTTTATCGAACTCGTTCGTTATCTTTATCCTTAGATGTAAATAACCGGACAACTTTTGTCTAATTAATATCTGCCTCAAACGTTTTTAGATTCAATTGCATATTTTAAATGCAAATCTTTGACGTCAGTTTTCATTGTATCCAACGATATGGATTTATTCAGTTCATTCGTATGTGACTATAGTCTTTTATATCTGATTCTATTTCATCTTAATATTTGGAGCATTTTCAGTGCTGTCCCAACGCTAAAAGCACGGATGTTCAAGCAGCCATCGGCGCGTAGCTTGAAAGGAAAGTAGGAAAAAGTTGAGTCCCCAATATAAATAACTAGACTAACATTTATGAGTGTTCACGAATCGTGGATTGATGAATTCATTTTTTTCTCAAGTCCCATTCGCCTCTTATCTTATTTACTTTACTAATTTATATTTCTATATTTTTTTCAACGACTTACTGTATGAGGTGAATGGGTTTTTAACAGATATATTATCAATATTATCATCATTAACTATTAATTAATATGATTAGACATTTTAAAAACTACGTTATTCACCAAACGTTTACTTTTTGATTAATTTCTTCTTGACAGCAATGAAAATAAGAACTTACGATATTTAAATACATACCTGATACGAATCATTCCTCACACGTTTGCGATTTGATTCACTTGATGACCTATGGTCATCGCGATTCGAATACGAATCCTAAAACAACAATTATTTATAACTCATTTTTAATTCTTTCTTAATAAGAAAGAGCTGAATAAATTCATCATAATATTCAAGACTTTATCTTGTCCAACTATTGAATTGAAAAATAAATGGTTAAATAATTGAACAGTTTAGTTAGTTTATAAATATGTCCTCATACTTGTTTTTAATATAATTGTCTATTGACATGCTATTGTAAATATTATGATCTTTTTAATACAAGCGATTATAGCTCATATTATTAAAAAAAATGTTATCAACGATGATTTAATATCATTACACCTTATGTATATTCATTAAACGTGATCATGAAAAAATAGAATGATAAAATTTACTCAGCTTTGCCCTAATTATTTTTATACATAATAATACTCACACGTGGACGTTTGTAGTTGTTGGAGTGATCACCTCTACCCCCTCGATTAGTATAGCGGTCGGATCCTCCGCCTAGAAACAAGAATTAAATAAGTGAAAATCGATTTTTTTTATTGGCATAAAATATGTAAATGTTAGCTTACTTGAGTTGTTGTATTTGTTTCGTGAGTCATAATTAGGTGTAGAATATTTAAATCTACCTCCACGAGATGAGCTGTTATAACCTCCTCTACTCATGTTGCTGCTACTGCTGTTATTATCCCAATTTCCACTGCTGTTTCCACTGCCTCCACCACCTCGATTGCCTCTGTAAGAGCTACCACCCCTTGAATTGAAACCTCTTCCTCTAGAACTCATATCAGAGTTGCTAAAAAATATATTGAACATGGTAGAAACACTAATTTCGATTTACCTGATTTTTACAAATTTTTAAAACAAATTTTTTCAATATTAGTTTCAGTTTTTATTAAATTGTAATTATCTGAATAAAACCAACCTGTATTTATTGTAGCCATAACTCATGGTTATGGTTAATGTTTCAGATTGGCAGAAGAAAAAATGTCTAAAGAAAAAATTTATTTACATTCTTCATTATCAATATAATCAGGTAAAACAGACAATTTTAAAGAATTTCTTTAAGTCGGTTATACAGATTATTTGTTGGTTAAATTCATTAAAATGATTTTTAATATTTAATTAGAAGTAAAACATAACTGAATTATAATATATAAGATAAAATAAACTCAAGAAATATTATTTATCTTTGATGAAGATCCTTATTAAATTATCAATTTCATTATCTTATTACTTATATGAAAATTTTGTGTAATTATGAATACAAATTTTTATTATAAAAAAGAAATGAATAAATTAAAATTGGAATAAAATTTTTGCGAAAAAATTAAGATATTCTTTTGTGATCAGTAATCGACCAGTATTTTATATGTATGTGCATGAGAACGAAGTCGTCCTTTTGATATAACCATGTTGGAGTGCGCAAGTGAAGTAATAGAAAATGTAAAATATAATAAAAAATGATAATATTTACCTAGAAATCAATGTTGTAGTTGTAACGTGTAATTATTATAATTGATATTTTATTTATTCAATGTATTTCTCGATTTTTCTTTGAAGTTAAACTAATAGCAGAAATTCCGGAAGAAAATGTCGGCTTGTTACAGCTTATGGCGTCTTACCAGCCCAAACCAACTTGTAACACAAACTGTGCACAAGGGTTTCATAAAACTATACAGAACTTACCTAGATGCGCAAATTCAAAAATATTACGTTTCACATATTATTAGTACGTTAGCTGAAATGTGTGGCGTTATAGTATTTAAAAAAAATTAATATTCTTACAAAGAAAAAATGTTTATAATACAATAAAATAGAAGATAAATTTTTATATAAAGGCGAAAATTATTTTCTGAGTAATTCGCCATCGCCATATTTTTACTCAGAATTATTTAAATACAGACTGTCTCTGACCAAAATGGAGTAAATTTGCAAAATGGACTATAGCGTGACACATAATTGGCTATGAATAAAGCATTTTTCATCGTTAAAAATTCTACAATTTGTACTTCTATGTTCGACAATATTCTTTGGTTCAGCAGAACTCTTTTTACCCGGTTTTTCGGAGAAACGGGATCATTTTCCATGACTCGTTAACGTTTTTCGAAACAACTTATCAACCGTCCAGTTTAGAATCTATTTTCGCTTCTTTCAATAACAATTAATATGTACATTATTATATAAGCAAACAATACATTATACACAGAATATTAAAAAAAACTTGAATAATTAATTGGATATTTTTTGCGCAATCTATTTCTTTATGATCGATTATTTTAACATTTTATATAATATAAATAATTCAAGTTTATAATAAATTTCAATAAAGGTTTTATTCGATTATAATTTGACAACCAAAAAGTAAAACATTGAGAAAAGATACTCGAATTATTATTGAAACATACAACATACATACATTGAAGAATACAAATCTAAAATAATATATATTGCTTACTTCATTCCTATATACACAAAGTTTTATATATTTATTAAATACTAATAATATTCTCGTACTCCATTATTATGTTATGAAAAATTTTATTCATAGATTCAATAAAATACTAATCATTTTAAAAATAAATTACTACACATTGTGTTAACAATATATGACTTTATTTGAATTTATTGCGAATACGAGAAAAAAAAGTTGTTAACATAATTAAATAACCGAATTACGATCGGTTATAGCATATTAGTCTTCATGATTAAACAACGCAAAAATATTGTACTATAAATCATAAACTAAAAACAAGATAATCGTAAATTACACAATTAATTTCAATATAAATATTCCGCACCTCGATTCATATCATCGTATAATTTTATATTCAATTATTCTTATTACTATTTACATTTGTAATTAGATACGATTTTAGAATCGCGGATTAAAAATTTTTCATATATATTCTAATCAATGTAATCGATTACTTTTAAATTAGCCGTAAGTAATTTGTAATAATATCAATTGATTATATTTATCCAGTCAATAAACTTTTTAATTATGAAAATTATTTATTAACCATTAATACGAAAAATAATCAAATTATTAATTTTTTTTTTTTCACTAATTTTTTGTTTTTTTTCCAATGTTAACTTTTATCATCAATTCTCAAGATCAACTTCTGATGGTGATTCTAGAGTTTCCTGCTGTTTGTTATTAAAATTTTCTGAACTACAATTATAAATAACTGATGTAGCAAGATCTTTTATTCGGCTATATGGTCTACTATCGTATATTAAATTATTTAATTTTTCTATTCCTCCCTCTGATTTAACCAGTGAGCAATATTTGTTAGCTGTAGAAAAAATTTACATTTATTATTATCTATTACTTTAATTTGGTTTATTTTAATAACATTTAATTTAATTAAAAAACTTACGATAAACTTGAGTAAGGTTCGCCAGTGCCCATACTGCCCAGTGTTGACATTGAGGAGTATGAAAAACATCTAATAGACGTAGTAATGGCATAAATGATCGATAATTAATATTACGTTGTGCGGATAAATCCCAACGTTCAATTGCTTTAACCATTCTTTTAAGAACTTCTTCTCGAGTTGGTGAATCTACTGTCCATGCTTCTACACCATCTGATGCCATGTGCGCTAAGATTCCAGTTGCATTGTATGAGACCTAAAGATTTGTAAAAATTTTTTATAAATATGACATATTAATTATCAATTACATTTCAAATGTGTAACAGGCTGTACCTCAATCCCATCGCGGTCATGCTCTAGTAAATTGGAAAACACTGAAACATATTTTCGCTGCATTAAATCAGGACGAAGGTAATCAACTTCAGCAACATTGCCTAATAAACCCATCATGTTTCGGAGTAACTCTTCTTTTGTAGGATATTGCTGTGAATAATAAAAAAATTAAATCATAAAATTGTTATTAGTATTAACTTAATCAACAAAACCAGGTTAATGAACTGTGACAAACCTCAACACATCGTAAGAATAGATTCATTCCATTTTCATCCAGAAATCGTTGACAATTAACTGGCGTCTCATCAGTCATATTCCACATGGTTGACCATGCGACTTCAAGTACATCATCGTGTAAATCACATTCAACTCTGTATTGTACTAATTCAAGCATTGTTTCAACGCATCCCAATTTTCCTAATAAACGTTTTTTCCTGCCTTCAACTTGACAAGCTAGTGAATTTAGTAGGTATATTCCAATTCGCTGGACAAAACCTTCTGATTCAGTATGTCGAGTTGAATGTAGAAGCAGTTTGACAAGAGTTTCATAATTCCACATCTGTCAATGAACAAAAAGTTACTTGTATTTTTTGTTTTTCAAATAAGATCAAAATAAATAACAAATTTTATTCGAGAACTTACAACATCTTGAGGAATACGAAATTGGCAAAGAGCCAGACATCCATTACGCATCATTGTTTCTTCATCTTTATGAGCACACATACCAGCGAGAAGTGCACCTATTATTCTTCTCTTCATTTTAGAAACCAAACCACTTATTTCTTTCGTTTTTACAATATAAAATAAAGTTGCACTGTAAAAAGAATTAGATAAAAAATCGTTTTATTATTCCAAAAATATTCTAATTGTAATTTCTATTGAAAAAATATATTCACCTTCCAGATATTTGAATGTGACGTTCATTTAAATGTTTTTCCATAGCTTCAAGAATAAGACAAAGAGCCTGTTCCAAACGTTCACAACTCTCGTGTCTGAAGATGTGATATAAATCGTTTAATACTTTTTGCAATAAATCTTGTTTATGATCTATACACACTCGAGCAGCTACGAGAATTTGTTCATCATTTGCATCTCCAGCGATCTGGAATAAAGATTACATTAAGAGTGAGCTTACAGTGATTAAACATTAAATTCTTACTCAATAAAACAATAGAAAACCTACAATTCTAGCAGGAATATCATGTCTTCTGCAAGCTTCGTCACGTGTTCCGTATAAGCCTAAAAATTGCAATGGATTGTTTACACGACACGCAAGACCTTGAATATCGCAAAGTGCATAATCCATTGTTGGTTTATCAGTTAAAGAACGTTCAGCAACTCCTCGGCCAGCCAGATTTGTACCTCCAATGTCCAATGACTCCAAATTTGGTAAACCAGATACTAATTCAGCCAGAATTTGATTAGGTTTATTATAGTATCCATTTTTATGATTAGCATGCGAGATATCTAGATGCCTGTAAACGAAAGAATAAATTATAAATACAATTTGTCTATGGATTAATGTCATTAATTCAACTCTTACCTCAATTTTTTTAGTTGAGTTACATTAGCAACAAACGCTTGAGCATCTCCACTAATTTTAACATTATATAAACAAAGTGAAACTAAATTAGGAACTAAAGAGACAAACTCAAAATTGCCAACATTTGCTGCATTTGATAAATCTAAAAACGTTAAATTTGATAAACCAGATAAAAGAATAGGGTACTGTTCAGGTGCTACTTTTATATACTCCAAAGCAAGATGCTTTAGATGAGGTGTGTTAAAAACATATCCTCTTTTCATGTAGTTTGTTGATAAATCTAAATCTGTAATATCAAAAAATAAAATAAATATTTGATTGTAAATATAAAAGATATTGATATCAAATGAACGTACAATTTGTAAGATCGTGAGCATGAATATTCGGACATCCTCTAATAGATAAGCTCGTGAGATTTTTTGATCCTTGATTGATGAATTCGATTGACAGCCTTGTGAGATTGCCACAGTCATTGATAGCTAAGTGTACAGGTTGATGACGGGTAATTTTTTTTATACTAATATCAGTAATGCTGCTGTGAGAAACTTTGACATTTCTCAATCTTGTAGAAAAGATATCAGAAAATATGTAGAAAAAAAAGTCGTTAACCTCAACATTATCACTTTTATGAGCGAATTCAATCATTTTATCACAAATTTCACTGGGAAACACAAGTCCTTTTGCTAAAACTCTATATTCATTGTTATTTTTGTATGAGATAATGTCTAAATTGTTGCAAATTGTTTTAAAACATAAATCTGCTAGGCTTTCTGGGCCTAAATAATGTTTCACATTAAAAGACTCATCAAAATTCGCCATCGTTATCACACGACATTCAAAAATTACGAGTCATATATTTGGACTCTCATGAAAAAGTATTTTTATTGGCTTGGATTTTTCATTCAATTACAACTGTCAGATGTGTCAACTGCATCAGCTGTTAAGTACTGTGAAGTTTCTGACATCATTGAAACTCAACATATTACTAAACTATTTCAAAAAATATAATCAACTAATTTTACTTCGTCAATGTCTAGAAGGTTTTTTATCAATGAACCACCAGTCCATTTTTTAATGGAATTTTTTACTCCTATTAATTTATCCAAACAAAGACGCGTTGTTTACACACGAAATTGTTCCTCTTCACAAAATCCAATTGGTACAATCCTACAAATACTTGTGAATGTTCTTATAAGTTACATATGCAGCAACAGTAATGAGTTAACTGTTAACAACTTTCTTGACTTACGTAGTGTAAACGTTACTCGTAAATTTTGTTTTCCAGAGATTATAAGGATTTTTATCTATTCATTTTCCACTAACTGATTATTTTTGTTTATTTGAAATATTTTTAATTGTAATTTTGCAGCCTAAAAGAATGAAATAGAAAAACTATATGACATTAATTAAAGTAGTGACGTCATTATGATATGACTCACAATACTGAATATTCTTCCAAGTTCAAATTGTTTCAAATTACTATTCTTGGAAATCGATAAAGTTTAATATCCACATTAAAAACCGACCTTGTTGTTTGTAATTTAATGATATAAAAATTGAATTATTGCTTCAATTAATATACATTACAAGGTAAAATTGGTATTCTAGAGCTACTACATATAATGTATTTCGTACATTCTAGAATTTTTGCGCATATTCGTACGCAACACTTCAATGGCGCGGATTTCAATTTGCGAATAAATTCATAAAGGTAGATTTCCATTAGGAAAAAAAGATGGCGGCCAGCGACAGTCGTTTCATCTTGTTTCGCAAGAAATGAAAATGAAAATTTATGTTGAGGACACATAATTGCACGCAATAGAGTTGAATCGACACAGTTATCTTACAATTTTGGATTTGTAATATCTTCTTTTATAATTACATAAACAAACTATTTATCAAAACGTGGCAGTATATCATACGTATGTGATATAAAGTGTTGAATCATTTATCACTGGGATTAGGAATATTTAATTACTATTCTTGCAGCATAAGGACAAAAATATATTTATCGGATCAAATGACGAGTTTTCCTAACGTCACGCGACGGAGATATGCGCGTCAAGAGGCCGCAGGAAGATGAATATATTGAAATGTTGAATGGAAAGTAGTCATGAGCTGATTAAACAAAATGAAGAAATCACATAATTTCTCTGTGGATGTTAACTCTACAGATTACCTCGACCTCACGAGGCGACTGTATAGGTTATTATTTGTACACTCATTTTTTATCTGACAATTAATTTCCGGGTTTTTCAAATCTTTCACATTTGCTTTGTTTTTAATGATCATTCTTTCATTCTCCATTTATTTTCTTTTACAGAGGTGTAACAGATATAGCTAAAAAACTCGATGATCATAGAGCTGCAGCAGTAACAATACAAGATCTTTTTACGGCGTCAGAAGAAATTTTACGGACTAAACTTAAGGATTATTGTGAAAGATTAATCTTTCATGATCCTGTTGGTCATGCTAAAAAAATTGAAGAATTGCTATGGAGAAGAGCCTTTTATGATGTTGTATCAACAGCTAAAAAACTCAGACAAGTAATGCAATTATTAATGACAATAAATTTATATTATAACTTTGAAAGAGTTTCCAATTGAGGTTATGAAATATTATATTTATATGTATATAATTGTTTGTAGGGAAATGTTTGGAACGAAGTGGAAAAAGCTTTGCTTTCTACTCACTTATCAGTAGGTGTGGGATTTTACCATCATTTAATTCTAAAATTACAATTAGAATGTAATCTGGATATAGTAAGTGTGGATTTGATATCTTCTCGTCACGATGCTTGTCTATTAGACGTAAGTATCAACATTTTTTTCATTTAAAATAATTGTAATCGACATTTGTAATAAAAAAAATTGCATCTTTTCAGAACGATAACGAGTGTGTGTCATTGAAGTTCCAATCAAAAGAAGCGCAGCAGTGTGTGATCCGTTTGATCCATCGAAGTCTCATTTGTCTGGGTGATTTAACTCGATACAAGATAGATCTAGATCCTAATTGGGATCCTATGATAGCTATGAGATATTACAAAATGGCTATAGGGATTGACCCAAACATTGGTATGCCACACAATCAATTGGGTACAATCTCTGGGAATAAAAATTACGGTGTAGACGCAGTATATTACTACATGAGATGTATTTTATGTCCGGAATCATTTGATGGAGCAGAAGGTAATCTTCAACGGATTATATCAGCTCACTTATTTACTGGAAAAGAAAAATTGCCATCTCAACGTTGCGCAGCAAAATTATTTTCATTATTCCAAAAATGGAACAATGATTTATCTAATAGCAATCGAGTCAATGAAGATTGCGAAGATTTATTGATGGATATTAAAAATTGTTTAAATACGGAGAAAATCGAGGAAAATAAACCAACTCTTGATAAATTATTGCAACATTGCAAGTTAGAACAGAATTCTTATCTATCTGATGATGTTGTTTTTAAAATGATAGCGATTTGTTTGATGTCAATTTTAAAATTGCGTGAAAAAGAATCTTCGCAAGTTCATGCTGTTATTGCTTTTATTCTTTCACTTCTTTCTCAATTGATTCAAGTTGTAATTGATAATCTTCAAGAATTCATGATTAATCTACCACATCTCAATGGTCAAAATAATGGAGAACATGACTACAATAATGGTTTGATAAATGAAGAGGATAATGTAGAGGCAGAAAGTGCATTGGTATGTAAAGATAATAACACACCGAATGACGCTACTTCGCAAAATGGAGAAAATTGTGTTGACGTCAATGAAAATACAAAAAAAGTCAATGGTACAGAGTCCAATATTCAAAATGGACATTCAACCAATGGAGATATGAAAAAGCCCAGATCAAAACCTAAAAAAAATTTACTGAGTAAATTAAGACGACCTAGAAAGTATGTAAACTCTTCAGATTCTGATGCAAGTGATTTTGATGGTCCTTATTTAGATACTTCAGGCGAAGAAATGAATTCTGATCTATCAGATACGGATGATGAAGATGGACTCAGTGATTGTATTTTATCAGATAATTTAACAGATGATGACGTTCATGAAGAAGAGGAAGAAAATTCAGATGCTGAAGTTGGAGTAGAATTAAATGGAGCAATTAAAGCAATTGAACCTCAAGAATCCCAAAAAGATGAAGTAAAAGATGATGTTAATGTTAGCGAATCTATTAGTGCTGTTTCAGTAAGAAAATACGATTCCGGAATTTCAATTGAGCAACATAGTAAGTCTAACACAACTGTAGACCAAATGGTTATCCTTAAAAAGCAAACATTAAATTCAGAAGATTTATTAAAAGTTTTATCGAAAAAAGAATTACTTTATTCTATAAAGATTTGCTTCGATTGGCTCAGAGGGAATCCAGATATCATCAAAATGGTCGCTAAAAGTTCAAGAATGTTATTACATCGAATTTCAATTTTGTTAAATTTAATTAATGTTGACACAGAAGCTCTTCTAAAAACATGGGATGGTGAATCAATATTTTTAACTAATAGTAGCAAGCTAAATGAATACGTTAATATCGTGCCGTTGCGAGAAGATAACGAAATGAGAGGTTTACAAATTTTACAAACAGCACATCAGGATCTTAATTGGCATATATTGCGAAAATATACGATGCGGAAACGAGAAGAAACATTGTTGAGAATTTTGAAGTTAAATACTTTTGGAAAATATTTATGCAGTATTGAAGAAGTGGGGATGAAGTTTGATGAAGATCAGAATATTTTTCTTATGACTGATCCAAAACCAATAGAAACATCAAGAATAGAACAAATGAATGATGAAAATAAAATGAATCCAGAACAAGTTCGGGGTAAATTAATGCGTCATATGGGGAGATTATGGTTGAAAGCAGAAGTTAGTGCACTTGAGAACCGATTAAGATCGAAACTTATGTCCCCTTATCTGGTTCCGGATCATGAAGCATTAACTAAATATACGCCAGTTCTTAAACGTTTAGTTTTTGCAAAGAAATTTATTGTCATTATACCTTCAGTTGGTGAGTAAAGATGTTTTTTTTAGAAAATATTATCATTAAATAAATACGCTCATTATGACATTATATTTTATTGTTAAATAGTTGTATCAGCATTGGATGAAATGAAAAAAACTAGTGGCCGAGCCCGTGAAGCTATAAGATGGTTGGAGAATCAACTACAAAAAGGGTCACGTTTCTTAAGAGCTCAAAGACCACATGAACGTACAGCCCTTCCATATATCAAAGGACCTAGACCTAAAGACAAAGAAGCTTGGGTATTCTTTCAAATTGTCGAATGCTGCTACTACTTTACTCAACAAAATAAGGTTGGCTTGAACAATGAATCGCCAGTTGTCACTCTGCTAACTGGTACAAGTCCAGCTGAAAGAAAAATGTCGACTTTCAATGCTGATGGTTTAATAAAAACTGCAGGTAATTATTTGATTAACTTATTAGTATTTATATTTTTAAGCATTTATTTTGTACTATGTTATAATAATAATTATTGCCTTAGGAGTAAATCTGGAGCATATTCAATCATTTTATATGAAATGGAAAACATCGAGTAAAAGTCACGGTTGAAGATCAGTATCCAAATAAACTTGTGTTTCGACTATTGTTGACTTGCGTCAATAGAATATAACACCTTACACTGGAAGCCATCGTTTATCACCATAAAAACCTGATGGACACCCATTAAATTAGCGGGTTGGAAACCCGAGAACCAAAAAAAAAAACCAAATTAATATGCTAAAATAATGATCAAACAGGTGTTAAGATCTTATCGAATGGATACACATGGCTGTTATCTTGTGAACAAGCAAGTAATAAATTATATATTAAATAGCAATCCATTGTCTTCATTCTTTTTGGCCATAAAATAATTGTGTAAACTGACGATATACTAACTTAAGAAATTTTGTGCTATTCAATTCAGCTTAATTTAGCACTTTATCATATTATTTTAAGGAAAGACGTGCGTCTAATATCAACATTTGTTTCTACATTATTTACTTCGAACCTTTATATTTTATATACTTTACCATATTATTTTTAGTCGTGGTTACTACCAATTATTAGATCGATAGTTTCAGCTGTATACACATGTTGTTTTCTGTATGAAAATTTTGAGAATAATTAATCCTATATAAAATCGACTTTGAATTAATTAATGATTGAAATCACCATGAGGCAACTCAAAGTTTTTTTTTTTATTTTGTGTGTATTAAATCTCACAATTATTAATAGTTCAACGAAAACAGGTAAAATGAACAACAAGTACATTTAGTTACTCATGTAATTCAACCTATTTAAAATTAGAATAATTTACATTTTATATTTAGAATGTGACAAAACAAAATGCCGTGGACCTACTCGTTATTATGAAGAGTTAAGATGTACACCATTATTTGAAACTCTTGATAGTTGTTGTCCTTATCAATATGATTGTAACCATTTAAAAGAAAGATTACCGAATAAATGTTACATTGGAGACAGTGTATATAATATTAATGATGATCTTGCTGAGCATGATACAAATCCTTGTGATGTTGAATGTACATGTCGTAAAATAAACGACAGGTATGTATTAATAAGATCATCAGTAAAAAAATAACAAATTATTTAAAATTGTATTTCTAATTTTAGAGCCAGATTTTATTGTAGTGTAGTAGATTGTCCTTCTGATGGATTGGTTGAAGGATGTTATCTACGTCGTAATCAAACGCAATGTTGTGCCGAAGTAGTTTGTCGTAAGTAAAAATTAAATTTTTCTAGGTTATTTTTCACTGAAGAAAAAGAAATTAATTGTATGTAAATTACTTATTTTAGATCGAGACAGAACACTACCTCAATGTATGGTTGATGGAGAAATTTACATGAGTGGGGAAGAATTTGTTCCGAAATCGAATCCAGATCAAATTTGCCAATGTTATTCAAGCCATTCAAGTGATGACTAATTTATTCAAACAGAATTATTGCAAAAAAGTATTCTTTATTAATGAAAGCTAATTTATGTTTCTTTACAGATGAATACGCTGAATTACTTTGTCGTAAAAATGATCGACTTTGTAACAGTGAACTCTATTTTCAGTATAACGAATCATGTGTACCCGTTTATTTTCCAAATGAGTCTCCTCAAGCTGCTTGTAGTTTTATTTATCGATGTTGTATGTGTATACTTTACTATAATCTTATTTTCAAAATATTGATGAAACTAATAATTCTTTTTTCCATAGATAATAATAATGACCGGATTATTAAGTATCGTTTAGCTCATACACAAATCGAAAGTTAGTGACACTAAAATCTTTTTAATTATTTTATTTTCTTAGGAATATAATAAGATAATTATTTAATATTGAATCTTTCAATATTTATAGGAGAGACATTTTGTATATTTGGAGACTTAATACTGAGTTATGGAGATCGACTAACTCCAGAAACAACATATGACACTTGCATGAATTGCACTTGTGAAGTTGGTCCAATGCTTACATGCCGGCATTTCCCTAATGGCATTTGCGACCATAGGATAATATATTGATATATAAAATTTCTGGAATTATGTATGATGAACAAGTTGAATATGACTTATAAAAAGTCAATATCATTTTTTATTATATAAAGAAAAAAAAAATATTTTTAGAAAATCTAGTTGCTTTGTAAAACTCCAAAAAATAAAGGTTTCTTGTTTTGGAGCAAGTGCTCATCCAATGGACAAAATTATACAAAAATAATAACTGTTTAATTAAAATTTCTAAATTATTGTTGGATGATTATTTATAAATACATAAAAAGTAAAAATTCTTCTATAAATAATTTAAACATTATAAACCCCTCTGAATATGGGTGCTCATGAAAATCAGTCTAGTTATTTTTAGAGTAATTAGGATTGGAGACCCAACTTGGGCTAACTTCATTCTGTTGCCTATTGCCTTGCTAACGTCTTTAAAGTAACCTCAAAACTTGTAAACGTTTATTATAACTGTATATTATGCGAATGCTGTTTATTTCTATTAAATATTAAGTTTTAATTAATAATAATTGGAAACTCATTTCATAGTAATTATTAGCTCATTTATTGAGTGAGAAGCATGGCGGAACCACCTAAAACATTACCGAGTCTTCTGAGCTTGAAAGTATCTGTTCCACCAGATATGCAGCAAAACCACGGCTCTAATGAGGAAAAAGAAAGTAACGAAGAAGTCAAATTGCCGGCAGCCTTAGAGCAAGCATTAGCATTTAAAACTGAAAGAGCAAAAGAAGTTGGAGCTGATCCGAATGATGTATCAGTGCCAGGCTCATCTCCGACTCATGAAGCATCTCGTGAAGATTCGACTCTAGATTTTCCAATAGAATCAGAAACAGTAAATACAAATGTAGAAAAATCTGATGCAAAATCTAATAAAACTAAGAAGAAGAAGAAAAAGAAGAGAAAGAAGCATTCTGGAGAAAAAGTAGTGGATATGAATAAAAATCATGTAGAATCAGATAGTTCTGCTCCTCAAAATGATGTAGAAGTTGAATACATTCAAGAAATTCCAACAGTTGCTGATTTAGAGCCAATGTATCGACAATTTGCAAGAGTATTTGAAGCATTTAGACTTGTAGAACCTGATAATCAGACAGATAAAGATAAAGGTGAAGCCATTGGACAGTATCCACCTACTGTACCATTATCTATGGTACCTAGTAAAGTGCCGTTAATTGATGATTTTGATGAAGAAGCCAATATGCATTTACAGGCTCAAAATGCTGAAAATGGCGCTCCAAGACTCTCTAAACGTAAGCTTAAGAGATTAACACGATTAAGTGTGGCTGAATTAAAACAACTTGTTGGTAGACCTGATGTAGTAGAAATGCATGATGTCACTGCACGAGATCCGAAGCTTTTAGTTCAGCTGAAAGCACATAGGAACACAGTGCCGGTTCCTAGGCATTGGTGTTTCAAAAGAAAATATCTTCAAGGCAAACGAGGTATAGAGAAGCCTCCATTCGATCTTCCGGACTTTATCAAACGCACAGGAATCACAGAAATGCGTGCAAGTCTTCAAGAAAGAGATGACGGAAGAACTCTCAAAGCGAAAATGCGAGAACGAGCAAGACCAAAACTTGGTAAAATTGATATTGATTATCAAAAGCTACATGATGCTTTCTTTAAATGGCAAACGAAACCAAGAATGACAATCCATGGTGATCTTTACTATGAGGGTAAAGAATTTGAGACAAGATTAAAAGAAAAGAAACCTGGAGAGTTGTCTGATGAATTGAGAACGGCTTTAGGTATGCCTATTGGTCCGAATTGTCATAAAGTACCTCCTCCATGGCTCATTGCTATGCAGCGATATGGTCCACCTCCTAGTTACCCGAATTTGAAAATTCCTGGATTAAATGCACCCATCCCAGAAGGCTGTGCTTTTGGATATCATGCAGGAGGTTGGGGTAAACCTCCAGTTGATGAAACTGGTAGACCTTTGTATGGTGATGTATTTGGAATAACAAGAGCACCAGGTAGTGATGCTCTTGATGAAGAAGTTGACAGAGGAATGTGGGGCGAACCAGAATCTGAATCATCTGGAGAAGAAGATGAAGATGACGAAGGAGAAGAAGGAGCTGAAGGTGATGGCGATGGCAAAGAGGTAGATGGTGATGCTAGTGGTTTAGTTACACCTGGAGCTGAGGGATTGATAACTCCGAGTGGAATCGCATCAATTCCTGCTGGTTTAGAAACTCCAGAAACCATCGAATTAAGAAAGAAAAAGATTGAGAGTGAAATGGAAGGTGGAGATACTCCAGCTTTATATACAGTCCTTCAAGAAAGAAGAACTGAAGGTTTAGGAGCTAGTATGATGGGAAGTACTCATGTATATGATATGACTGGCGCTGGAGGTCAAGCTCCTCCATCCGTCATAGCTGCTGCTAGACGAGGTGCAACATCTGAAGCGAGAGTCGAAAAGGATGGAACTGTTGAAGTTGCTCTAGATCCTAGTGAACTCGATCTTGATTCTGAAGCTATGGCCTCACGATATGAAGAAACTATGCGTTCACGACAAGCTCACCTTCGACGTGAAGATCTATCAGATATGTTACAAGATCATGTTCAACGTCAAAAGGTACAGTTTTAATTACGATTTATAGTATTGTTTATGAAATGAGATTGTTATTACAATTATTGATAAATATTTATTATTTACAGAGTAAGAGAAAACGGCAGCAAGGACAAGAATCAAAATCTTCTAAAAAATACAAGGAATTCAAATTTTAAATTGATTAATCAGTGGGCTATTATACTTTACAATGGACTTATTTTATATAGATGTACCTGTAATTTACTTTTGTAAATATTTTAGGTTCAATAATAAAAAAATCGTATTAATATACGATTGGAATTAAAATTATTCGATACTCAATTTCAAGTAAAAAAATAGATTAAGTTTTAATGATCAATGATAGTAAAGCGATTAATTTGATTAATTTTTGTTTTTATTATGAGCTTTTACATGATTGATTCATATTAAGTAGAGTAAGGTCAGTCTAAATTATTGATACAAACACTTTGAAAAGAAAGTGGCCGTCCTTCGTCTTAGATAATTCGATGAAATATGTAAAAATATAAATAACAATAATTAGATCTAATGTCGTAATTTTATATCAGACGATAAGCATAAATCAACATCTCTAATTGGGAATCACTAAAGAAATTAAAAAAATTAAATAAATAAAATCAAGCACAATAAATTATAAAAAAGTCTGAACAAATAAATGTAGACTTTGAAATAATATTAAAAGGCGATGGAATGGATATTAAATAACAACTTATAATTTTGCTGATTGTAAAAACATTTATTTTGTACAATAATAAAACAAGGAAATATAATATTGGTTATTTTAAGAGATTATTTCAAGGAAAAAATGTAAATTTAAAATTGATAATTTTTTCGTTTTCTATTTTATCCTTCTTTTTAATGATGTGTTCAAGGTCCTGACCCACCACTGATGGAAGCAGGTTTAAATTGTTGCTTATCGCGTCTTCAATCGTTAAAACGTGACTCTCAGATGTATTCACATATATTTTGCGTCGCACATACTGAGGTTTATTAATATTGAATTCCATAGAATCCTATATAAACTCCTCTTGAAAATAAAGTTCTGCTAAAAGTGTTCATGTTACGATGAGAGGAGCACGTTCATTGATTTTGACTGTTTTTGTGCTAAGCTGTACTGCTTTTCGCAGTCAAGCTGATGAAGGTGAAATAAAATACTTAATTTATGCACGTTCAATTCATGTTTAATTTTAATAATAATTTATTTTTCATTCCGGTAGCTTGTGATAAATCACAATGTCGAGGACCAATACGCTATTATGAAGAATTAAAGTGTAAACCAGTTTATAGAACACCCGAAAGTTGTTGTCCTTATAAATATAATTGTGATCATTTAAAAGAAAGATTACCCAACAAGTGTTACATTGGAGATCATGAATATGACATTGATGAACCTCTGCGAAAGGAAGATGCACAACCTTGTGACAAGGGATGTGTTTGTAAGCAGTTTGAAGGAGAAAGGTAAATATAATAAACATCCAGCTTTAGTATTTTTATTTATTTTTAAGACTAATTTATAAATAAAAATAATTAATTATTGCAATTAATTCAACAGAGCTCGATTCGTTTGTGCCATTGTTGACTGCTTCCATGGAAAACTCGAACCTTCACCTTCTTGTACTCCTTACTTACGTCGAAAAGCTACAGATTGTTGTCCACATATAATTTGTCGTAAGTATAACAAGTTCAAATGAATTATTCCTTATTTATTATTTTAAAAAAATGATATGTAAATGATTTGGATTTAATCTTCAAGTTAAAGATGGTGAAGTAAGACCTACATGTCTTGTTGATGGAAAAGTGTATGAAGATGGAGAAATGTTTACTCCAGAAGCAGAACCAAATAAAATTTGCTACTGTGGACCAGGATATCAAGGTAGTTTACTTACTTATTATTTCTTTACTTAAATTATCTTTAACTCAAAAATGGTATTTTCAGGAGAAAACGTTGAGCCATTCTGCAGGATAAATAGACACTCTTGTAACATTGAACTTCGTCATTCATACGATGATAAATGTATTCCAACTTATTATGCTTCTCAATCACCACAAACTGACTGCAATGTTGCTAGTCGATGTCGTATGTATCTGATATCTTAATTTTCTATTTATTGCTATTAATTTTTATAAGTTACATATGTTCATATATAATCATTCGAAATTCTTTAATTTTCAGAAAATGAGAAAGATAGTGTCATTGAGAAGTTCAGGGCAGTTGATAATCCCGACGTAACAGGTCAGTGATATTTTAATTTTTAGAGATACTTTAATATCAGCTTATTACTTGATTTACTTTTATATTATAATCCAGTCAGATTTATCAATATTCTTGTTTTCAGATGATATGGTTTGCAAATTCGGTGATTTAACAATGAAATATGGAGATGAACTTGTTCAAGCTACAAATTATGATTCTGTTTGTATGAACTGTACCTGTGAAGTTGGACCTATTCCTACGTGCCAACGATTACCTGATGAAATTTGTGATGTCACTAAACATCCGAAATTTGATAATTATTAATATTTAGTTTAGTTTTTGTTTATTTTAATAATGTTGAGTATCAGTGGAAACAATGTGAAAAATAGTAACTTGCAAAGAAAAATTTTTTAAAAATTTAATTATATCAAGTATTATAAATAATCCAGTTATACTGGTTTGATAATATCAAAAGATGTGTGCATCTAAACATAGTTTTAGTTTGAAACTGGAATGTTTGATTGTGATAGAAGTTAGCATCATGTTATCTCGTTATTCTGACTCACAGAGCTTGTATGAAATGTACTGATATTTCTAACTTGTGATCTTTCGAATAAAAATGTTGGTTAGTAGAATGTATTTATTTATTTTTACTGTTTTCATATTATGCTCTGTCCCTCCAAGTATTCGAGCTGATAAAGGTAAACAAAAATATTATTTCAATATTATTTTTGTGTTTGATAAAAATAATAATCTATTTATACTTTCATAGTTTGTGACAAATCACAGTGTCAAGGGCCTGTACGATATTATGAATATCTAGGGTGTACACCAGTATATGCAACTCCTGATAATTGTTGTCCATATAAATATAATTGTGATCATCTACAAAATAGACTTCCTAACAAGTGCTATGTTGGGAATCGTGAATATGAAGTTGATGAAGTGTTGCAGGAAGAAGATGCAGAACCTTGTGACATGGATTGTAAATGTCAACTAATTCTTGATAAGTAAGACAAGTAAATTTAATGATCATTCTACTTATATTGTTTATTATTTTTACTTTGTTTGTTTAATAATAGAGCTCGACTTATTTGTCGTATCGCAGCCTGTTCTTATCAAAAACTAGAACCTGGATGTTATTTTCGAACAGAAGCTAAAAAATGTTGCCCAGTTCTGGTTTGTCGTGAGTTTCATTAATTTTAGATAAATATAATAAAGTTTTTTATTTAATTCCACAACATTTTTGATTATTTAAATAAATTTTTAAAGCTAAAGATGGGGAGAAGCGACCTGAATGTATAGTTGATGGTAAAACTTATAATGATAGTGAAAAATTTATTCTACTATCAGACCCAGAGAAACTTTGTTTTTGTGGTCCTGAATATACAGGTAATTGATGATTTTATTTTTAAAATTTTTACTAGAAATGTAAAATCTCAAATTTTAGCTGAAACTGCTGATTTATTCTGCCGAAAGAAACATTATGCCTGTGATATACATCTTCAGCACCCTTATGATGACAAGTGTGCTCCAACTTTTTTCACTTCTCAATCACCATCAGCTGATTGTCCTTATTTTAATCGATGTCGTATGTATTTTATAATTTACCAATTCATTACTCCTTCATGTTAATTTTATTCCACAAAATTTTAAAAGCTGCATAATTTCATTTATTTTAGAAAACGAAAGGGATATAGTGATAAAGAAATTTAGAGCAAATGAAAATCCAAATGGACCAGGTGAGTAAAGAAGTATTTTTAATTATTATCAGAATGAAAATTAATTTTTAATATTTACAGATGATATGATTTGTAAATTTGGTAATTTAATAATGAAATATGGAGATGAGCTTGTTCAGAACACATATCTTGATTCCATCTGCATGAATTGTACATGTGAAGTTGGACCAATACCTACATGTCAACGGTTACCTAAAGCAATTTGTAATCCCAGAAATGTCAAACTATCTAATTCATGATCATAATAGTTTGGTTAATTTCTTACAACAGTTTGATTGCCTTGATGATGTCTATGAATAATAATTAAAAGAAATCAAAGAAGTTTAGGTTTAACAACTGATAATTTTTAAACAGTTATCATAAAATGTCACATTAGGTCAAGTAGTGTAAGTTTAAAACAGAAAGAATATGGAAAATTAATGCTGATATAAATAAGCTATAAGTATAAGTAAATTATAAGGAGAGAAATATTCCAAAGAATATTAATACATGCATTAAAACATACAAGAAGAAAATTTCATTTATTAATAAATTAATTAGGTAATATCTAAATTTAGCAAAAAAAATTCTGTCACTAGAGAAATATTCCGTAATAAAATGAAGAATATATTTAAGTATTATAGTTGAAGATCATTAAAATCAGTAATTATGTCTAGTGACTAGAACATAAATATTTACATGTATTTCTTAAAAATAATAAAAAATATTGCGTATAAGATGCAAAGAAGCGTGAATTGAATCAATGTCATCATCGTCTTTTTATTTTTGCAAACATCTATTATGTTACAAATCTACTTGTATAAACTTTTACATAAATGAGACACGATAAGTTGACCTTCACTTCTTCAGCCTTATATAAGAAGCAAGCAGCTTTAGTTGATTCATAAGAATATGCTGTAATATTAACAATGAGTTCTAGACGTAATTTTGCTTTAGGAATAATTAACTGCTTGATTTTAATAGCTCTAGCAGATGATGGTGAGATTAAAAATTAATTAATTAAGTCTCTTTTAAAATTCAACTCATATAGAGAATAAATCACTTTATTTCGTCTTCTAATTTTAGAATGTGATCAAACGCAATGCCGAGGACCTCTTAAGTATTTCAAGGATTTAAATTGCAAGCCAATTTTTAAGAATCCTGGTGATTGTTGTCCTTATCAATTTAACTGTGATCACTTGAAGGAACGACCTATCGATAAATGTCGTATCAAAAACTATGACTATAACATTGGAGATGCTTTAAGAGTTGAAGATGGTAATCCTTGTGATATTGAATGCATGTGCATAGAAAATAATGGAATGTAAGTATGATGTTCAGAATTGTAATGTAATTATCTGTGATCAAAGAATTTTAATAATGGCTAATTGATTTTAGAGCACAATTTACATGTGCTGAAATAGATTGTCCTCAAATAGATTGGCCAATAAATGGTACATGTTATGAGCCACAGAAAGCTACAGAGTGTTGTGCAGAAAAACTCATATGTCGTTAGTATAACAGGCATAGTAAAATCGCAAAATTTTAAATTGTGAATTAATGATTTTATTTTAACAGCTGAAAAACTAGAAGATCGACCTACTTGTGAAGTTGATGGGAAAATATACAAAGATGGAGAGTATTTTAAACCTGCATCACAACCTGAAAAAGACTGTTATTGTGGTCCTGGATATAAAGGTAACGGATTTAATTGAATAAAAATTAATCGGAAATAGCTAATGGCTGATTAGAAAAATTCATTTCCAGGTGAAAACGTAGAACCTTTCTGTGTAACTTCAGCTTATGAATGTGGAAGTGAATTGTACCACGCATATGACATTCATCATAAATGTGCACCAGTTTACTATTCATCTCAGTCACCACAAAAGCATTGCAGTTTATCATTCCGATGTCGTACGTAAATTATTTTCATTAATTAATTATGATGGTAAATTTTTATTTAACAAAATCAATCGTCAATTTTTTTAGAAAATAAACGAGATGAAATAATTAAACGAGATGGAGAAAAAAAGAACCTAGCAGAATATGGTAAATATAAAAAGTAAAATGAAGTATAATATTGATGAATTAAATGTTTGATGTACATTTTACTATTTCAGAAAATGTGACTTGTGAATTTGGTAATATGATAATGAATTATGGTGATGAACTTAATCAAGCAACACACTACGATTCCGTTTGTGTTAAATGCATTTGTGAAGTTGGACCAGTACCTACATGCCAACGTCTACCTGATAATGAATGTGATGTTACCAAACATCCGAATTTTAATACTGAAGAATATCAATCCTAAAAAATAGAACAATATTTATATATTATTTGCGTATTTAATATTCATATCTCATGTACTATTTTAAAATGACATTAATTTCTTAAACAAATGTTTTGAATAAAAAAAACTATGTAATGCTAACGCAATTGCATTTTATAGATTACTTTTATAAAAAAAATAAAATAGATTTACATAGATTCAGACATGTGCCATTTTTTAGATGGAATTTTATCGACTCATATTTTAAAACCTAAATAAAATGTGATTTAGTATACCTGAGGGGATCTCCATTGATCTTGACAATGAAAGATTTGATGGACCAACAGAGATTAAAGAAGATCTAGTGATCAAAATAGATATGTTCAAAACAAAGTAGATCTAATTGTTCCAAAACATAGATCTGTGTAGATTAGAACAGACCTATTGTTTCCCGGGTATCTAATGTTTAGTCAAAACAAAAAATTTTTACAGAAAAATGATTAGAAAATACACAAATCAAAATATTTCTTTAAAGACGTTTATCTTACCGTTGTTTATTAAACTTTTCATTCATAGGTGTATATAGTAATTGTGTATTATGACAATTATGAAATTAAAATAAACTAAACGATTGTTGCATTGAAAAGAGACCTTTATAAAAAAGCAAACTTTATTCGGAATAGTATAAGCGATAAGCCGGCGTGTCAGTGTGAATCGTGACTGTACCAAAGCACACCTCACGGAGAAATATAGATTTTATATAGGTTATTTCTCATTACCACTGCCTACTTTTAAGAAAATCATTGCGTCAGATTAAGGTACAATAATTATTCATTGCTTTTGTTGTTATTTATTGGAATATTTCAATTAAAGTGCTTGGATTTATATTTTTTGCATAATCAATTGAACCAGCTGTTTTATTTCAGAAAAAATCATGCCAGAGCAAGATTTTGCAAAGCTCGCAATAGGTAAGAGAATAATTGAAACAATTCAAATTGTCATTGGATTAAATTAATTCTATCTTGTAGATGGTATTTATACCTCAGAGAAAAATGGAAGTGATGAAACTGGAGATGGTACTGAAGCAAAACCATTTAAAACCATTCTTCAAGCCATGAGGTTTGCAGGAAAAGAACCATTCCCTACCATTTATCAAGACTCCAAAGAGTCTGATAAAAAATATGAACCAGCTGCTAAGTCCCAATTGAAAAAAATTCAAAAAATTTGGGTAAGAGAACAGTTTAAAAATGAAGAGAAGCAAAAAAAATTAATGGCAGATGATGAAAAACGTGCAAAAAATTTGGACGAAGCTAAATCTATTATGATTGAAGAAGATAAATCTTTACCAGAAGCAAAACGAATAAAAATAAAAGATACTACTGAATATCGAGATCAACGTGTCAAGCTCTTTGGCTGGGTCCATCGATTACGAAGACAAGGTACGGTTTATCATTAATTTTTTACGTGTTGTAAAATTTTCTAGAATTCATGAAAATATTTTTTTTAAAGGCAAAGCCCTCATGTTTATTACTTTACGTGATGGTACTGGATTTTTGCAGTGTGTACTCAATGACAAATTATGTCAAACCTATGATGCTTTAGTGTTGAATACTGAAGCTTCAGTAGAATTGTATGGCACTTTGAGAATTGTTCCAGAAGGAAAAACTGTAAGATCAATTTGTATGTAACTTTGAAAAAAGTTTATTGGTATTGTTAGACTTTACTTAACGTATTTACTAATTATTTTAAGGCTCCTGGAGGACATGAATTATTGGTAGATTATTGGAGATTGATTGGAAATGCTCCTCCTGGTGGTGCTGATTCTATTCTAAATGAAGAAGCTCATCCTGATGTGCAGCTAGATAACAGGCACATCATGATTCGTGGAGAGAATGTAATAAAATATTTACTGAAAAATAATACCATGTTCAAAAGCATTTACAACATGTATTAAAACATGTTTTAGACTTCTCGAGTTCTCATTATGAGGTCAGTATTGCTTCAAGCATTCAGGGATCACTATATATCGCGAGGTTATGTGGAAGTAACTCCACCAACACTTGTACAAACCCAAGTAGAAGGTGGATCAACTTTATTCAAGCTTGATTATTTTGGGTATGATGGAAAAAAAAACATACTTTTTGAAATATTTGAAAAATTGATGTGTAATAATCATTACAGAGAAGAAGCCTTTTTAACTCAAAGCTCTCAGCTTTACTTAGAGACATGTATACCAGCAATGGGTGATGTTTTCTGCATTGCTCAATCATATCGAGCCGAGCAGTCTAGGACTCGTCGACATTTAGCAGAATATAGCCATGTTGAAGCAGAATGTCCATTTATAACATTTAATGATTTATTAGATCGTCTCGAAGATTTAATTTGCGATGTTGTTGATCGAGTTTTGAAATCGCCTTATGCTGATATCGTTAAAGATTTGAACCCTGGATTTCAAATACCTAAAAAGCCATTCAAACGAATGAACTACACTGAAGCTATTGAATATTTACGCGAACACAATATTACCAAAGAAGATGGTAGTTTTTATGAGTTTGGCGAAGTAATTCATTCATTTGACTCAATATATTTTTTGTCATCTAGTTACCTTTACTATTCAAGTCAATGTGATTTTAGGATATTCCAGAAATGCCCGAGCGAAAAATGACCGATGCTATCAACGAGCCAATAATGCTTTGTCGGTTTCCAGCTAATATCAAATCATTTTATATGTCTAAATGTGAAGAAGATGCTCGATTAACTGAATCTGTTGACGTTCTTCTTCCGAATGTAGGTGAAATCGTAGGAGGATCAATGCGTATTTGGGATTATGACGAGTTATTAGAAGGATACAAGAGAGAAGGAATTGATCCTACTGCTTACTACTGGTACACTGATCAGGTACATTAATACAATAATCATAAAAATGATAATAATACAACAAATCATAAAAATGAAAAATTTATACAAATGTTTTTTAACAGAGAAAATATGGAACTTGTCCTCATGGAGGATATGGTCTAGGACTCGAAAGATTTTTGTGTTGGCTATTGAACAGATATCACATTCGTGATACATGTCTCTACCCTCGATTCCTGGAACGATGTAAGCCATAAATAACTTTGTTAGCTATGATATTTTACATTATTATATTAAACTAAATAATCACAAATAATAAATTGTCTGCATAATCTAAGCATTATGCTCTAAAAGTAATCAAGATGCTTTTTTCATTATTTAAAAGATAACATTTAAAAAAATTGTTTACAATTTTTTCGCATAAATTGGTCTTTAAAATAGCAATGGAGTATTTATCATTTCTTCCTACATAACACTTAAGTCACATATATCATCAACTAAATGATGAAATTTTGAATAGACATAATTTACATACAGTTTATTGGATAGTCACGTATACAACATCAGAACAAGTTGCTTACAATGTTTTCGCATAGATTGTTGATTAGCAACTTGAAGTAAAACATTATTGATTATTTATTCATAAAATTTTACTAATAATATTAATTACAATTTAAAACAATAATAATTACAATAAAAGTAAAAATAATGTTTACAATACTGTAATTTGACTTTTACATAAATTCATATTTGTATTCAATTGCTTTCATTTATGTTATTTGATTAATTTTAATTAATAACAATATATATTAGGATTTTATACTGTCATTATTTTGTTCTACACAGTGTCTATGTACATATAGATATATTAATCTATATATTCATAGATATTAATATTTAACTTTGTATAACATTTTCAACAATTTACTTGAATAATAAGATTGCCTTTAGTAATCACTCAATCCGGAATCAAGTGAGGATTTTTTTTTATAATTATTAATTATTTAATAACAAGTTGACACTTAAGCCTCTCATAGATCACTCGACAATCCACAACAATCTTGAAAAATCTGCATTATGAGTATATGACAATTACTTCTATTGATACTATTTTTTTACAACTACAATTGATGAGTTATTATTATGAATTATAAGCGTAATGATTGTGGTATTTTTATATTGCGAAATTATTAATCCGCCTGCGGTATTTTACTTAAAAAAAGAAAAATAATATTTCTATTTATTATTAGTGATGAAATTTATAACAATAAATTCATGATTATTAATTAATTTCATTTAAAAAAAAATGAATGTTGTATTAACAAATGTAAGAATGCAAGCCTTTAACTTCAAAATGAAACTATCAGCATTATCGTTTCAACTTCAAGTAACGATATACTCTTTATTACTTTCATTGTTAATATTATTTATTTAACTTAGATTTCTTTGAAAATAATATTCAAAGATTTGTTACTTGAAATTGTTGGCTGTAACGACATGCCAACAATTTTTATTATCATGCAACTTAATATCTAATATGAATTTATCTTATCAATATTAACGCAATCAATTCTCGTTCGCACATACATTTTACATTATAGAATTATTATTATTTATTTTTTTATCCTGTTTATAGTTTTAATACTCCACACAGATAATATTCAACATTAATATTATACATTAACGACAAAAAAATATTTTTAAAATATTTCACATAGTAGGTAATAATAAATATCGAATTAGATTTTTAATTTACGATTTAGTAAATATTTTGTACAATAGTTGAAAACTTTTTATTATTGGAATAATTTATGAGAAGATATTTTTAACAACAAAAAAATTATCTATTATTGAAATAGGCCCCTTTATAGATCAAATGCCTTGGAAATTGGTTTTTTAAGATAGCAATAAAGTATTTATAGTATTTCTATCTACCTTAAGTTACATATATTTCAAGCGCATTTAAATAGATCAAACTATAAAAGCACAGGTGCAAATCCTCTGAAATAAAAATACCTACAATAACTTCTAATAAAATGATTTTTTTTTTGTTATTATAATAATAAGAGCCAATTATCTGATAAATTTTTCAATTTCATCTATAAAGCAATGTAAGAATAGTGATTGAAGTATCAATGATTAGAGTCATTTTACAACAAAAGTATCAAATAAACTAGTGGTACATTGCAGAGAATTTTAAGGGACAAAAGTTTGGCAGTGATATATTGAATCAATTGGAAGTAATAAATAAATTCTATCTATAAAATATAATAAAATAAAAGTGTTTTAAAAAATAAAAATAACCATTCTATTTCATATTCAAGATTATTCAGCACCTTATGTTCTAATGACTTTAACCATCAGATAAATCATACTGAATTTAGATAATTTTCATTTACTTACAATTAAATTAGGTTTTTTTTTTTATTAACTTATAGTCCTAATAGAGCGTGTGCACAACGCAATCACGTTCAGGCAATTGACGAACTTTCATTGAACCATCTGCACCACATGAAAATAATCGTCCTGCTGAATCTACATGTAATTGTGTCACACCCTAAAAATGAAAATAATTTATTTTTAGATTTTATTTTATTCTCTATTTATTATGAGAGGTTGAATGATTCGATGATATATCCAAATATACCTGGCCAATATTCTTGAAGAAACTTGACCTTGGATGTTCTCCCGGAAATGAATATAATAATGAATGGACGGTCAAACCCCACACCTATGAATAAAAAATCATTTAAATACAAGTTCTAACTATTAATTTATTTATTTCTTAATTGATTGATATTAATTACCTTAATATCTCCATCACCAGCTCCACTGACGAAAAATTCTTCGTGCGGATCTAGTGCTAAGCATTTAATAGCGGATTCATGAGCCTGGAATCGATGTCTTTGTTGTCTTTGTCGTACATCAAATATCGTGATGTCACCTTTTTTACCTCCGCTTATTAGTAATTGATGTTGAGGAGCGAGAATTACCGAACTTGCTCCTTGTTCATGACATGTAAACCCTAAAAAACAAAAATCATTGTACAATTGCCTCCTTTACAAGCATGTTTTAAAAATAAATAAATATATATATTTACCTTGTACCAGTGATTTATTTTGAGGGAGAAGAGTATCCCATAGAGCAACATTCCGACCTTCAGAACCATGACCAGCTGTCGCAACAAGACTACAAGCTCCAAGGAAAACGAAATCTGCTGTTACTTTGCTGTGACATTGATATGTCTAAAAAAATATTAATTATAAGATAGGTAATCTTAAATTTTAACTATGTAATTAACAAGTTTTTGAAGTAACTCTACTAACAAAGAATGGACGAGCAGTTCCTTCTCTACATGCCACTTGGAATAAACTGAGATGACCGTCAGAATCAGCAACGCCAAATTTATTTCCATGTTGTGAAAAGTGAACTCGTGTCACTTTAGCAAAAGTTCCTGCAGGCCTTGGTGTTGATACTGCAGTTTGATGACCCCATTCCCACAAAGATACAGATCCATCTTGCGAACCGGTTAAGTCTAATGAAATAAATAATATTCAGTAATTAACAATCAATTAATATTTCTTTAAAAATTTATACAAATGAATACTCAAAATAAGTTACTTACACAGAGGTAACAATGGATGTGCAGAAACTCTTCTAATACCGTCAATTTTGTGCTTCAAGATCTGATACAACAGAATATAAATATTATTAATTTATTTTGATATTCATATCATAAATAATTAATCAACACGAACAATTATATTTTTAAATAGAATTAAATGTAATTATCATTAAACGGTAATGAATTAGTGAAAATTGAAGAAAAAAAATCATTAAATAGATGCTGTTATGAAAGATGGATTATGTGTAAATGCAACATGCCAAAAAATTCCATTATTAACACGTTCACGACTTAACTAAAAAATTAACTAGTAAAAAACATTTATCCATTCCTTCAATAACATGCAGTCGTGAAGGTGTCAAAGATATTTTTAAAATCACTCAAAGCTATTGTTTTCATGTTTAATGAACTGAAGAAATGTATGAATTAATTTGTTTAAAGCTGATAGATATTTTTCTTTCTAATAGTTACATATTAGTTAATAATAATAAGCCATTTTTAGATAATTATATAAATATAAATGGCTTTTTCAAGCATTTTTCTAGTAAAATATGTTCAACAATATTAAATTAGACATTGAAAGCAAAAAATCAAAAATAATTATTGAACAAATTTCAAGAAAAAAAAAGAATAATTTATCCTTAGCATTTTAAAGATTAAACTTGCAATAAGAGAGCAAAAAAAATTATTAATTATTATTACAAAGCAAAAGTAAATTGAAGAACTGCAATTTAAATATTTTTGAATATTCTAATTTATCTAAAAATACAATTAAGTAGCAATATTGCTCCATTAGTTCAGTTCAATTTAAAAATTCTAAAAAGCAACATTCATATGAATCAGTAGCAAACTCAAAGCATTTATATCTCTAATATCTTTTAATATTTATTTAAAATCATTCCAATGTATCAATTAAATAAAATTTATATATCTTTGAAAATACTTTGAATTAACTATAGCTTTATCAAGTGTTAAATATAAGAATGGACATGAAACACTTTGGTACTAGGAATGGCTAGGGTTTGTTTAGATGTTAGTCTCACCGGCTTTAATAAGTGTTTGCTCCTATCAGCAACAAACTGACAGAAGCGCAGGTCGTGGGAGCCAGGAAAAGCGGGCATCCCCTTCATCTGATTGAGCGCGTGAGCCATCAGGTCAGTGAGACGCAGACCAAATTAGATGTTAGGCAAGCATTGAACAAGCAACATTGTCTCCGTCACCACTTGTGCGTTACCCCAAAACCCAATACGCGCTACATCCTCATACTTATTTCTTTCTTTATATTTTATTTGATCGTTCATTACTTCATTATAATCATATACATCATTATTAGGATTTTGAATTTATCAATATAAAACCCCATTAAAATATCAATTTTAATAATTCAATCATCATTTAACTATTGTCAATGCTTATCAAAAAAATAGTTTTAAATTCTCGTGATATTCAGTGTACTATGCCCCAAGGGGTGAGGCGCAATGCTATATTTACCTCCCGAGTATCCATGCATATTATGATATTAATTATTATTTAATTTTACAATTTACACCCACGAATGTAGCAGTACACAATGACGTTTCTTTATATGTATAATATATATATAGAAAGAATAGATAAAGAAAAATAAATAATAAACTAAGAGCGGTTTTAAGATGAATTAAAAAGGAAATAATTAGTAAAGTGTTTGACATAGTTATCGTGTAGTGCTAATGTTGACAGAAAAATTTGATTGTTTCAGTGCTTAATTATAAAATGATGTGACGGGTCTAAATAAAAATTTAAGCCACTATGAATTACACAGAATATCACTTTGTGTACAATCCTACGGGATTTGATGGAAAAAAATAAGTAGAAGAATATACAAAGAAAGTTAGATACGTTCATACTGACTTATTTGATTAAATATACATGTATGACTTACAAAGACATACATATATATATTATTAGTTATTTATTTATTATACTTATGTATTATGTTATTTATGTATTTTTGAATTAATATGATTATTCACGATCAATTAATTGATTACGAATTCTTTTCTATTTTGTGATATTATTATTAGATTATTCTTAGATGTAATAAAGGTAATTAATCAAAGGTTAGCTTACCACACTTGCTCCACGTCCACTTTGACTGGCGATGCCCGATTGAGGTTGAGGAGTATTTGGTAATGGATTTTGTGCAAGAAGTGGTCTATCTGCAGCCGTCTGTTGAGTCAACAAAATATTGTATTAATATTAAATAATAAAATTTTATTTTAAATAACTTACTTGTATGACTAGAAAACTGGTTGGCTGAGGTTCAGGTTCTACCGATTTATTTAAATTAATAATATCAAATTCGCATTCATCCTCAAGCCACGATGGAAGTTCAAGTAGCAGTGAAATATCCATTTCTTGTACTTCTCTTGGCGTTGCAAGGGCCATTAGTCCAGGATTGACCTGAATAAATTGTATTAAATAATTAATTAATTCCTTCAACTTAATATTTAGAATATACTAGATTCAACGATAAATTACCTGGTTGAGACAGAAGGCACTGATACTATCTTGTTCTTTATGTATAATTCTAACAGGTTCAGGAAGACTAGTTGTTCCACTGTCACTACCCTTGTCTTCACTTGTACCACGAGTTACGCTATCTACAGCTGACGGTGAATTTTCAAACATTGAAGACAGTGATCGGTGTTTGCCAAAAATTGCACGTATAAAAATGTCTTGAACAGATTCTTGACGAACGAGGTAACACCAGAGACGATTGACAGGCGCTGATGAAGCAAGACGAGTGTTGAAAGGTGTATTACCTTTTTCTAAAAGAGATCTATATTTATGAATAGCTGGCTTTCCTGGTGATGGTACTGGATCAGGTGCACATCCCGGAATGTAATTAGCGGGTGGTGGACCCTTAGCTTCTAATTCTTCTCTCAAAGTTTCTTCCCATTGAGCCACAACACCTAATGTACCATGAATCAATGGACTGCTAACTGGCAGTTCTTGCAGTTCAATGCCAGCAACATTGAGGAAATCTTGAAGCTGTTGTTGAAGTATTTTAACTACTGCTAATTTTATGATACACCAACTGATCCCATTGGGATTCAAGTGTTCAGTATTGTCCTTTGGTTTACTCTTTGGTTTTACGTTTGTATCAAATACATCTTCATCTTCTTCAGATGAGCCAAGATCTGTGACTGCTGAATCAGAGGAATCATAGTCTATTTCATCGGCGTATTCACTTTCAATTCGAGGTTTCATAAGGAAATAAGACACCATACTCATTTGAGGTGAAACAAACTGTTCTCGATATGTTGGTTTATCTTCTTTGATATTTGGTTGTTGTCCTGTAAACTGACCCAGTAACTTCATATTCAACTTGACTCTCTGTTTAGTAAGTGATGTCATCGTATTCCAAACACCACCAGCTGCTGCTTGAATTTCACTAGAAATACTGTCGGCTCTTTCTACTGTAATGCTAGCGCTATTATCACGAGTATTTGTACTAGCAATACGTACTAATTTCTTTACTCCTCCACCAAATAAACATGACCACGTATTATTGTCAAAGTGATGTCCTACCAGTCTGTAGAGGATATGACTATCACAACTAGCTAATGCATACACAAATAAGCTCATAAATGTTGCGACAAATGATTCACAAAGTAGAATATTTAATTTAGGTGTATCTTCATCTTTTTCACGAGCAAGAAGTGCACGAAGATTTGTAACTCCAGGCCATTTTGATGGTGGTGTTGTGATTATTACACTTTCATCCAATGAATATCTACGATGATATCTATTTGATGCTACTAAATGACCACCGGAAAATGTTTCCACTTCAGCAACTGCTGGAAAACTATCTGGTTGCTGATGTTTCATGACAAATGTATCTGAATCACACAGTGATTGGTAAATACAAGCACTCAAAGCTATTGCCAGATCTCGCATGATAAAAACTTCGCAGTAGTGAGAATTTCTGTCTAATGCTGGAGGATTACGTAATTCTACTAGAGTTTGTAGCATATCATGTGCTAAAGACTGTAAATGTCTAACAGGATCAGCAACAACAGTTTTATTAGAAGCAACACTTGCACTGAGAAGAGGCAAAGTTGTTGGGAAAGGTAAAGGACTCAACAGTTGTTGTTGAGTCTTTTCTTGCTGTAATTCTTGAAGTAATAAAACTAACTCCATCCGAACTGATGCTAGTCCACCACCTGATGCTCCATGCAAAGAGCAATAAGATAACAAAGTTCGTAACAAAGTTTCATTGGCTTTTAGCCATTTCTTTCGTCTTGCAGCTCTTTGAACCTTGGCTTCAAAGTCCAGCTTTTCAGCTACCAAAATTTCATGAAGTGTCGGCTGTTCACCGGGTCGATATGGAGCAATATCATCAACCATTCCTCCTTCATACTCAGTAACATTTGTTACATCACCATCGGCATTAGCACTATAATTACATAGTTGTCTCAAGGCATCTACTTCACGTTCTAGCCAAACATATAACTGATAACGAAGTTGTCCACCATCTACTTCAAATCCTGTTGCTAATGTTGATAACTCTTCCATGAGAATCTTCAAACAAGCAACAAATTTCAATTGTTGCGCCATGATGTCTAACTGTGCTGGTTGTTTCGGGGATTCTGCACGTGCATCTTGTTTTTTCTCTTCATCGAGGTTTTCATCTACTTTCATGGTCATTGGAGGACTATCTGGATCTTCAGCAGTTTCATCATCATCATCCCATTTAAGTTCCAATTCATCTGGTTCTTTTATTATAGGTTGAGACCAATCAATTGTAGAACTACCCCAATCCATTGATGAACTTGCTTCTGCTGGATTATCTTCTTTAGTAGAATTATCCCATTTAATTATTCCTGTATCTATCTGGAAGTCTTGTGCTCTAGATTTACTTGGACTATTAAGCAAACTAGGACTTTCTTCTCCATTGGGATCCATTACTTTATTCGGTAATTTCGATAATACTTCAAGAGCTAATGCAGGACATCCAGCTTTAAAATGAGCATGAGCTGTGGTAAAATACAGTTGCCGTTCTAAAGGAGTAATACTATCTTCTAACAACAATTGTTTATCTGGTTGGCCTTTTGACTCAGTACCATAACTAAATCCTGATATGACTATAGATGTTGCTTTTTTCTTATCTTGTGCAGTTGATGCAATGTATTGTCTAATCAATAAAGGATGAGTTCTTAAATAAACATAAAAATTGAAAACATTAGGATTTGCCGTTGCACCTTCAGGTTTTTCGGATTCGTCATTGTATTGAGAATGTGCAGTGCCAACATTTGTTAATAAAAGCGTATTTAATGATCCTGAATAGTCTTTGAGTAACCATAAAGCCATACTTCTTAAAAATGGATCAGGATGTGCTCTGTTAATATCTGGATTACTACCATCTGCGTCACAGCCTAAAATTTCTTCATAAAGCAGTCGTTTTAAGTTAGGAGAAGTCATGTCATCTTCATAAAGTCTTGCTATTACCATTGCTAGTTGAATATCATTGAGTTTATTCAGACAAATATCAATAGCATCTCTTAAAGCTCCAGCTAATAAAAAGAAAGCTGCAGCATGTTCAAATCTTTGTTTTCCCAATAAGGCATATGCATTTTTTAAAGCTGCTTTTCTCCATCGATCTTCAACAAAATTATTTGAGAAAAATCCAGTCATTCTCTCATCTCTTTTATTTCTAAATAAACCCCAGACTAGATTTTTTTTCTTCATAGCCAGATAATAAATTGCAGCATCAAGTGGATCTTGATTTTGTTGGAATGCAGCTTTAGCTATTTTTTCAATGCATGTTTTTAATACATTATTATTTCGAATCCACCAACCTACTCCGAGTTCTTTCAGAACTGACCATTTTGGTTGGCCTTTAGCATAAGATGGAATAAGACCAAGCAATTCTTCTTCTGTCTCAGAATGGAAAGCCCAAACAAGATTATTAGTTGACACTCCTTGTTTTTGGAATTGAGCTCGCTGTGCCAGAGGAAGACAACGAATAAGATAATTATAATGTTTCATAGCTAAAAGGAATCTTAGGCCACAGTCATCTAGAGAATTAGTTGATATTGTTTCACCATCAGGAATTCCAGTTAAATTTTCCTTTGCAATTGCTGTCTTAGCAGCATCGATAGCGAACCGTTCAGCGAAATCGACATTACAGGTTGATACAGTATCTGCTAAAGCAAGAAGATGCATTTGATCTAAACTGGACAATCCAGGAAGATGCGTATGTGTTAATAAACGTGAAAGAAGTCTTCCTTGTCTAGGTCCAAAGTGTGATATTCCTTGTCTCTCAGGTACTGATGATCTTCGATCTTTTTGTCTAGAGCATTCGTAGCCTTCATCTAGCATATCATCCAAAGATTCTTCTTCATCAATATTTCCATCGAATAACTTATTGTAATCTTGTTTGTCTTCACTTTGCATTTGAGTCGCATTTGTTTCTTTGTCAGCAATCAACAGAGTCCATAAAGGTAATGGGGATATAGAAGTTATCTCAGCATAATCTAGAGTAAGTTCTTCTGGTATTTGAGTCGTTGAGCCTCTAGGCTCAAGTGGAGATGTTGTTCCTGGATAATTGACTGACATTGTTCTTGATCTTGACCAACCTCCCCGTTGTTTTACAACAGTCTCATCTTCAATTCTAATTGAATAAGAACTTGAGATACATCTGACCAAGTGAGCTAAGATTGCTTTTACCCATCGAATTTTTCCAGAGTTAAGTAATTCCATCAACTGCTTTGGATGATATTGAGGAAGAACTGGACATGCGATTCGAGATGCTTCAAATAGCCCATAGTCTGGCATGTAATCAATGCTAACAGTATCATTTTGCATACCTCGTTTCTTCTTTGCGTCTAACATCGTTAAATTAATGCTACTGACTCGAGAGAGATGAGGGATCGATGATACATTAGCCAACCTTCTTTGTGATGTTTCTTGGGCAAGAGTTCTTAAATCTTCATCACGTAGATTTCGACTTGCTTGGAATTCATCAGACTCTTGATGTTGTAAATTTGAATGGAAGCATTCATTTGTTGGATTTGGTTTCCATTGTGAATAAACGTGCATTTCTGAATCCATTCCTACAACGAGAATTCCATCTCTTACCCAAGAGATTTGCATAGGAAGTGGTGGTAAACCATCGGCAGTGGTAAGTTTTATTTTTCTCAACTTCATCCATCGAATTTCATCAACAAATTGTGGCTGAGCAAGTGAGGAAGTTTTCCGTAAAATTGGTCTATTGTTACTTCTTGACTCTTTCATTGCTTTCATGTTTGCTTGAGCTAAATCAGAGCAAACAGGAGTGAAAAGCATAATTTTCGAACCAACACCAACAGTCAATATATGTGATCCATCTTCTTTAGAAACCCAGTCAAGTTGAACAAGATGTTTTTGAGTTAAAGGGCATGTATTTCCATTTTCAATGATAGATTTTCTCAATGATTGAAGAGTGCTGAAAGAAGGAACTGCTAAAAGTCCTGCATTAGTTTTAGATTCTCCATTTTCTCCATTCCTTGGAGACCTAATATCTTCATGGCTTAAAGTCTGAAGTACCTGAGTGAGTCTCTGTTTCTTTTGTAAAAATCTACTATCATACAAATAACTCAAGTCTAAATGTTGATCAACTTGGATTCGTGGTAAATGAATATTTTTCAAGTGAATAGTATCTTCTAAAATCCACTCACTGCCACCAGTACTTTCACATTCATAAATTGCAACGCATAGATTAACGTACCGAGAATCGGGATCAGACTTAGTAGGCCTAGTAAAAGATTTACCATATTTATAAGCACAAGCAATACGTCCGCTATACGCTGCACTAATATTTAAAGGTTGTCCTGAAATATCTATGGTTGATTCTTGATCTTTTCTAATCATCTCCCACTCACACCATTCATATTGCAGAATGTCATCGGGCTCAGTTTTTGTCACTTTACATTTCCAAAACCTTACAGTGCTGTCACTGCATGCAGTCACAACAATGTAAGGAGCAAAACATGCAGGATAAATAGACGAACTGCTCAAATGTCCAGCAGCTGGAGCAGCATGAACTACTTCCACACCATCTGGAAGTGGTAATTCTTGTGTACAAACTTTGGTTGTGGTAATTAAAACATGACTATTATGATGACGACGATGAATAAATGAAGAATCATAATCTGCTTGACTAGAGCGTCTACTTCTGCCACCTGTCTGACTTGGTCTACGGGATCTTCTTCCTTCAGAGTGACGACCCGGAGTTCCTTCTTCATCTTCATCTTGAACTAAATGCGAGTCCGGAACATACATCATGGAGCCAGTAAGTCCAATTGTTTCTGGTTGGGAAGCAATAACTAATCTCCACATATGTACTGTTGTTCCCTTTTGTGTCCTTTCAAGTACAACAATATAGAAGGGCTCTTCGAAGATTGATGATTGTTGAAGGTCAACCATAGCATCAAGGGTCGACTCCATTAAGCCTAGATCATTAGCTGAAGTGTCAACTCCCGTCTGTTTCTCATCATTTCTCTCCCCAGTGATTAGTTGTTCTTGAAATACATGAAGAAATTGTGTATTCTGCCAGTCATGCGTAGCATCAGAAATCGCATCTAATTGAATAATACATCCAGGTCGAGCAGTTGACTGTTGAGAGACTATTTTTATCCGATCATGAATCGAATGTCTAATTCCATCATCAGATGAAATATCAGTAGATAAACTCGCCATTGAATCCATCATTCTACTTCGTCGTTCACTAATAGACACTTCAGCTAATAAAGTCCGAGCATCAATTACAGCTTGATACACTCTTAAACACTGACCATCACTAGCAACAAAACATGCACTTGCAGAATTCGAAAGATTTCCTAAAGTTGTGCTTGGTAATAATGTAGGTATCCAAGCGACATTACTAAAAGCCGAAATTTCTGGAGAATTTATTCTCGCTAATTCCGATACTCCACCACTTTTAGATAAAGGACCAACAGGATCCACACGCCAAAGTATTAATTCACTACAAAAACCTGTAGCTGACATAATATCGGTATTATTTTGGTTATTATTTCGATTTTCTTCATTTTCATTATTTTGATTTTGACCATCGGAATTTTGAGGATTGTATTCCGGGATGTTATGATGAGACGTAGTTACCAAAAGAGGTAAAACTGGATGACAAGTGATATCATTCACACGGAATCGATGCCCCGAAGCTCTGCAAGCATGTCCAATACTTAAAACTTGAGAAAACTTTGTTTTGTCTGCAAAAGTAAGTTGCCAAAGATTTAAGGTTCCATTTGAATGTTTAGAAACCATTGAAACCATTGGACTTGGATGTTTCAATATTTCGTTAACCGCTTCTTGAGCTTGTTCACCATTTTTAGCCGCAGGACCATTCTGAGTTGTATTAGTTTCTTTTGAGGTAACAGCATTTTGGACATTTTGTAAAAGTTCTTGTCCAGCTTTCGATGTTAATGTTGATTGCTCTTCGTCTTGTTCAATCAAACTTGGTAATGGTGTAGATACTTCCACATGGTCTGTAGGTTTTGCAGATGATTTAGCAACTTCTCGAATATTCAATAAAGGTCCACCAGTATTGTGAGAATACATAGATACATTGTGGCTCATAGTTGATGCATCGCCTAAGGGAAAAGCATTTGGAATTCGTGTGGAAAATGATATTTGTGCTTGCCTAAAGGAACCTGGATGATATTCGTCTAACCACTCAATATGCCATATCAGAAAACTGCCATCAATAGGATGAATCGAAAATAGAAGGTCAGGGTTATGATGCCAATCACGCAGTAGAGTTTCGATTTTAGTGTCCAGTGAGTCTGGAGCATGGTTCATAGTTGATGTTGCATCAGTAGCTATTGAATTTATCGAGGTAGTATTGCTGAAATAGATAAAATAAATGTTTTAAGAATGACATTTATAGGTTTCCAATAGGTGAGTAGAAAAAAAATACCTGAGACTTTGGTGAGAATGTCCACTATGTGGTAAACTATGATGAGAAGAACCCGTATGTGTTGTATGATGTTCATCACTACTGTGATCGTCTTGACTTGCTGTCCGAGCACCAACAGCTGATTTGGAATTCGACTGATGTCGCGATGCTTTCTCTAGAGGATTTGCCATACCATAACACGATAAAATACTTCCTGTGATATATTAACAAAACATGCTAACCATGCATCATGCATAGATTTAACTTTTTATATAACTATTCTTTTTTCAATTAATATGAAAAAAAATATTACAACTTATAATGTATTTAAATTTTAAATTCATACTCACTTGGTGTATGTTCATCTTCAGAATCATGATCAACATGATCTGATTCATGATGTCGAAGACCTTCTTCTTTTTCTACAACTTTCCGCGTCAACTCCTAATTACAAATTTAATTATTAGCATATAATTAATTAATTTTTCAAATGAATATTTACAAAGTTAGATTACCTGAAGAATATTTTCAGCTTGCATAGTAAAATGCATTTCCTTGTTATTCAACCAATGCAAGATAAAATTCGGTTCTCTTTCAGGATCACCCGTGATAAGACTCGGCACCAATGGTATATCTATAACATCAATATAGACTATTGTTGGTCCATTACTATTGTTTTGTGTAACGACTTATCGATCCAAATTTCAATAAAGTCATAGCTCTTGAACTTGTTACATATTTTAATTACATACCAGTTTCAGCATTAATACTGGCAGCCAGGTGAAAATGCATGCCAGGATAATGCCCAGTACTTTGATAATTATTATGAAAATCATGGACAGAATATGTTGAAGGCAAAGTAGGAAGAGTTGGAGCAGAATGACCTGCTTGATGCTGCTGTTGTTTAGCATGACGTCGTATATGAAAACAAGTCCTGCAATAATTTACATCATCAGTGTCCCATCTATTTCAAAATAATAAGGCATTTAAGTGCAATTCATTCAAATAAATAATCAAGTACTTCATATGTTTCAGGCGTTGCATAAACCGATGTTTATGCATGCTATGATGGCGATGCTTGCCATGATGTCCATGTCGGTCTGATCCTTCAAACTGACTCATATTCGCCAGACCTTCAATCTCCGGTGGTATTGTTTCAGCCCAAACGCGACAGATGTTGTCACGACATGAAGTCACCAACATGTTTGATACTGAACCTCTAGTGTTGTTAACAATATGATAATATTAGATTAAGTTCTCATAATGACGTGTAATATATCGTTACATGACAATCATATTAAGATAACAAATGCTTACTTGGGCATATATTTACTAGTTTTGCGCCAAGATAAGTGTGTCACAGCGCGGGGATGTGCTACATAAACAAAGCTATAGCTGTCATTTAATATCGATTGGCCGAAGCTCAAGTGATCCATGCTTCTCATTGGGAAAACTGTAATCATTTCCAATAGATTATTATTTACTTTATGTAATCCAATCCATATTTGATGGATTTAGTGAAATATATACTGATGATTCATCAATTACTACTTACGTTGTTTATTTTCAAACCATATTTTTACAAGTCTATCATTACGTCCTGTAGTCGCAAATAAAGTTCCATCAGGACTAAAACTCATCAAATGAACTGGCGTAGCCGTTCGACATTTCCACACACAATTCCAAGCACCAGGTTCATTTCCGGAGCTTGCGTCTCCAGGACATGGGCTCTCTGCTTCTCCTCCGATAGAAAATGTCACTGTGTCGGCTGTAATAAAATCGAATACTTGGTACCGAAAAATATAAAGCTGAAAAAATGTTCATTAGGCAGATAGTACTACTAAATATGTGCTATTCAATCTGATAAATAATTGAAACAATAATAAAAATATAAAATATATGTTAGCAAAAACGTTACGCTTCAATCAGAATTGCCGTGAGTTGCTTTTATCATTAAAGTAAAATAATTAAGAGCAATAAACATACATAAATAAATGCAAATAATTAAAGCTCTGCAAATGAATGATCACGATTGTGAAATTAAATAATCAAGAATCCGTCAAATGTGGTCTTTGTTTAAATATCAACCAACTGACGTCTTCTTACGTATGAACGATGAAATGAATGAAGCTTTATTGAATAATATTCATGCACAAAATTCATGTGTTTAACGTTCATTCTAGCAACGAATGAACTCACGATCTTGAGATGAACTTGCTGTAACATTCTGATTGGCTCCTGTTGTAACTTCCTCGGTTTGCGTGTTTTTCGGCTTTACTGCTGTACAATGTCATTATCCATTTTATTATTTGTATATACATTACGACTTATTACTACTATTTTAAATTAATAAAAATGTCTATTTATAACTTACTGTTTTCTTCTTGAAATGGTTGAATATTCTGATGCCATAGCTGCAAAAGTTCGCCTCCAGTTAACAAACGTGTTCCTTCCAGATTCCATGACAGTGAAGTAATGTTGGATTCTGTTTGTAAACTGCCCGTTTGAACCCATCGGTACTCCAATTGCTGTATAATTGATTTTTATTTTAGTATAATTCTTTTATTGATTAAGAATGACTTTACGTTATAACTCACATGTGAACAAGTGCTATGAATGAGTGGAGTCGGTTCAAAAATACAAATTTGGTTCTCATAAGCTGCTGCAATTTTTCCTGTATCAGTACTGCAATCCAAACAACTGATACGAATGTAATTATGAACTGCTCCTGGTATAATCTGAACTCTCTCAAAGTTACTTGCCAAAATGACAATATTACATCCAGCAGCATACGCCTGAAAACATGAAATGAATATGTGTCTTAATATTAATAAAATAATGTGTAAATTAATGTACAAATGTTTACAACAGGTTGTTGATTAAAAACAATCACAGTTGAAGATAACTTATTCTTAATATCATTAAGAAAGTTATATAATGAAATGTTAGATACTACTACGGTGTAATGTAATTTTCAATATAATAATGAGATATGGTTGGGTTGAGTGTGTTACAATCAACGTTATATCAAGAAGTTATTGGAAAGTTAAGCTTTATCATGGCAGGTCTTTTTTAAATAAAAAATTAGTCATTATATGAATAAATGGTGCAACAATACTTGGTTAATTAGAACAATTAGTTCATCTTATTATTTTCTGAAACAAAAATCCAATAGAGATATAAATATTATGGATAATCTATTAGCTTTAAATAATAGGTTAAAATGTCAGATTAAGTTTAGTCATATCGATTACTTGATTTAATTCTAAAACTTTTACAGCTCTACGAATATTGTAATTCTGGTACCACCAGACACAAAATTATTACTAGTAGTAAAAGTGCACTAATACCTCTCTAAGAGCTTATTCATATTCAAAACTACATACGTACTGAAATAGTCTTGCCAGATGTGTGCAAAAGTGTCATTTAATCAGCTGACTAAATTCGATTGTACTTTACCACAATTTATTAAAATAACCCTGATATATTAAATCATCATTCAGGATTATTAAAGTTGTGATATTAAATGATAACACCCCAAGTAGAGCGTAGGTATAAGCAAGAATGATATTGATATATGAATAATATATAATAAACTTACAGTGAATGATATTCCTTCGACAGAGCCGACAGCATAACAGCGGTCTCCTGCATTGCAGGCTCCGCTTAATATTTGATGGCAATTCATGTTTTATAATCAAGTCTAGTTCATATTTATATAAATACTTTGGAAGATAATGTGCCTTCCGACGGTTTACGCCGTGCTTAATACACACTACACCAACTCAAACCCTCAAGGACTAGTCAAAATTGACGTGACACGGTGATCCAGCAGTGGAGCAGCAGCCATCTTTAAATGGACCCTACTACACTGTTGCCACATTTCCATGACGCGCTGTTGGAGCGTCATTTACTATAATATACAATTTTTTTTACCAAGTTATTAGAATTAATCTATTAGTCTATTTATAAGATAATTTTTTCTTAATTATATAAGTTACAATTAGCACAAAAAAAGTTTTGCAAGCCAATTTTTATATTGAATTAAATTTATTATTAAATTTTGAGTAGATTCAAATTTGCGCGCTTTAATATAGATGGCAGTACACGCATTTTCAAAATTCAAAAAATATGGCGGACATTAACGCGAAAAGTAGTTATAATTGTTGTAAACAAATAATAAATAAAGTGTGTTTTGTTTAAATTTATTGAATAACAATATAATAAATATGTATAAAAGAGTGTTTTGTTGTACGTATAATTTAATTATATTATTATACAAATAGAATGTTTAAGTTTGCGAGAAATTTTGTTCAATGTTTTTCAAAGGTCACGGCCGTTTTTTATTCAATTTACGCCTCTACGTCTTCAAATCAATAAATAATAGATATCTGCCCATTAGATTAAGTGCCATTGCTTAATCATTTTAAAATAAATTAATAAAGTTCATGATAGTTAATAATTATAGTTCTATATGTAGTGTATTGAATAATAAATTGAAGGTTATTTAATTCATAATTAAAACAATTTATTTACTAAAATTAGTTATAAAATAAGTCAGTTTGAATAATTATATTTCATCATTTATTCATTAAGTTGACAAAGCATTGCAACGCCCCTTATGATCCAATGTTCCTTTGATTTGATCGTTGGTAAATCAATGGCGATTACAAAATTCGTTGAGTGTCCTGTTGTTGATATAACACCTTTTCTTTCACTCGTTTTATATACAGGACAGGCATAAGTATTTTTCTTTATCACTTCTTCTCGTTTTTTTGGAATTAACCATATCTATCATTTCAAATAATATATTATCAGAACAAATAAATAATAAAATACATGTGATAGACACATATCCATATCTATTCTTACGTAAGGAACTTTATCATAGAGTATTTTCGGAAAGCTTTCTTCTAGAATCATATTTTCTTCATCGAATCTTGCACCATCTAAAAATAGACCATAAATATATACTCCATCACTTGGGGCAGTAGATACAGAAGTTTCTCTCAGGATTTCAAAATCATATACTAAGAGATCAATAGCAATGTGATATTTTCTAGCAAAATTCTGACGAGCTCCAGTTAAAAATGCTTGTGTAAAATAAAATCCAGAGATCCAAAATGCAGCTGGTGCTCCTTGATCATACCATGTCTAAAAATAATTAAAAATAATTTTTTCAATTGTATTATATTATTATAATTTATTAATTATACCTGAAGGAATTTTATTCGCTGTAAAAAATCATTAATATAATTTCCTAGAGGTTTCAATGATGGATATGAGTATCTTTTCCACCAAGAAGACACCTTCCCAATCATGATTGCCTGTGCTACTTCTTCCAGTTCAGTTGTCATGACAATGAACCCTGAAATGCAATACTGTTGTTGATGGTCTTTAGCGGAAAGACTATTATTCTATCCATAATTTTCAACTAAAAGAATAAAACCTTTGATTGCTCGCTGGACATTTATAAGACTTGATCGAATGCAGCTGAGCAATTTATTAAATCGACTCATTTCTTGAATTAAAACTGTATTCATACTTTGGTTGTATGAAGTTGGATACTTCTCAAGTGCTTTTTCAAGATTAAAATCAGTTGGAAGTTTGTTCAAAATATCAGTCGTCACCGAGAGAATTATATCATCAGATGACTTCTCTGTTATTCCGGTAGCTTTACTTTCCTGTAATGAAATTCAAAAATAAAATATGAGATCTGGAATATTGAACCTTACTTTTTTTTTCATTCAATTGATGATTAAAGTCGAGATTTATTTTTTATTTATCTTCAAATAATTCAAGAAATTATTTTTACCTCTTGTTCCCATAAATCCTTATTGATGCATCAAGAAAAAATTAGTTTTTTTATTTTAACTTATTAATAAAAATATATTTATATATTTTATTCTTACCCATCGATCCTTTAGTTTATGGTAAACATTTTTAAATAGATCAAAAAAATTACAATAGCAGCTAATAAATTTTTTTTTGTTACAGCATTATCTACAGTTACCTGAGTTAATAAAAGAGATGAGCATAATAGTTCAGTCTCTTGCTGATCTTTGATAATATCAGCATTTTCATGCATTCCAAATACGCTTGGGGGTGTAGTTAAAGGAAGTTGTTTTGTATACTCCAGGTAAGCACTATATTCTCTAGCAGTAGGACAATAATAAATGTCAGAGGTCACGTCGAATAAATATTTTTCCTGTGTGAGAACATCCCTAAAATAAATATTTCACTTGAATTGATGAATAAATAAACATCACATGACTTTTATTTATAATCTGTGATTGTGATGAAATATTTTAATAATACATACTCGTTATAATACTTTGATAAAATAGTATTTAATGCTCGTCGATCCCAAATATCAGTAACTCTTCCACCATAATTGCATTCACCTGTTAAATATTTCAATGCTTCAAACTGCACATCCTGGTATTGATTTAAATAAATTTGCAACTGTTGTACGCTGATGCGAAGATCACTTTCATTAAACTCGTACGCATTATTCCATCCAATAGCACCAAACTTCCTACGTTCTTGGACAACTCCGTGAAAAAAACAAAGACTATAGAGAAGTTTTTTAAAAGTCTCAGACTGTTTACATGATTCGAAGAAATCAGGATCACTAATTGGATCACTCAGATATGATTTAATTATGTTAGCACGTAAGCCTTTAGGTGGTTCATTAGTCATTTTCACACTGTTTTGAAGAACTGTGATAGGGAAATAATCAACAGGATAACTGGTCAACCATAATCTAAAATCAGGATGAGCAGAATCTGCTGTTAATCCTTCACAGATTTTTTCCAATGTTCCCATCCAGCTTTTAGCCAAATGGCAATTTTGAAGAAAAATCCAATAGCCATGTTTCATTCCATTGTTCACTAATTCCTCAGCTATTACTCCTTGTCCTAAAAATAATTAATTTGTTAATTTCAATGGTTATTGTATTTGACTACTTTCAAAAAAATATGTCCAAATGAATGAAAAACATTGATGAGATTTGGAGCATCAAACAGTTCAATCAGTAGCCTTGTTTTATTTATATACAATCAGAAGAGTAAATATTAATTAATATATTTAATTAATTACTTGAATATTTTTGTTCAATATTTTTTAAATACCCAATAAATTCGTGGAATTAATAAGCGATGAAATTAGGGGTTTTATTTAAAATTTATTACCTTGTCCCAACGATAGAGAAAAAAATCGACTCGTTTCATAACCCTGGCTATCAGCAAATTTATGCAGTACTTGTATTGGATTTGCTCCCGGCGTTAGGATAAATATTAATGGTATCGTGTTCATTGAATCATTGTAACATGATTCTAAATTGAATGGCGGAGGATCAATGAATTTTGGACCCAGCTCAGCTAAATAATAATAATAATATCAATACATTAATTATAATATCAATAATTTAAAATATAAATAAATATTTATAAGAATGATTTTTTTTTTTACATTTCACATAATCCTGAACAGCTAAAATCATTTTATCAGGTCGAATACATTTGAGAATTAAAAGTCTTTGAAATTTAGTCATTTTATCAAAAGGACTTGGTATTGATACAGTTTCTGGCTCTTTAGAATCAAATAATTCCTTCCAGAGGGCATTATCCTTTGAAAATGAATCTTTAATACCCTAAAGGAAAATACTTTTTATTATTTTTTGCAATTATTTTAATTTAAAATTAATGAAAACAATAATAAACGTAATTATAAATTCATATATTCATATAAATGCCTTTGCTCAATTAACATTTTCAATGCAGTCAAAGATCAAAGACCATTCAGTTGATGTTAATTAGTTAAATTAATATTATGAGTTTAAAGTAATAAAAAAAAATTAATCATAAATTTTGTAGTCTCTCTACTTTATAGTTGCTTTTACACTTGTTTATTAAATTGTATAAAATATTTATAAAAAATATTTTAAAATGAAATAGTTTAATTATTACTTACTATAAAGTCTGGAAGATTGTTTAGTCGACATAACTCATCCCACAGTTTGGCTGGAAGCCAAGTGCAAGGATTTAATAAAGGATTTTCAAGTCCTACACCACCAGTTAATAAAAATAGCCAGTTGCTAGACGAAATATCGGATTTCAATCGATTTGAAATATTTATAGAGAGCAGCATAGAAAATAAAAGCTTATCTTTTTCGAAGAGAGATCTACAAATGTTTACATAAAGGGAATATGTAAAATTTTGTGTTAACTCTTTTAAGCGAGTTTCTGTATTTTCTGATTGTCCTGTGTTATCGATTGACATTTTAAATAGATTTATAAACCAACTGAGAGAGTACTGGTACATGGGATCAATGTTTGCTAAGACCTCTGTAATTAATAGCAATTAAAATGAATGCATTTGTTTTTTTTTGTAGTTTAAATTATACTTGGCAATTAAATGTATAGATTTACCAATTGTGAAAAAAAGGACTGTTGAATACTCTGCTATTGAATTATATTGGAGTCTTGTTTCATCAATTGATTTCTCAGTAATTTGAGTAGCAGCTTCTTTAGATTGAATATCATTACTTAATGTTTTAGAGGAAGTTAATACTGTAATCGTTTCTTCATCATCTAGAATATTCCCTGGAGATGTGGATAATATTTCTAATATTTTATTCTCTGTTTCTTTCAACAACCTTTAATAAGTAAAAGTGAATTGAAAATAATTCGACTATTGAATTTGATATTTATTATTGCTCACTTTTTATTATTAGCACTCTGAATAATAAGAGAATTCCTTTCTGATTCTAAATCTGGTCGTTCTTTAGCAACTACTATGTTCAATAGTTGATCTTCCAGACCACTTGGAGTGATGGTGAAATTGAGAAGAGTTACTTTAACTACGATTTCTGGTAAATAATGTGGATTACTCATTCTTGTAGTCATATAAAATCTGAAAGGTAAAAAAGAAATATTTCAATAAAGTAGAAAGCTGATTTAATTCTGTAACTTGGAAGGTTGTATATTTATTATACCTAAAATTTGAATTATATTCAATCACAGAATCTCCAAGTTTTATACATAAAGCTCCTCCTTGTTTGAAAGTTTGTTTGAGTAAGAGAGGCTCCAAAACAGCATCCAATTCTTCTCCAATATTCTCAAGTAAAACAGGTTGACCAAACTGTATTCCATTTTCTAATAGTCTACTGTAATCAGGTTGGGAGAGTTGAATAACATTCATATTATTTTGTTTCTCCATATTTTTAATCCACTTGTTTGCTTGGCCCTGAGGATCAATTATTAGTGGCCATCGTCTTGCATTGCTATTAATTCACAAATCATTTTTAATTTTTTAATATTTGAGTTTTTCAATTAGTTAGCAAGATTAAATTATAAATTAATTACTTTATGATAACCCCATTATCGATAGAGAATGAGTCATTTGGTAATTCATTTATCATCCAAGATCTCACAAGAACTGGATCACCAAGTACATCTTTTAGGGAAAAATTTTCTGTACAAATCACATTTAAACTTTTACATCTCTCAACCCATAATTTGATTTGCTTGGCTCGATAAGGTGTCGTGAAAACTCCTAAATACGCAATTACTCCTGAGGCTATTATGATATCACCAGTTAAACGATCGTACCTAGATTTAAATTTGAGTTTGATTAAACAATTTTCCATAACAAGAGCAAACCATCCAATTATTTAACAGCTGGTCATAAACCAATTACTATTGACACGCTCAAAGATGAACGTTCTAAAGCATGTCAATAACAGATGGGTAGAAATTTTTTTTCAATAGAGTGATTAAAAATTTTTTTAATAAAAAAAAATCACACATTCAACTGATTATAAAGTTCAATAAATAAATGGCTTACCGCTCTCCTAATTCCCTAGCACTTTTTGTCCACCGACTAGACTCTCCACCAAGTCCACTAATTAATTCTTCAGCACGTTTCAATTTTTGTTCACAGTCAGTAACTTTATCCATCATCTTTTGATAATCAGCTTTTCTTGAAGCCAAGTCTGCTTCGAGGAGTGCATGTTTCCTCTGCAAATATTTCATTTGACAATAAATTCTCTTTAGAAATTCATTGTACAAAAATACTTAAACACTTGAAATTAAAATTTTACCTGTATTTCACCTAATTGTGCTCGCTTAGTGCTCAATTTCTCCATGGCTTCATTGTAAACTTTTTGTGCTTCGACTAAAGCTTTCTTCTTTGGTGCAACCACTTTAGCAACTTTGTCGTACTCCGATATAGCATAAACCCATTTGCATAAACCCTCACAGGCAGTCGATGAAGCTTTAACTTTGTCTGGGTCAAAGTTGGCATTGGCTAGGTAATCTTTACGTATTATGGTCATTACTCGTTCAGGAATATTATCCCTATCGAAATTAATTAGAGAATCTAAGAATTTAACATCTGCTAGAACTTTTAATGATGCTTTCCAATAATCGTCTGTAATTTTTCCATCTCCTGTTTGGATTCTTTCCGGTTTTATTTCCTGTTACAAGTTTGGAAAAAAGTTTTTTTTTAAAGAAACTCATGACTTGTAATGAAACATGACAATGTCATTCTACAATAATTGTTCGCACTTTTAAAATACAAATACTCTCCATGACAAGCTTGACATTAGCAGGTGGGCTTTTCATTGATCTTACAACAGCAATATCAGTGGTTGTAAGTGTATTTAGAGCTTCCTGAGCTTGCATTAAAATTGGCATTGCTTCAGATAAATTTTCATCGCATTCAGTTTTTATTACTTCAGCTTCAGCAGCTGCTCTCTGTAAAATAAAAACATTTGAGCTAAAAGTGTTAAGTGCATGTTTCACATAAAGTTGTTACATACCATAGCTGCTTCTTCATCGATTTTCACGACCTTTTCTACTTCAGCTACTTCCAAACTCTCTTTCTCTACAGTTGTTACTATTTTCTGAACATCATGAGCAGATGAGACCAGAAGTGGCTGTAAATCAGTCAAAGTTTTTTGCATCTCGCCTATTTGCTTTTGAGTTGAGTTGAGACTTTCAACACCACCCTCATATCGAGTTTTTGCAAGCATTATTTCTCTGTAATAAAATATTTTTCATTCATGAATGAAAATTATTTGAACTTTTTGCAAGTGTTATTAATTATTTTACTAAAAAAAAATAAAGGATCACTAGTGAATTAATTTGAGAGCAACAATTTAAAAAACGAATTTAAATCAGAGGGTGAGATATGGAGGAGTAAATTAAAAAACCTCTGAATAATTCAATTTTAGGATGCTATTAAAAAAGATAATTAAAAATTAATATCAGTTTTTCTGCTCTATTTTATTTTTTATATTTCAGCAATCCTTCATTTAAGTATAACTTTGTTATTTTTTCATCTCTTACTTCCTTTTTTTGATCAAAAGATCTTTGAATGTGTTTATCATTTCAAGATACGAAGTTGGAGTGACATAATTGTATCTTCTTAACCGAGTATAGAACTCTTTACTTAACACTTGAGTGGAAGTGTGAAAGAATTGACACATATTAACGCCAGCTTCTCTCTCATGATCAGATAACTCGATTTCACCTAGAAATTTTGTTGCTACAGCCAATAGAGCATCTTCTGGCCAAGGCTATCAATTATCATCATTCACAATGTTAGAAGTCAACTAAAATTTATCTCTAAAAATAACTAAATATTTTTTAAGTCACTAAAAATTTAAATTACTTGCAGCCAGTCAATTGTACAACAATTAACCAATGCTGGAAATGTTCTGATTTTATTGCGAAAACCATCTCCAATTGGTGACATTGCAAGCACAATATGCAATTGATCTCGAACTATTTGTACGAATAAATTAAATAGAGCAACTGTGCTACCATCAGTTTGCATAGCTCGTTCTCTCTGTCGATCAACTTGACGCATCCTTTCACATATTTCCGCTTTTTCATCAGCATTGAAAATGTTTGGAACCTGAAGAATGTTATTTTTATTTTATCTAAAAAATTCTATTATGCTTCATCCAATTGTAAATAGTTGACAAAAACTTGAGATAACCTCGCCAGAGTTAAGCATATTGCTGATGTCTTCAAGAAAACTTTCTTGCTTTATTTGATTGTCAGTGAAAAGAAAAGAGGAATTTAACTCTGTAGCAGTAGCTTTCTTCAATATCTTCTTTATGTCTTCGTGCCATTCATGAATGCCATAATGCTTAGTGATTTCCACTTGAAAGAGATCGAATTCACATATATGAGACGCTAATCTTGCCATAGACTGCCTTCCAGAACCTCCAACACCAATGATCAATGCATGACCTCTAGGTTGTTTAATAATTCGAGCGATTCTAGATAAATGTTCTATGGCAAACCTGATGAAAAATAGATCATTTACTTATTGGATTCAATAGAGTAATTAATAAGCTTCGTTTGAAGAAAATAAACCTGAAGAGAACTAGATTCATTGGCTTCTTTGTCATGGAATTATACTCCACTAGATATCCCTCAACAATCGATTTTAATAATTCTAGGTCAGGAATTTCTTTGTACAATCTAACATCGGCTTTTGGATCAATAAAGTCACAATAAATGAGTTTTCTCAACTCTTGCTCACCGATCTGAAAAATATTTTCATTTTATTCGTAAATAAACACACAAATCTCATAAATTATAATGATGATTTTATAAACATACTGGTTTATTTGGATCTTCAGCAAGATCCTCAAATAGAGCATCAAAGTTTGACTCCATTCTTTGCTCTACCACAATCCGGAGTTGATGGATTAACCAATCAGTGTCAGATTTATCTATTAATCTATCTCCAAATACACGCAAGATCTCGTGCACCCAAAGCCTCTTCATGCATGCTAAAGTTGGCATTGATTCAGGAACTGACATGAGTACACCCTAGAACATCAAATTTTATTATTTTTTTTTATTGAGAAAATTTATTTCTGAAGATATTTAATTTACTTGTATGACTCTTGAAAAGTCACGCAGGTTGAATAAATAATGTGACTTTGATGGAGTTGGTAAAAGGTTTTCTAAACTTCGTTTATAAATATCTAGAGTTGCTTGAACTACTTGATCAATGCAAGGATCAAATTCTTTGCTGAAACCTCTGGAAAATTAATAAAAATGATGATTAATAGATTAAAATAATTTTTTAAATAACTAATAATTAAAAATATATTCAACCTTGTATCTAAATGCCATAAAACAATTTTGCTGAAAATCATGGTCATTATATCATCTTGAAACTCAGATATTCCAAGAGTAAAAAAATGTCTTTTAAATCTTGGAGTAATTTCTCTTTCTGCACTTTCTGGTGGACTCATAGCACACATTAGCTGTACTTCAATTAATTTAATAGGAGTTTTTTCTTTTTTATCATACCTAGCATAATGTTCCGAAATTAAAAGAGTAAAAAATTTGTAATTTGTGAAATTAAAAACATTTCAATAAATTTTGATAGTAGTTTACCATTGAGAATGATCTAAAAGCTGCCTCAATAATTCAATAGGTGGTTGAGCACCATGAATTTCCTTCAGAGGCATCGAAACATCATCAACAAAGACCACCCATCGTTTACCAATAGGTGGACCATATACACCTTTCCGTCTTTTGTCTAATTTACTCATAATGATGTCCTGAGTTTTACTAGTTGATGTTTGAGCAGAAAAATTAATAAGCAAAGGTTTAAAAATACTTGTGTCATTCTTCTTTAACAAAAAGTCGTTGATGTAAGCTGATTTTCCAGTTCCAGTTGATCCGACGAAAAGCACAGGTTTGCCATGTTGTACCAGTAACTGGAATAATGTTGTATACCTTACAGTATCAACTGTAGGAACTATTATTTGATTCATCGGAAGATCTCTTGGTATTGGTGGAACATTCAATAATTCATCAGACCACAGTTTCCATTTTCCTTTACCCTAAGGAGCATGGGTAATTTTATTTAGATGTAATAGAAATAGATTATTATTAGTGGTTGGTCGATGGAAATACCTCTCGGATAAATCGGTAATCGAAGACAAGTCCTTCTTTCGGCATGATATAAATATATGGCTTTGCAGGAGGCAAAACAGGTTCAGTGAGTTGAAATAGCTGTTGGAGACTTGATGGAAATTCTTTCTCTAATAAACCTCGAAATAAAATACTAAACTTTTCTCGCTGACTTGCTTCTAGAGTTCCACCCATTGCCCAAATGCATGAGAAAAAAAATGAACCCTTTGAAAATTTTAATAAAAGTTTTATTAATTAATAAAAATGTCTTATACTCTTCATAATTGAAAAAATATTGCAGATAGAATTTAATTATTGTATATTGAATTAATTCTTAATTTTTCGCGTAAGCTTATGGGAACAGTTTCCCTTAATTTAACAACATTTCTAAGTTATTTATTGTAAAATTGATGTTAGTCTACTCTGCAAAGATAAGAGCATTGATTAGCTGTAACGTTTTTTTGCGGCAGTTACCTCCAGTTGTGCTCGAAGATCTAATTTATTAGGTGTCCCACTTTCCTTTTCAGAGCTTTCAACACGGTATTCGTTAATAAAACAGTCCATTAAATACGTAATTGACCTCAGGAGATTTGAATCAGGCATCGGACAGATCGCCTACAATTTAATATAACATACAATACTGTTAACTTATTAGCTTTGAAACAATAACTCAACAATTAAATTATCAATACTCAATAAATATTATAATCACAATTTCAACTTTTTCTGATTATAAAAAAGAATAATAACCTTCAAGTTATGTCGTCTTAAAAGATGAAATAGAGGTTTACAAAATCGTAGAAAAAGAGACTCGTGTAAGAATGATTTTAAAAAATCTCCAAAGATTTCTGGTAACATATTGATCCAAGACTTCAATAAAACTTCCCATCCCAAAGCTTCAGGTTCCATGTAAATCATTCCACAACGAGACACAGTAGCTGGTGATGCTGATTCTAGGTCCATTGATTCAAAAATTAAATTAGTCGTCTCTGCTAGTTGAATTATTTCTCCACTCATAAGGCACAGTTTCTTGTTGTCATCCAATACTGTGTTCATGTTTTCAATCCATATAGCATCAATAGGACCATCAAAAATTAACCATTTTCGATTTTTGTTTGTAGATGTAGCAAAAGCTCGATAATTAATTGCCAGTACACCATCACTCCATTCATGAGATGCTGCATCAAATTCCCCGTATAATTCTCCCATTGTTATTGATTTTGGGTTTATTATTGATATTTCAACTTTGTGTTCATCTAAAACATTCTTTTTAAAAAATAATCAAAATTTTTTTATTTAAATAAATTAATTTTCAACTAATGTAAAAATATAGCAAATATTTGATACTTTTTGTTCACAAAGTTCAAGAGCTTTAGCTAGCATTTTATATGCACTAGTTTTTCCACTGAAAGGATTGCCGATAATCATAAATCCATGTCTAACAATCATCATTTCATAAATTTGATGGATTTTTTCGAGAAAAGATGGAACACATTGTATATTGGATTCAGCACATACTTCAAAAATGCATTCATTTAGTTCTTGGTAATCTGGAGTGGGAAGTACTATATCGGGAAATAGATCGGAAGTAATACTCTGAAAAAAATGATTTTAATTAACGACATGTTCAAGTATAGAATAAGAATATTCATGATTTGGTAGGCACTTACTTGAAAGAGAGGTAGATCGTGGTTTAAGAATTTAGGAAGATTCACGTCATTAATGCTACGTAGTATTAAAATATCTTCACTCTCTTCCGGGTATTTGAGTTTGAGATTTCTAGCTGATAAAAGCACTGATTTAACTGCTCTCATTCCATAATCGTAATGACTTTGGCTGGATAATTGTTCGGAGCATAATTGATAGGCCATTACTATTTTTACTGATAGAGGACGAGCATTATGGAATCCATAAGAATACAGAGTGTTTTCGGCAATCAATTTGTAATCTGGAACCTAGAAATTTGTTCAAATTAAGTAAATTAAAGTTACGTTCAACTCTACATATTCCATTCAGTAATGAACTAAAAAGTATTGCTGTCAAAAATTTTAATTCGAAGAAAAAAGTTTGATGTAATTAGTAAAATGTCGAACATGCTAATTATTAAATCTGATAAATAAAAAAAGTAGCATTCAGTTTATCAATTAATGATCTGAAATTTCATCTCTGACATTTTCACAAATCGTATCAGATACAATTGGAAGCAAATCCAGCCAACTTATATAGAATTAAATTCTCATATAGAATTATATCTGCTAACATAATCTATGCCAAGTTGAACAGAAGACACGAGAATACGATACAAATTATGCTGATAGAGTTTAAATGTGAAATGTGATTTCAATTAGATATGAGTCAGTTAAAATTAACTTTAAATTCCAACTAGCTTGGGTGAAAATAACTGTCAGTCACTAGGAGTCATCTTTAGACTAAAAAACAACTTCCATGTAATGTGTGACAATCTAACTAACTCTCAGCTCATTTTCAGCATTTATAATAAGAATATTTGACAGTTGGTTTCGAGTGGTTTACTAATGACTTAAGCATACATTTTGCCAAGATAATCAGCATTGGCAAAGTTAGGTTTAATGTTCGTTGACCACAATCAATCAATAATAATTAGACATAATAATTAATGATGATAAAATTTTCAAAACCTCATTATTTATAATTAAAAATAAAATTCAGAATTAAAATAACTAAATCATTAATAATCCAACCATCTAAATAATTTAAAATAAATAATAAAATTGGTACCATCATTGCAACTGAACGAAAAAGAGCTTTCAAGTTATCAGGTAATTCAGTTCTTCCTGCATATCCTGGATTCATTGTAATAAAAACAGCACAAGTACGATTTAGATTTATTTCAGTTCCTTCAAAAAAAAGTTCAGTCTTTCCAGATATGATTCCCTGTTGAATGGTCAAAATTTGTTGAGCCACGACCGATAATACTTCTAAATTGATTCTGTTGAATTCATCGAAGCAAGCCCATGCTCCAGAAGCAGCTAAACCCTGAAATAATTGTATTTTTCTTACTTTTTAAATCAATATTTCAAATGAAATAAATACTCTAGTCATTTAGAGTTTAATAAAAGTTAAACTATTGCAATCATTTTAGAACAATGAAAAAGACAAATAAAATACTTTCTTTAAAAAACTTCCCCAGAGCAATATAATCCAAACCATCAGAACAGTTGAAGACAATACATTGCTTAGCTATCGCTTTTGCCAAGTCTTTAGTTGTTTCTGTCTTCCCCGTACCCGCCGGACCTTCTGGTGCTCCACCAAGATGTAGTGCAAGTGCTCCAAATAAAGTTCTGTAGCATCTGTCAGTCAGGGGAGTGATGACAAGTCTAGGTGAATTACCTAAGTATTCGTAGCCATAATCTAGTGAAGAGTTTATCATCATGATTACTAGATCTTCATCCTAGAGAAAGAAAGAATATGATTTCCCAAAAATTCTAATCAAATGGAATTTATTTAACATTAACAATCATTTTTATTAATGATTCTCTACTTGCATACCATCCAATAATAACGCAGTTGGCATAACCACTTGAAGTCTGTAGCTTTTTCTACTTCTTTCTCCCATAAGTCTACTAAAACATCTCTGCTATGTACATCTAGAGTTATCAGTGCCTCTGGAATTGGATAATTAAACAAATATTTAATGAAGCATAGCAGTTTTTTACTGATCTTATTATAATGACGAATATTCTAACATACAAAAATGTGAATTTTATTATTTTATGATTCATGTTTTTTCATTATGAGAATGATAATTATTCTAGAGGGAAATCATGTCATATACATTTATTACATCTATGTACACTTCACTTTTATGGAGTGTTACGTAAACCACAACTTATTTTATTTTTATTATTACAGTTCTTCATTTGATATCTTCTTACCAAGGTTAATACGTTTTTCCTTGGATAATTTTCCTCGGACAAGTTCCACAATATGATTTAACTCTTCATTGCAAACTCCAATATAAGCTTCAAGAGCTTTGAGACCTTGGGGAAAAGCAGATGTTACATTTGCAGCCCAATAAAGTTGTCCGATACAGAGTATTGTTTGTCCTGGCCATAGAAGTACCCATTCTCTACGTTCTTTTATCAGATATGATTCTTTGGTCTTTATTATCTGTATAAATAAACGATCAATAAAAGATTACTTGGAGCTATGTTTTATTACTGTATCGAATAATCAGATAATAGGAGTGGATAAACGAAAAAATTTAAATTCAAATAGGGTAAAGCTTTAAAATACTCCTCACTGTTTGGTATTCTTTTGTAATCGTTTTTACTGGGACGTAAAATATAGGTAACTTTATCATGAAAGGTCTTTATTTAGAATTTTTTTAAAATCCCTTACTTGGGCACGGACACTTTTTTTCATTTCACTTTCTAATTCAACCAGCCACTTTTCCACTTGTCCTCTAGCACTAGCTGTGTCAATTTTATTCTCCAACATTATTACTTCTCCCTCAGATGATTCCATAGCAATAGCTTCCATTTCCTCTGTAAACTGCAATTTTGCTATACCATCAAAACATTTTTTCAAGTGCGGTTGGACTCTGTAAAACAAACAGTTATTAACGATTTATTTTTATCTCCTGACCTGTATTTGATTATTGACATTTAAATCTTACCTTGTTGGATCTTTAGTTTCAGATAAAATTTCCAACAATTCATCGTTTGACAAGAAAAAGAACCGTGGAAAAAATAATCTTTTCTTCTCCAAATAATCATTCAAACCCTTTTGAATTAAATCCAACAATCCAGTACACTTTTTTAAACGATCCAACATTTTATCTATCTCGATAACAGAAATAACCTTTGGATCCTGCACCACTGAGTTCATTATATCTCTCCAGATCTACAAACCAGAGAAAAATAATATTTACTCTTCTATTTCATTCAAAATGAAGTTAAAAAAAATCTAGAAAATAAAACCTTATCAACTGCACTAAATCTTCGACCTTCTTCTGGCATTTGCTGTTGAATATCTGGCGAGGAAAATATAGGTTCTAAGTACATCCATGTAGCTTGAACTTTCAGCCAATAATCCATGATATCTTGGAGTAAATACAATTTCGCTTCCCATTCGCTATAAAATGTTTAATGTTCAAAAATGATTATTTAATCTAAAAGTATAAAATATTATTCATCTTCTTACAGAGTTTCTTTCTCAAATGGCTTAATATAAAGTGAATTTTTCATGGTTTGAGCTTTAGTAAGATGATCGTCTAACAGCAACTGGATTTCGTCAATACTTGCTATGACATAAGTCCCAGTATCTCTATATGGATTTACTGTAAATTCGACATTTGTCCAATCTGCATGCATTTTCAATAAAGCCTTTTCAAGATTACTTTCTTTTGTTGCTGCTTCAGATATTCCTTCAAACTTTGGAACATATTCGTCCAATCCAAAATCAATGATCTGGAAAAAAATTCTATGATTACTACATATCATCCAAGATTCAAATATTATGAATAATAAAAGTCAAAGTTATTTTGTCTGACCTAATAATTGCAATTATCTTTTATTGATGAAACGTAGTTAAATTAATTTTTAAAAATATCTCACTTTATTACTTGCTTTAATTAAGTACTTGAACTTTATAATTACATACCTTAGCTAACGTCATTTTATCATCAACTTTTATTGGGAATCCAACAATCTCAGATACTTGAGTCCAATGTCTCTCTTTCATCCCTGGATTCCCTAATGTCCCAATGAGAGGCATATGTTCTCTAAATTCTTCAATCTGCATTCTAATATTCTCTGCAAGTTTTCTTACCGTAGGTTCTTGAAATGACTTTTCAAGTTTTAAAATAGTTCTGTAATGTGTTCCTGAGTCATCTTCAATAGAATCTGGATCATGACTGCCAATCATTGAACTCATCCATGTTTCATGTTGTGTTAAAAACTCACAAGCAACGTCATAGAATTTCTTATAAGGTGACAAACTATCAGCAATCTTTAGCAGTAGAATAATCAATGTTGAACAAACTTTCGATTAGATTTTTTTATTTCTTTTATTACATACCTTTAACACTTTACCTTTTTTCGAAGTGGATATTGTGACATTGGCCAACCAAACATCTGTTCCTCTTCATTGAATTCATTGATAGTCTTCATGGCTCCTATCAATCGATTCTCGAGATTACTCGCCTTTTTTTTATACCGGAATATCTCATCAACGTTTCCCCAGTATTGCATTTCATCACAATATTTTTCCCAGATCTTTAAATCGTTCTGGAATTTTTCTATTCTGGCTTTTAATTTTTTCTGATATTCACGAGCTTTAGCTTCTACTATTTTACGATGTTCCTCAAAAATTTCTGGCATACGATGGTACCTAAAAAATTTCAATAATTTTATTGAATAAAATTTATCGAGAAATTTAATATTATTATGAAAATATTGATTTGTACCAGGCATAAAAAACTTTTAGAAATAAACTACTTACCACTGAAAAGCAAAGTTATTAGTTTTGAGTTCAACAGGGGTTAAAAGAGTATAATCAGAAAGAAATTGTACATATTTCAAAAGTTCTCTCAGTCGATTTTCCAAGTCTATACTGATTTCAGTTTCAGCTTTAACAACAAAAGCCTTCAAATCCATCAGATCTTTTGTATTTGCTGGCTCGCCTAAAGCTCTTTCAGCTATACTTTCATAGTCTTCTCCAATTCTAGAGGAAAATAATGACACCACTTTTGTTATTCTTCAAAAAAAAATCACATTGTGTTATTTCCAATTGATTATACTTACGTTCTAGATTTAACTTGGTAATCTTCTATCATTTTATTAATTAGATTATTACGCAACTTTAGAGCAGATTTAGTCATATACTCCATTAATTCATCACGATGAACATCAAAGAATCCACCAAAAAAAACTCGATCAAATTCAATAGGGATATTTTTTGTAATTTTATCATATTTTTCTATCAGTTTAGCATATTCTGAAAAATCGTGTTCGACGTTTGCACTCAAAAAATTAGTGATAAATTCCTCATCACTGCCATTGATAAGAGTGATATATTTATCAAAGTCCTGGATTTGAAGTTCTGGTCCAACTTGATGTTCATGTATTAATTCAACTATTTCATTTTTGAAGGATTCTAAAGTTTTATTATCAATGTTTGGCTGCATATTTAAAAGAAAATTCCAACTACATTGTAAATCACTAGCTAAAAAATATCTAAGTAGATTAAACACGAGTTTTACCATCAAAGACTTCATGGATGTTGAATGACTTTGGCAGAGCTTTCTCTCAATCCTTGGGTATCCACAACCAGCTTTGTATAAGGATATTAAGAGCATAAGCAATGTATCTGTAACGAGCTTGAAGGATGGATCAAATCCTACTGTCTTATTTCTAACTAAAACACTGATGTTTAAACTGCATGGCGTATACTACAGTAGATAATGAATGAATGAATTAAAATATTTTTGTTTATAATTTCATTTTTAGAAGGAAAAAAATATATGTACTTACTACTAATTGGTCACGTGATCCCCTAGACTGTACGAAAATTATTCTTTTTACTAATATTTAATGTTAATCAACATTGATAGGGAATTCAGATAAAGTAAATTAGTTTGAAAAATGTTGACTCTTAAAAATCAATATTTAAACTTACTGAAATCTTAGAAAGGAAATCAAGAAAGTCTTTGATTGATTCCAGGCAAAGATTGCGAAGTTGATTCTCCATCACTACAGCCAGACAGTTATAAAACTTGGACATTTTACAGTCATTAAAGTCAATAAATACATTCCCTTTCTTCTGGCCCTTGAATATTACAATGATTTTACTTAAAAAATACTGATCATTTTTTTAAATTCATCTTTACTTCTTCAAATAATTATTTACCATTGAAAAAAAATTGATCAACTTGGGCAACCAGTTTTTACATAGTGTGGTAATTGTTTTTTTGATCATGTTCGAAACTATTGATTCAAACTCTGATAAGTCAAATGATTTATTATAATTTCTTTCTAATTCTTGGATATTAATAAATCTTAATGAGCTATATAATAATAGTTAAAAATAATTTTATTAATAGTCCAGGAACTATGTTGCTGAAATTACTGTAATACTTGTTGGATAATTTTTATAATAGTTTGAAACTTGCCTAAATTCTTGATGCCACAAATCAATAGCTTTTTTTATACAAGGATGATATAAAAGAAGATTTTTCTGGATCATTATTCGAACTCGCTTAAATTTAGCACTATGTTGGGGAGGTAAATTCTTGACTTCACAACTTTCTTTGGTCGTTGAAATCTATTGCAGCAATACCATTAAATTGAAAACACTTTTTTAGCTTACATAAAATCATTCGAAACCTTTTCTCAATTTCATTTACCTTCTTTTTTTCCATTTCGAATTCATCTTTATTAGGATCTTCAAGGATAAAATCGACAATCGATTTCTTCAAACTCATAGTATAAAACTCTTTAGTGTCTTCCAAGACATTAGTTAGCACATTTCTGAATCGTTTTTTCAACCTCTTAGGTATTAAAATCAGGATTTTATTGAGCAATTCAGAGTCCATAGAAGCTACATGAACATTATCAATCCCATGCATAATGTAGTAATAATATTTCGATAAGTATTCTTCAGTAGGGTCTGTGGTGGTATCAGTTCCCAAAGCCATTGGTTCAATATCAGCTTCTAGTTCTTCCTCTTTTATCATTTGTATTAAATTTTGTCGAAACTCTTCACGTCTCTTACGGAGTGTCGTGTAACAATGCATTTTAAAAATTCGCTCTTTTTGCTGTCGAAGTTTTAAAAATGAATCTTTTTGTGATCTAAAGTGATACATTTATTAAAACTTATTGAAAAGCATAAATTGAAATTTTATCTAGTGTCTACCTTCTTGGATCCTTGAATGAACAATCTACTGTGGTATCCAACAAAAAGGTGGATCCTTCCAAGCTATCATCACTGTCTATACCATCTTCACATTCATCACCATCATTATCATCATCGTTCAAAGTCTTCCGGATTTTTCTCTTCCGTACATCTGGCTTCTCATCATTTTCTTTCACCCTTTTCCTTGTAGCTGATTGTTTTTTATAATCGATCATCAATTTACCATATCTTTGGAAGCTGGGAAAATCCATATTTTTAATTTATCTTCAACACTTTCTATTCTAGTTTCATCTTTCTTAATAGAAATGTTGATTTACGTAAACAAACTTAGAACCAATTAATATCTGTTAAGTACGAAGTAACAATGAAGCAATAACTCAGTGAATATGTGAGGTTTCATTGACTCTTAGTCATAACTTCGTTACCATAGAATTGTTAAATTGGTTGCTAGGATGTTGGGTTCACATGCAATGAAATCTATTTCAAAGTTTGTACTGAATCTGGTGGAAACAATTATACAGGTTGGCAATTACGACAAAATAATAAATATTTACTGGTTACACCATAAATAAAATAACAAAATATTTATTGTTTATTTTTATTTATTTTTTATTTTCATTTATATTACACAATACAATTTTTTATTTTCTCTTTCTAGCAGTAAAACATCAATTCTATACATCACAATAAATTTTATGTGTTTCTAGAAGTTTAGAACTTATAGATATATATTTTACAGAGAAGATGATTACAATAAATTTCAATGATTTATTAATATTTTATTTGCTTGCATATGTGTATTATTAATTTTATCTATTTCACAAAATTTTCTGATTGTCATGTTTACATATGTGAAATTGCCATCTTTTGATCCCTTTATATTGATATATATATATATTTATGATAAACATTGTTATTATACGATATAATTTATTGATTTTATTTTTTATTCATTCCATGATATAAATTTATTCATTTAGGACGGTAAAACAATAGTTTTTTCTTTAGATAATTTTTAAAGATTATAAGGTCGTATACAAAACTAGCCTAACCGAAAAAATAAAAAATACAGTATTCTTACATCTATAAATATTATTTCGTACACTCTGTTTATTTTTGAGCTTTTTTAGGTGGTAAAATATCATAATCCAGAGATAAATATATAACGAAAGTGCTCGGAGCGACACTAAGTTTACTCAAACAATTTTATTAATTGAATATAAAATTGAATTTGTACCTGTCGGTTATACTCAAGTGGTTTTTTATTGTAAATCATAACCACTCCTTGACAGATTTATTTTAACACTTGAGGCGAATTAATTAAAACCTTTGTATTGCTAGCAGATTTTTTTTAAATAATAAACTGTTTATTTAATTGACGATCAGATAAAAAATTAATTTAATTAAATAGTCATACTTTCAAGGTACCTTAAAGTTAATAAATATCTCTCTCAATGATTAATTGCCATTATTTGTTTTTACACTAAATACAACAATAAATATTATTTTATACTCTTTAAACTTTTTATATCCACAACTTATATAAATAATATTGCTAAAGTTCTTTCTGATTCTTTCCAATTTTTTCCAACTTTGATTCAAACTTTACTTTATATTTTACTTAATTACTTTTACTCAGGTATTAGTTTTTGTGTACAAATAATATTATTTGCAAGCAATTATTAATTAACGTAAAATTTTTTATAAAATTACTTTAATTATTTCTTGTTTATTAATAATAAACTCAGTACTTTGATGTTTAGAGGTAAAAAAAAAAGAAATAAATCACTGGTGATTAAGTTGAAGTAATTAAAAATAATTAGTAAATTATGACGTAAAAATCACGAAGGTCCACGAATTCACTTGATGGATTATTTGACGTGGTTCAGAAAGTAGTTAAGGTCTCGAGAAGCGAAAACGGTACGGTGTCCAGGCGAACAACTCTATAGAAACAATAAATTCTAATATATTGGCACCGATTGTAACTATTTATACATCTTTAATATTTATTAATATTCTCTTTAAAACAACTACTTCTCTGAACATGCACAATAACGACTAATGTTTGTAAATATTTTCCTTCCAATATCTATTGCTATTTATACATTTATTGTTACTATTTTACTGATGCAACTATATCACACACTCATACATTTAAGCATAATTTTATGAAGTCTAATTTTAATTTATTATATCAAGCTTGTAAATGGATATTCTATTCTATTACCACTCTCGATGACTTTTATTTGAGTGTTTATTTCATTAAATTGAAGGAATTTTATTAATTAATATTTAATCACTGTTGTGAACTCATGAACTAATGATAGAAAAAACATGCAGTGATCTTTTTTTAATGACTTGTTTGGAATTTTAGGGTTTATGCTTGTGGCCTCTGCAGTGTCAGCTGTGGTTTATTATGTGGATGGAAGTAATGACATTTACAGCTGTGTAAATGCTTGGAAATAAATTCTCAACTGAAGGTACAGTTCATTCATTACAAAATAATAATAAACTACGTTTATTGTTCTTTTAATTAATCTTCTTTAACAAATTGGTTTCAGGTTCAGGAAGAACTATTTTCACAGGATTTGTTCTTGGTGTAGTAATGCACAAACATGTAGTTTGTAAGTGCTTGTGATAAAGTTGGAAACAAATTTTTTACACCAAGAAAGGTATCTTATTTTTTATTGTTATTAATGATTTCATTATAGGATGAATTAAAATTTTTAATCAATTTATTTTTTAAAAACTTTGCTATAAAAAAGATCAAATGAAACTCAATAATTAAAAATTTTGTGAGTTAGGAAGCTTGTATTGTAAACTTTATTTCGTCTTTTAAAGTATTGTACGCCAATTTATTGTCGAGTTATGGAGGTATAAACCTATAAAGACAATGTTCAATTTGACCTATTCTTGGAAAGCTTGGTAGTAAATTTTTCAAAAAATCTACGACTTCTAGTCAAGTTATGAAAAAAAAAAATTTTTTAATTTTAAGCTTTTTATTTCATTCTATTTTAAAATAACTTTATAAACTTTATAGAACATGATGTATATTGAAAAATAGTGAAATATTCCAAAGTGAACTCTACTTTTGTAATATCTTTTTCAATATAAAGTATTTCAACTAAACTCATAAAGAAAATCCTACATGAAATAACGATACAGTAGCCTTTGAAACTTTTTAAATGAAAATCTTTTTAAAAAATAGTAGACTAATAAAATCACTCTGTTTTAGATACACATGCAATCAGAATTATTGACAAGAGACTATGAAGATGAAATTATTTAAAAAATTCCTTTCTTTGTGCAAAGTATCCAGAACAATAAAAAGAGGGAGCAAACTCTGTCAATACTAAAATACAAAGCACAGAACAGAGGTACATATAACACTTTAACAAATCGATGAGATGTCAATGAAGTCTGGATAAGAGTGGTTGATTGGTTGATTGATATACGATGATACAATGCAAGATTACAAGCAAATTTGAAGATTGACAGCAGTCTTGTGTTGGTAGTTGCATGTATATTGCTGACGAGTTGTGATAGCACGCGGATAATTTGCCATTTGTGTTTATTTAGTTAAATCAGTCTCTACGATTTTACCATTATTTGTGAAGCATGGGCAGACTGCATTTAGGATCCGATTGCAAAAGCCACGGGCACGGTTGTTCCATCCAGCGATGATATTGCCGCCTTTTAATCTACTGCCTGCATAACATGCATTTTAGCACTTTGTTATTTTACTGTTAGCAATACTACTCTAGCTTCTATACGTTAATTTCTCAAATACTCATTTATTAACCCGACTGTTAATGAATAAATAAAATACACCTACTCTTCTAAGGGTTGTGATGATAGGGAAGAAAAGGCTTCTTATAAGACAAGGATTAATTGAACATAAAATATTTAAAGTACTACAATAATTGTATGAAGGGATAAAAGTTTTCCTTATAAAAAATTGGAAATAAATAAATAAATGTTTTACTATTTTTTCATAACCTTCCATTGTATTCAGATGAAATATTCCGATAAAAATTTTATAACTCCATGGTTATGACAGTATTACTCTTTGTATTCATTCAAAATATTTGTAAGCGAGGAAAACATTCCAACATCGAAATGAAAAATCAATTTCTAGAAAATTCATGAAAATATATTTCAGCCAATATTTCATTTAAAAAATCATATTTTTATAGCAAAAATGAATCTGCAATAAAAATAGTTAAAAGGAATATGGTATTTTAAGATGTAGACATGAACTAATAGTAAAATATTAATTTTTTGATAAACTAATTTCGTTAGCCATAAACTACTTACTAAACTTACTAAAAGATGAGAATGACATTTATAATAAAAAAAAAAGTACTGAATTTCTTTCATACCGTTAGAAAGACTTGATATTTTACCTTCGTTTACTCCGTCATTCTGTAACAGAAAGGCATGATAGAATCATAAATATTAATAAGCTTTTTGAAATCTGTGGTAATGAAGGCTAACTTGATAATCTAGCACATATTGTAGAATTTATAATTTAAGTTACTTATATATTGAAATAATCTAAATTAAATATTAAAATAATCCTTTTTTAATTGAGAAACAAATCGATTTTTGACTTTAATCCCTGAATTAATCTTTCAAAAAAAAAAACTAGTGAATATTTTTATATAAAAATGTACTAACTACATTTTGTAATTTCCTTTTAGAGGCTTCCGAGGCAGCAGTTTCGATCACGTCAGTGATGAATTTTGTTGTTTCCCGCATAAGCTCTTCATCCTCTTTGAAAGCTTCTTTTCGTTCCTCAAGGTTTCCTGTCATCAATTTTGTTTCATGTTCATCCAGCACTGGCGATTGAAACGTCAAAGACATTGTTCGAATACCAACTATTTATCACTCAGGTATATAATATAAATATTTTCAACAGTCTTTTCTTGATGGAATATTTTTTAATATGAATTATCTCCACATTTTTCACAGTTAGTTATTTTAACTGAAAATAAAAGAAAATAATATACAATTATAAAATCTATTTAGAAATATTTAATTTTATATAAAAGTATTTTTAAATTCATAAAACGCCAAGGAGACAACGAGTTTTGTCGAGTTGTGAATAAATGCTAATGAAATTCTCTACAAACTATGCAATCTTTGTGTACAGAAGATAATTAAGAAACAAAACAGCAGAAGAAAAATTGAGATAAAGAATAATATTGAATATATAACATTATTACATGAATTATAATACTTGAATAAATAAAAAAATCTTAAAAAAATAGTGAAAATGAAATTAAAAAAATTAAAAACACCCATTTAAATTATTAGCACAAACGTCCTAAGATATCTGGCAAATATCAATTGTGAGGAAGAGATAACTCAGCTACAGGTGGCACATGTTTGATATAGAGAAAAAATATACACAAAAGTATAAGAATGTTATAAATAGAAAAGTTGAAAGTGAGAAAAAAGAGAGAGGACTAATAGAAAAAAGTGTGTGTTTGTTGCATCATATTACGGATTTACGGTTTAGTTGAGTTTTCCTTCCTTTTTTCTTTCACAGTTAGTCTTCCTGATCATTGAAGTGATTTATTTAACACAGGAAGAATCAACGTGAACAATAAAAATATATCAGATAATACCTTACGTACTGCAAAAGTTAATGAAAATGACGTAGTAAGTAAATGGTAAAAAAGTAATTATAATAAAATATATATTATCGGAATGATAAAAAATACAACACGTTTCTGTGTGTTTCAGTTGGTGTCGACGAACGCCCGGCGACCCGGATACCTCGTAATGATCGGCTGCTTCGTGCCTGGCTTTCTCTACTGAATATGTCACCCCCTCTCGCAAAATATTTTCGAGCATGCGCCTCCACAATTGCATTTGGCAGACACACTTTTCTCATGCCTGTATTCCAATAAATCTAAATAAATACAAACAAACTCCCGAAAATATATAGAAAAAATATTCGGTCTGGGAGCCATCACTGGACTGCAATTCATCAATTTTCGGAGCAATCCAAACCATCAAGCGAATTAATTGCGATTAGTTGTTAAAAAAAGTTGCTATTGGTGATCACCTACACATTACCTGTAACATGAAATACATGATAAATGGAAATAAGTCATAGTTGATGACGTAAATTGAAATAAAAGTAATATACTATCGACGCAGTGTCATCGAAGTATACGGATAATATTATCCACTTAATTGAACATAAATTTACTACGATGAATGATCACTGACCGTATCTAAGTAGTCCGAGTTATAGTCACGACTCTCAGATTGCTTTTTTGCTAGATTTATCATTCAATTCTATTTATGCTAAGTCTTGATGCTTTGATATTATGTCAAATTACAATATATTTCATTAAAAAGAAGTTGCTACTTAAAGTATATAAAAATAAGCAACAATTAAAAAGGCAAAGAGACTAATTTTTTAATTTCTGACTGCGTTTTGTAATTAATTGATGATAAATAACATAAGTTTCCTGACATTTAAATCAAATTATAAAAATTCTTTGATGACGTTGAAGTACTTATTATAGTAATAAATTAATATACATATTTAATGTTTGTCGTGACCTTATCATAAGAACATTTTTTATCTCTTTTTCTTAGATTTTTTCTTTTTTCTCAGCGCCAATTTTTCTAAATATTTTCTCCACGAGTTCTGAATAATTCTGGCAGCCCTATTTCTCTTGAAATTATCCAAGTCTCTGGTAAAAGCTTTGATCAGTTCTGTTTCTCGTTCAGTTCTTAATTCTTCGTATATTATTTCTTGAACTGTCATTTTATCCTGCAGAGTTTCAATATTTCAGAAATAAAATAAATAAACTTGCAATAAATGAACAAAAATTCATACCTCAAGATTTTTTAACTTTGCGTCTAACAAAGTAGACTCTTGAGATAATGATTTCATTGTTCGATAAAAGCTTCCAACATCTTCGTCATATTTTTCCAACATTCCCAAGTACTCTCTCTCGCTTCTTTTCCTGAAATATTAAATAACTGAAAACATTCAAATGCCATCAACACTCATTTTTCTAAAAGTTATATGTTTTAATCTATTCATACATATTATATAATTCTACATACTTGGCAGTGAATAAATCTTTTTCTCGAGCTTTATTTATTTCTCGAAGTACCTTATATTGAGCTTCTATCAAATCCAATTCTACCTCTATTTTTCTTTCAGCATCAAGTATACATTTAATGATATTTTCAACTGGAGACTTTGATTTTTGCCTATAATTTAAATCGTTCATCTCACTCTCTACTTCAACATCAATTTTTGTTCATTAAAAATTTATAAATACTCTACTTAGTTTCCTGTTCTTGAATAGTTTCAATCGTCTCTAAGAGAATTTCTTCTTCGTCAGACTGCTTTTTAATATGTACATTGGCAGATTTGTTATGTTCAATTTGTTCTATTTTCAATATCGGTTGCAAATCTAAAAAGAAAAGAAATATTATAAAAACAAACATCCTTCATTTTAATGTTTTCGTTCTTTCTAAGTTCTGCTATAATTATTGAGAAAAAAAAAATATTTTTTTTAAGCTCACTCTTAACTTCCACTTCAGCTTTTTTTGTATTTACAAGAATACTTGCTAAATTAGGTGTATACTCTAATTTTTCTTCTAGAAAAGTGTCCATTTGTTTCTCAATAACAGGAGTCATTTGATCTAGCATTCTTATCAAAGTCTCGAGGGTATTAGATTTTTTTCCCTTGTAAAAATCAATAATTTCTGAAACCAGTGATAACTTTCTAACATTTTCTGACAGTTCTATAAAAAACTGACATACACGTTCTATTGAAGTTTCGTATTCCATTGTTAGCTTGTTAATTGAAGAATATAACAACTGAAACTATAATAAGCAACACTGAAGAGATTTGTCACTTCATACAGCTTATTTCGGTTGTATATGACTCACCATCAATAAAGTACTTTGAAAGTCATGAAGTTGACTTCAGTAATAGTTTAACGATCAAACAAAGTTTATATACTGCAAATTTCAAGCTTGCTAACTTTCATATTTTTGACACTTGGATTTAAATTTAGAGGAGAAATGTTCAGCTGTCTGCTATATTTTATTAAAGTTACGCATTTCAGAATAGAAAACAATAAATTTTCCCAGATTTTACAGTTTCCTTTATCATCTTTTTTATGTTCTAAAATATTCATACAATAAACTTTCAGTTGATTTGTTTATATTGTTTATGTCAAATTTGAGGCTATAAACATTTGAGAGATTTTTGGAGGTTATAAGAAGCAATGGGAGTTTTAAAAATAATATGGTGCAGTTTTAGATAGGCGACAAATTGGTCGATCAAGAGGTCGACTTTAACTATTATGTTGGGAAACAAAGGTATATGAGTAAGTAAAAATAAAACTAAATTTAAGCTGTATTCGAGGAATATCGATGCGCCGCGCTAAGCACGCAGAATAATTCGAAAGTATACGCGCATGCGTAACATCACGTGATGATATGAGCCCGGCAGCTACCGCAAATACGTCGGTGACGACGTCGATGCACGTCAGTGATGCTCATTTGCTTGTTAAGGTCTTTAGTAATAAGGTAGCAAATTAGTGACGAGCAAATATTCCAAAGCTGATACACTTTAGTGAACGAGTATGATGACGATGATAATGTCACGAGAATGTGCACCTCCGTGACAGAAGTGAATCGCGAGCTGACTGATCACATTTGTCGGATGTGGCGTAGTTGATTGTATTCAGTAAAAAAATTTTAAGAATAATAAACATGGCGTATCGCGGTGTCAAAGGTTCTGATCCATTTGTATCGAAAACATCACGAAATGAACGATTTGCACAGATGTCGAAGCAAGAACAAATTATTCAACAAAAAAAATTGGAAATTCAGGCTAAAATGCAAGAAATGAAGGCCAAACAAGCTGTTGAAAGTACAAAAAAAACTGGCTCATCAAATACATTGCCTTCTACAGTTACTAAAGTTACTTCAACTAAGTAAGTAAACTATTTCAATTGAATTATTCATTACCATATTTTATTTCATTCTTGAATTCAAGCTATTTTACTTTTTTCGTATTAAATCTACTCATCACGCGGTTGTTGTAATGTAATACACAATCGAATAACCTTAATCAATAAGTATCACACGTGTACACAATAATACAGGTAAAAAATTATGGATTTGAATCCGTTTAATGCTAGTACAAATTGTCATTTAAATGTATTTGAATTTTTATGAGGAAGTAGAAGCTCAAACATTGTATTAACAATTTAAAGTTACGTGACTTGAGACTATTATTCTAAATGACGTGAAGAAATAATTTTGTACATCAAATGTTAGATAAAATTTATTTGTCTAAGTCTAGCTGCCGAAATTGTCCTATATTAAATAGAGGTCAACAGATTGCATGTATTTATTTATAGGAGAGAAGATGAGAAGCCAACTACTGCGCCTACAATTAATTTATTTGCTAATGATGGCAGTTTCTTGGATCAATTCAAAAAGATTTCGAGTAGCAAAAATATGCCGAAGCAAGAAGCTGCACAAGCCAAGACTGAGGAGATAAAGAAAGAAGATAGGAAAGAAGATAGAAGTGATAAAAATTATGAAAGCTCAAGAGAAAGGCGATGGAATGGAGAAAAAAGTAGAGATTGGGATAGAAGAGATAGAAGAAGAAATGATTCAAGATGGGGAAAAAGCTCTGATAGACATCGTAGTTCATCTTCCAGTCCATCTCCACCGAGACATAAATCCTCTCCTAGTCCTGATTCCCGACGGTATCATCAAGCATCCAACGGCTCTAGGTCACAATTTAATCAACAACAACCGCAACAATCTTGTCCGCCTCAACCCGTAAATCAATCTTCTTCTATTCCTTCTCTTATACCTCAGGCTGTGATGCAAATGACCAGCACACCACCTCCAAACCTAAGAAATGTTCCCCCACCAAATCGTCCAAATGTACATGGAGTGTCTTCTGTCAAGAATGAGAATTATTCTAATTTAGAAACTCATCCATCAACTCCTCGGATGGCTGTACCTCCACCTCATCTTATTCGACCACCGCCGCCTCCGCCAATTAATACTAATGTACCGCCGCCTAACATATCTATTTCTCAAAACGTTCCGATGCAAAATATCCAGCCACATCCATGCCCCTCTTCAACATCATCTCAACACATCATTCCACCGCCATGTAATATTCCAACTCTAAATACTCTCCAACCGCCAAGTATTCCATCAACAAATGTCCGGCCACCAAATTTACTACCTCCTATAAATCAAATGCCACCTAATATGTTACAAATGAATGCAAACCAAGCAATAGTTGTGACAGTTGCAAGTGTTCCTAACGTTCCACCGCCTCCAGTTATTTCACCAATTATTATGTCAGCACCACCACCTGTTCATAGCTCGACTATTAATTCTGTTCCTCCTCCGAATCTTAATATTCCTCCACCTAATGTACCGCCACCTTCAATCATTCAAAATCCAGCACCTTCAACGCATCTTCTACCTACCACATATCCAATTCAGAATCAAATACAGATGCCAGTTGTCAGGCCTAATGTTCAAATACCACCACCAGTCAGACCTCCAACTAATTTATCATCATCTACTGATCCATCAGGTAATTAAAAAAATAAAATTTAACAGTTTTTTAAGAATTTAATCATAATAACAATTATCTGGATATCCTTTAACCCGTTTGACGCTTTATTTTAGCTCCTAGTGGTCTTGTAGAAGCCGAACAATTAGCACGAATCGTCGCAGATTGTGGTGATGCAATTGAACAAGAAGTACGCGAGAAGAATGCTCAAGATCCTAAGCTATGGTAACTACTGTCCTCACTAACTCCTTATTGCATGACATTCTTATTCCATTTTATGCTATTTTTGCATTTAATTAATTAATTAATCATTATTAATATTAACTAATATTTACTATTTAACTGATTTAAGAAAATATTTAAGCCTTCTAATATTTGCATTTCTAACACCTATGCACATATTAGTTTTATGATCAGATAATGACAATTACGTAAAAGGAGATTCTATCCAGCTCTCCAATACTGAAATTGTAAGGTTTATTCGTCATCATACTTTTAATATGCATTGGACATTATCCCTTAATATCCAATTGTATTTCCTGTATTTATTAAGTATTTTTAATGGCATGCTGACTTGAATAAAAACTTTTTTAGTCATTCATAAATGCTCTTCATGTTATTAAAAACTATTTTTAACATTATTGCATTATAAATATCACTTGCACATACATATGTATTTCATTTCATGTAAGCTTGTACATTTTTATGCTAAAAGTGAAAAATTATACTTTTAGATGTTAATTAAGTTGATAGTGATCATTAATGTAGATTTCATATGATTATCATTAGTTAAATTAAATGATAAAATAATTAGTGCTTGTTCATATGAGAAACGGTTTATCTATTACTTATCACACAGTGTAGGTTGATACATGAATATTATTCATTGCAAGAAAATTAGTATTTAATAATTTATATTGTCGTTTTACTAAAGTCTGAACTAACATTTTTTTGGCACTTAACTTTCTTTTATTCGTATGCTCCGTAAGATATTAATTGAATTTAAGATATATTGATGAGTTTTTATAAAATAATGAGTTGTAAATCAAATGATCCTTTATCGATAAAAATAATAACATTGGTATGAAAAATTAGGCGTTAATCTTTCTTGACAGAGTTTTAAGTATTGTTTTAATCAAGGTTTCTGCACCAAAAGCAAAGTGCAGCGTACCTGCAGTACAGGGGATTGGTGGCCAAGTTTCGTGCTGAGAAAGCGGAAAAAGAAAACAACAAACGAAGCAGTGGCGCTGAACCTTACTGTCCTGAAGAAGCTCTTAGTGATAATGAAGATGTTGAAAAGACGTCTAATAAACATATCTCTCTAAGTGGTACGCTATTGATCTATATTTTTGGTGCATTTTTAATATTTATGTCTGAAGATGAAAAAGTCATTAACCTAGTCTCTTTTTTTCTGGTTAGATAATAATTCTAAAGAAGATAGTAAAGAAGAACGAAAGCGAAAAAGACGAAGTCGGTGGAGTGAACCCGATAATAAAGTTACTATTCCCGGGCCGACTTTACAACCTGGATTGCCAAATGTGAATCCACAAATTCGTCCACCACCTATCACTTTACCGGTACAACATGGTCAAGGGTCGTTGTTGTTAACACCAAAGATGCAAAATGCCAAAGGAAAGAATCCAATGTTGACTAAAATATCTCGAAGTGACCCTGCGTTGATTCAATATGCAAGACAGACCTTTGGTACTTTGGATCTTAATGAAGAACAGTGGAAAAAGGCTGAAGATCATTATAAAGTAAATTATAACATTCAGTGTTATTTATTATTATTAAATAGTATATTTCAGTGAATAAATTTATAAGTGATATAATTATTTGCAGATAAATTTATTATATCAAAATCTTTTGAAGAAAAGAGAAGAAGTGAAACGTTTAGAAGCACAGGGAAAGCATAAATATGAATATGATAGTGATGAAGAAGTTGAAGGTGGTACATGGGAACACAAGCTAAGGTCAGCAGAAATGGAAGCAACTCAGATGTGGGCTGAAGAGTTGACAGCTCAAGCTGAAGGAAAACATCATATTGGAGACTTTTTACCTCCTGATGAGCTTAATAAATTTATGGAGCAATATAATGCTCTCAAGCAAGGAAAAGAGCCAGATCTTAGTGATTATAAAGAGTACAAACTCAAAGAAGATAATATAGGTTTGTTTAATATTTATATCACAATATTTATTCAATCTATTTTGAATATAATAAACAATAATTTATTGTTTTATCTCTCAAGGTTTTCAAATGTTACAAAAGCTTGGATGGAGTGAAGGTCAGGGTCTCGGAAGTGAAGGTAGTGGTCGCACTGAGCCTGTAAACAAGTAAGTATTACTTTCTTAGCAGAAATAAATGCCCTTTGGTCACTGAATAAGTAAACATTTAAATTATTTATTTAGAGCAACTACAAGACTGGATAGTGCCGGTTTAGGAACAGAAAGACCTGATAATATATCGAGAGATGACGATGAATTTGATGCCTATAGGAAAAGAATGATGCTTGCCTATCGATTCAGGCCAAATCCTTTGGTTTGTTGTTTCTAAATATTATTTTTTTTAAATATATATTATTAGTCAATCAGTTATTAATGTTTATTTATTTTTATAGAATAATCCAAGAAGGCCTTATTACTAATTCAACAATTAATCAAAATATGTGGCCATTAATTATAAAAGAACACCAACATCCCAAGTAAAATTTTTTCTATAAAGACAAAAAAGAGACAATATTATTTTGTATATTTAATTAAAGCACATGTTTAATGAACATGACATGATAATTATTGTTGATATGAATGCTAGTAAATATATCTATCAATAAAAATACATTTGTTTATATGCTCAATGTTTAATATTCTTCAAAGAAATATATTTAAGCATATTTATTTATCTTTTACCTCATTAAATAAACAATGCGTTTATTTTCCTTATTTTTTTAATGAAGAATTGTTAAAAGTAAAAAATATTTTTGAATTTGTGACAAAGGTAAGAATGAATTTTAATTGAAGAACATCCATGTTGAAATATTGTAATATGTACAAATTATATACATATATAATTACGTTAAATCACAATTTACTGTTTTTCTGATTTAATTTTAATTTTTTTCTGTTTAACAGGTTTTCCTTCTGTACTTTTAATAGGTTTTTTTTCAATAGTTTTCAACGATTCTGTTTCTTTTTCTTCATCCATTGGAACAACTGTAACTCGTCCAGATGGTGTAACAGACACTTTAACATCACTCTCTAATGTTGTAAGTTCTCCCTCGACAACAGTAAATGCTTTAGGTCTCTTGGGTTTGACTATTGGCACTGGAACCTCATTCTTATGTTCTGAAAATATTAATAATTCTAAAATTAGCAAACCAAATAATTTTACAAAATATTTTAATCGAATTCCATAAAAGCTGCTTACTGATTGAATAATAAACAGGAATACCCAAGCTGCTTTTAGTTTTAATTAAAATCGATCGAATATTATCAAATCCTCCAGGATATTTTTCTTTCAATTGCTCACAAATAGCCAAAACATTTTTAACAACTTTTTTCTGTGGCATAGAAAGAGTTGCTACTTTAACAGTATGACAAGGGCCAAGACCATGAATTTCTAGAGTTGTTTTCTTCAGAGCTTTATCTATTTCTTCTTTCAAATTTTCTCGATGTAGTCTAATGGGAACTGGAGGGGTTGAAAGCCGTGTAAAACTCTTTCCTAATAGATGAGTCATATGTCCAGCAATTCTCCCATCAACTAGGAAAAAGTCATATAATCGAGCAAGTTTTCTTCGCATTTCATATTGATTATATTCATTTTTAACTTGGTTCATTGGAATAATTGCATTGATATTTGTTACTCCTTTTTCTCGTAAAATTGTTTCCCAATGCTCGACGGTTTTTTCATGGTCTTTTCGTCGTCCTCTTTCTAAATCTGGAACGAATAATGCTACTTCATCGGTTGAACTCATCATTACATTGGGTAAAAGCCTGAAAAAGGTAATTTAGAATATTAGATGTTTGTATGAATCAAGAATAAAAGTAAAAAAAAAATAAATTAAATTAAATTAGTGGTATAACTTACATTCGTACTTTTCTACGAGGAACTTTAGGAATTTTAATACAATTAATTTGTAGGAAGATAGAATTTCCTTCAAAAGGTAGTAATGACTTTTTTTCTTGTTTCTCTTTTTGAGCAAGCTGAAAAATTACATCAACAGCCTTTTCGACATTCATTTTATTAAGCTCCAAGTTTCCTATAGCCTCCTCTGCTGTTTTATTTTTTGCATTTTTCACTTTTGTTTTTTTTTCTTTATTTTCAGTTTTTATTTTATTTATTTTTTTCTTAACTTCTTGTACTTCTTTAACTTCTTCATTATCCTTAGACTTTGGAGATTTGTCTTCTACAACTCCCTTCATTACTTTTGCTTTTACTTTATGTAGTTGTTTAACTTCTTTATTATTCTTTGATTTTTGAGATTTGTCTTCTATAGCTTTACTAATTACTTCTGCTTTGACTTCATGTAGTTGATCAACTTTTTTATTGTCCTTGGATTTTTGGGATTGGTTTTCTCCAACTTTTTTTACTTTTTTCTTTACAGACATCTCTACAGGATCAGATGCCAGATTCTTTCGTTTATTTTTCTTAGATTTAATCATATTTTCTTTATCTAACGTACATTTATCTTCCTTTTCATTAGTTATTTCCTTCTTAATCGATTTTTCTTTCACATGCTCAACAGTATCTGTTTTCTTGGGCTTTTCAGTCTTTTTGGAGGTTAACTTGGACTCCTTTTTAACTGCTTTCAATAAATCGTTTAGATTTTCATATGAAGCTTTATTTTTAGATTCTTTTTCATTCTCATTTTTGATCTTTACAGAAGTATCCGAATTTTTTTCACACTTTTCTATTGCATCGAGAATTTTCAATGATTTTTTTGGACGCTCTTTCACCATTTTCTTTTGAAGATTACCTTTTGCTTTTGGATTTTTCATCTTTTTATCACAATGTTTGTATTATTTTCTATCAAAATAATTTATGAAATATTTTAATAATTGTTTACAAAATAAATCACCGGCACACGTGTTTTTTAATCGTACGTAACCAATGTGGCATAAACAACGCGTTATACAAAAACATTGACAGGAAATGATGTCCTTAATTTGACCGGAAATCACGATGTGACTGTAAATAATGTAGAAACACTATTTTACCAGCAATTTTAAAAAAATCGATTTTACCTTCATTCGATAATACAGTCTTTATTATCAACATTTTAGACAAATTCAAAAATTTCCGTTGCTCAGCTCAACTAAAATTGTTTGTAATTGTGATAATCACTGTTTTGGCGGTTGTTTACAGTTTCTGTTTTCTTAAATTTGTAAATTAGTGTTATTTTAAACTGTGACCTACGTTGAGAATTTTTAGTATTTTTAAAATATCAACAAAGATATGCAAAATGTATGTCAAGTCTCTAGTTTTAGATGGATTCAAATCCTATGGGAAGAGAGCAGAAATAAACGGCTTTGATAGAGAATTCAACGCTATCACCGGTTTAAATGGCAGTGGAAAATCAAATATTTTGGATGGAATATGTTTTGTTTTGGGCATTTCAGCTCTTGGACAAGTAATATTCATTCAATTAAATTTATTAACAATGATTATTTTTATTTAATTTTCCATGACTATAACCTATCTTTTTTTACTTTGAATGTCAGGTACGAGCAACATCACTCCAAGAACTGGTCTACAAATCAGGACAAGCTGGAATAAAAAAGGCAAGTGTTACAATCACTTTTGATAATACTGATAAATCAACATCACCTATAGGGTATGAAAGTTCTGAAGAAATAACTGTTACTCGACAAATAGTCATAAATGGAAAGAATAAATATTTTATCAATGGCACAAGTGTCACCAATAAAAGAGTCCAAGATATGTTTTGTTCAGTCCAACTAAATGTCAATAATCCTCACTTCTTAATTATGCAAGGAAGAATCACTAAAGTACTAAATATGAAGCCATTGGAAATTTTATCTATGATTGAAGAAGCGGCAGGCACTAGAATGTTCGAAGAAAAGAAAGAAGTAGCAATAAAAACCATTGAAAAGAAAAATAATCGATTGCAAGAGATCAACTCCATTCTTGAAGAAGATATTGCTCCAAAATTGGCCAAGCTGAAAGAAGACAAAGCTCAATATATTGAGTATCAAAAAGTTCAACGTGAATTGGAGCACTATGTGAAAATTGTCGTAGCTTGGGATTATGTTTCAGCATTAAAAAATAGTGAGAAAGCTACAGCAAATGTTGAGAAGGTGAAAAATGAAATTTCAGAGAAAAATGCAGCAATTGAAGCTGGCAAAGAAGAGATTGCTTCTATTGATACAAAGATAGAAGAAATGAAGACAAAGTTGCATGCTGAAAAACAAGATAGATTAGAACAACTTGAGCAAGAAATAAAGGCTGCTGAGAAGAAAGAAAATAAAATGTCTGCTGAATCGAATAGTAATAGGGAGAGTATTAAAGCAGAAAAGAAAAATATTGATCAACTCAAAATAAATATCACAGAAGATGAAAAAATGTTGGAGCAAAAAGAAACAGAACTTCAAAATGTTGGAGGAAAATTTGACAAATTGAAAGAAACTGAACAACAGGATGCAGCTGCTGTTGTAGCAGCTCAAGAAAAATTACAAAAAATCAGTGCTGGTTTGTTAGAAAGTGATACTGGAGAAAATGCTACTTTGGAGCAACAGTTAATTAATGTAAAACATTTAGTATCTCAAGCACAAACTGAAATCAAACAATGTGAAATGGCATTAAATCATAATCGTGATTTATTAAAGAAAAAACAAAAAGAAGCTCAAATGACTGATAATGATTACAGAAAAGACAATAGAGATTTAGAAGAAAAGAAAAAGCAGTTAAATATTTTAGAGAACCAAATGAAAAATATTAATTATGAAGATGGTACTTTACAAAGGCTTCAACAAACAAAAAGAACTTTAGTAGAAGAAATTCAGGTTCTTCAAGATAAAATAGAATCTTTTGTTATGAAGTATCCTCGATTGCGATTCGAATATCAGGATCCAACACCAAACTTTGATAGAAATTCTGTAAAAGGGTTAGCCTGTACTCAGTTTAATTTGAAAGACAAAAAAGCTGCATATGCTCTGGATGTTGCAGCAGGTGACAGATTATATAATGTTGTTGTGGATTCAGAAACAATAGGTAAAGCTTTGCTTAAAAAAGGACAACTCCAACAACGAGTTACATTCATTCCACTTAATAAAATTTCTGGAAAAACTATAGACAATTCAACTCTACAATTAGCTCAAAATTTAGTTGGAAAAGAAAACGTTCAAACTGCCTTGTCTTTTATTGAATATAATGAGAATGTAAGCCCAGCAATGAAATGGATTTTTGGACAAACTTTGATTTGTAAGGATATCAATATTGCTAAACAAGTAGCATTCCATGAAAGAATAATGAAAAGATGTGTTACTCTTGAAGGAGATACTTGTGATCCATCAGGAGTATTGTCTGGTGGTGCTGCATCAAAGACTGGTTCGATTTTACTGCTAATAGATGCTTATAAATCATTACAAAATGAATTAAAACATAAAGAAGAAGAATTGAAAACGATTGAAAGACAAATATCACAAGTTGCTAAAACTGCTGAAAGATATTCAGCTGTCAAACAACAATTTGACTTGAAAACTCATGAAGTAAATTTGTTGAAGCAGAAATTGGAGCAAACAACTTACCACAAGTTACAAGAAGAAATTAACTCTTTGCAACAAAAGATTCGAGAAGATGAAGAAAAGATGACAGCTGCAAAAAATACTGAAAAAGAGAATACAAAACGATCTAAAGAGTTAGAAAGTCAATTAAAAGATTCAGCGAATATTCGAGACAAGCAATTAAAAAATATAGAAAATCAGCTGAAGGTGTTACAGAAAAAAGCAGAAAATAGTAGAAAGGAGTGGCAAAAATATGAACATAGTGCAGAAACATTAGATTTAGAGATAAAAGAGTTGAAAAAATCTATTGAAGCTGGTAAAGAACAACTAGAAAAAGCTCTTGAAAAGTTAAAAAGTTTAGAAGAAAAAGATAAGAGTTATGAGGAACAATTGATAGCTTCACAAGAATATATATGTCAGTTGCAAGAAAACTTGAAGACTCACAAGAATTTGATTAATCAACAAAATAAAGAAATTCAGAAATTTATACAAAGGAAAGAAGAAATAGCAAAACAGAGAACCGAGTTTGAACTAGATATTAAAAAGCTTAATCATGAAGTCAATACGATAACAAACAGTGCAGCTGAATGTAAACAAAGAGTAAAAGAATTAATTCGTAAACATCCATGGATTGAAGAAGATGAAGCTTACTTCGGAGAACCAAATGGAAGATACGATTTCCAGAAACATGATCCTGCTCAGATGATGCAGAAAAAAATACGTGCAGAAGCTCTTAGAGATGAATTAAGTCGAAACGTGAATGCTCGTGCAATGAATTTATTAACTAAAGAAGAGGAACGTTATAACGATATTGTAAAAAAGAAGAATATTGTTTTAGCTGATAAGAAAAAAATATTAGATACTATTGCTCGTTTAGAAGAGAAAAAAAAAGAAGTTTTAGTTCAAGCTTGGGAACAAGTTAACCGAGATTTCGACTCGATATTTAGTAGTCTTTTGCCTGGAGCTAATGCTAAACTCCAAACAACTGACACTAAGAATGTTCTCGATGGGTTAGAAGTAAAAGTTGGATTCTCTGGAGTTTGGAAAGAATCTCTTGGTGAATTATCTGGAGGTCAAAGATCTCTAGTTGCGTTATCACTTATTTTAGCAATGTTATTATTTAAACCTGCTCCTCTTTATATTCTTGACGAAGTTGATGCTGCTCTGGATCTATCACATACTCAAAACATTGGAACAATGCTTAAAAGACATTTTAGACATTCACAATTTATTATTGTATCTCTCAAAGATGGAATGTTTGATAATGCGAATGTTTTATTCACTACTCAATTCGTAGATGGAATGTCAACAGTTTCAAGAGCAGAAAAAGTGAAAAATAAACATGATCATCGAAAATAAAGTGAAAGTTTAAGTATTTAATTGAGTAATTATTATTAAGAAATATTTTTGATTTACAAAAAAAAAAATACAAGAAAAATAATTTTATACTTTTAAATGAATAAATGATGATTTATAATGGAAAAATATTTTATTTATTAAGCTTTAAATTACTCGGTTTTCTTAAACACATTTGAAAAGATATAATTCTTACATTATTAATATTATGTTATATATTTAAAACTAGATATCACAATATAATTAAATGTTTCAGTTTGGTTTTATATTTGATAAGAGAATTAATTGGATAATTAGCAGCCTGGTTGTAATGACTTAAATATCTTTTTGTAACTAATATTTTGATAATTATTCAAAGGTCGGGCTCTACCCAAAAGACAATTTAATTTTTTCTATTTCATATTATTTTCATAAATTAAATATAATAACTGACAGTATTCAAAAAATGCATAATTGTAAAATCAAAAATAAATCCGAAGATTAACCATAAGTATTTGATTGAACTGCCAATATTTTTTAATAATAATCAAAACAAGAAAATTTATGTACTGTTCACTACTGTTTCTTTAGTCAGAAAATTATTTTAAAAAGTATTGATATCAATAGCAATATCAAAAGCTAATAAAAACCACACAAATAAAATGAATAACAAACCTGCTAAATCTTTTTTAGTGTTTATAAGAAAAAATAAATTTGATTGATAAATTTTCATATTAATATATTTTATATTAACTCAATATAATTTAATGAGCAACATTTCTTAATTTTCTCTGAACACAAGTAAATGAAAAATGCAAGTCTTCAATTACTACTCTTTGCTTTGGACATGCCTTTCTCTCGTGATCGACCAATAAAACCTATTCTTTCCATTGGACTTCCAACAAAGTGAATATGACAACAACAGCTGGATGGAAACTTAAAAAAATCTGGTGATAACGATCCATCAGTAGTAATAGATGCTAATTGACGATAGATATATTTCTGTTTGCAATATGTTCTATAGCCTTCAGCAAATCCTTCTATTATTCGGCAGCCACTACCTTCAGACCTAAAAATTCAATAAGTTTTTTTAAAACTCATGAAGTTTCTACAATTAAGCTACAAAAAATACTTCAATAAAATCGGTATAAAAATTCTTACATGCACGTTTCAATACGAACGCCTTGAAGAAAATCATCGTCATTTACAATATAACGCCACTGTCTCTGCTTATTCTCAGCGCTTTTTGGAAACACCACATTTTCCTAAAATGAATAATAAACGAATATTAGTAAATAAGTAAGTAATCAATATCATATCTTAATAAATAAGAGATAAATCTTTTACGGTTAATTGGTGTGGATATTGATTAGTATTATCTTGGAGCGTGATTTTTTTATCATTGTACGTTTTTTTACTGAGCTAATAAATCATTACAAAAATGTTTAAGTGGACATTGGAAAGATAAATTCATTATTCAAGATGCGTTCACTTTTCGCAGAATTATATTTTTAAATTAATCACAAAAAATTACTTTTATTCTAGAGTCAATTCATAATAAATCTTTTCAAAGTAACTCTAGCATTAAAATTGTAGTTTTTTCAATTGATTACTTGTATCAAAATTTTTTCTACCATTCAAATATTTATGTAAAATTCTTATGACCCTTTGCGATGTGAAACAATCATGTGTTCACTGTTTGCTAAAATGTTGTATACTTTGCTAATTTAATATAAATATTTGACTTACTCGAGCGAGGCAAAGACTATCATCAGTTGTTGCATCTATTCTCTGATCGATTTCAGTTCTCTCTACCTTTAAAATCATATAAATATGAATTGATTAAAATTCACATTATGTACTTAATTAATAATTATCAAATTGATCATATTAAATAAATTTTCTTTTACCGGTTCATCAACCGAAGCAAGATACTTCAAATCAGGATTCATTCTTAAAGCAATTTTCAGATAATCTTTAGGATACTCTTGTGCTTGCTCACAAAATGTAGAATTTTTGCATACTGGGACTGATCTTGGTGGTGTTGGAGTTGGTCTAATTGAAACATCGTCAGGAAATATTATTTTCCCATCTGTGTCAGGCGATCGTGCTCTATTATTTGCTAGAAAAAAGGAATACCCTGGTGAAAATAATTTCACGCATTTATAAATTTCTTTCTCATGTTTTCTTTTGAATTATAATAAATTTATGTATCTCAAACACTCATATACATATTAATAACAATATCCTTACAATTATGCAATCGACGTTCCTGTACCGTGTGAATAGGCTCATCTGGGTCCTTAAGAACATCAGAACTCACATAGCGAGTTTTTGTCAGATTATAAGGAACAGCTTGCACCTGATATTGCAATAACTAAAAAAAATGGTTAAAATGATAATATACGTTATTTTGAGGTAGGTCATTTTGATGGTAATTCAGTTAATGGTTGAATAATCACAGTAAAAAAAAACTCTAATAGCGCATTATAGATGTATTCAATGTCTATGTTCTCAATTTTATGTTTTCATGCACAGGAAGTTGCATTTTAACAATTTTATTAGTTCCAATAATTTTCTAAAACAGAAGTGATCATTATTTAATTTTTTTAAAGCTATAATTTTAATAGTCCTCCAAAGAAGAATAAGATGACTCATATGTGAAGAAAAGATGAACAAAGAAGAAACTCGAAATTTTTGGAAGGTGGAAAATAACAAAAGTGACAGGTTGATGAGCAAATATAATGAAATTGAAAAAAAAAATTGTTTCCTTAATTTCCGTATACTTCCTGAATAATTGTGATAGATAAAATCATCATTCATACATAATTATATTTAACTTGAGATTGAATGAGTCAGTTTAGATTTAAAATTAGTTACATTGTAGCTAAAAAAAAAATAGATGAAGTTAAAATAATAATTCAAATCTATTTTTAATTAATATTGAATTAATAATACTGATAATAAAAATACAACATAAAGAAGTTTATTCTTAATTATCATTGAAAAGAGTTTTATATAAAAATATTAAGAGTAAAATGAATTAATATGACTAAAATATTAATTAAAAATATTGTCATATTATAATAGTAACTTACTGAAGAAATTAAAAGGATGATACATAATTTATCCATAGTTCCAGTTCTTTAACAATTTGATTAGTCAAATGATTTGGTTCTTAAATCAAATCTTTTTCGTCAAAATATTCAGTATTTATTCTTACACAATTACTTTCATGCCATGATAAATGTTCTGATAAATAAAATGAATTTTAAACATTTTATTGTTTAAAACGAAACAAGTACAATTTTGTTCGATAATTGTTGATTTTATCACTCGAGTAAACAGTTACATAAACAACACACAAACCACCAAAATTTGCCGAAAGAAATGACAGATTGACACTCACTGCCGGCAACGTCTTATTGACCTGGGCACAAATAAATATAAACTAGCTTCTTATACAGAATGTTCTCAGACTGATCGCAAAAGAATTAAGAGGTGGGGACAGTGGTCAAATATGGAGGGAGAATGACCGGTTTCCGTTATGTGTATATAAGAAGACGAGATTTGCGTCACTCTCGTTAGATAATTCATACATATAATTACATATTTTATTTTATAGCCTTGAGGAAGACCATTCTTTCAAGGTTCAGGGATTCCCGGACAAGACATATTAGAAAACTGAATTAAAATTAGTTCTCGAGCTTAAACTTTTCTAAGAAATTGAAAAAAAATACGGATTATAAATTTTTATTTATGCACAATAGTTTTATCATGTTACCAGAGTTCTTTTAAATGTCAGTTTCAACGTAGATTTGAAAACAAAAAAAAAAAAAATATGAAAATGGTGTTTTGTAAAGACACTTAATCAATTCGATTAATTTGCATATTTTTGTAAAGATTTCATATTTTTCTCATTAAAAGAACTTTTCAAAAATAAAAATTTTTCTAGATAATAAATATTATCTTTGGAGTATTCTCATTTCTCCATAAATATTTATATGCTCAGCAGTAATTGAATATATACAAATAATTTATATAAATTAGTAATTAATTAGATTGTTTACTTTAACAAATAATTATAATGACATAAAAGAAAATTAATTTATTGACTTTTCTTTTTCTGCCATTTTTTAAATGATGCTTCAATAATTTCTCTATTCTCGTAAGCCCAAGATAATGTTACCATACCAAACATGAGAACTCCGATGAAAAAATGAGCTAATTTATGCTCTGGAAAGTAATACATCTGGAAAATTAAATCGTTTACATATCAATATCATTTATTATCAACAATTAGAAAAATAAATAGTTGTTTAATACCCAAGAGCTTACATGAGAGATGATAGTAACAAATCCAGAGATGATAAGAGATACAGAAAACAGTGGTTTAGGTAGCAGACCATGTAAAGGTTGATATCCGGTGCCATCATGACGTGCATTGATAAAAGAAATAGAATAAAAAATTCTCAATGCCATATTTACACAGTTTCCAAAAATAAATCCTACAGGACCAAGCCATTTGGCAAATCCGTATGATACAAGCAAAAATGCTATTGATTGATAAATCCTAATTAAATTGCTCTTCTTGATAGTATTGACGTCTGCAGTAGCATTTGCGTAACATTCGGTGATACCATTTATTGCTAATAACAATACTGCTAAACAATGGGCTCTCAATAATGTAATTGAAAATTCTGTCGTAAATTTAGAACCTCCATAAAGCCATAGCAATGTTGATGAATAAGATTGTCCGAATATGAGGACAATTAAACCGATAGAACTTACAGCAGAACATAAATTGGAAAATAACCTGATGCTTTCTTGAATAAGTTCCTGCAATAAATTTATAATCGAATAAGCAATTAACACTGATCGGTTCTATTTATAGTATTAAAATTAAGAATAGGTTATTAAAGTTATACTTGAATCAAAAAACAATGAGAATATGAAACTTTAAGTTAGATGGTTTGATTTTTAAGAAAACTTTTTTTCATTTAATTTTAAAGAATTAATTTTTAATTAATAATATATAAATAACAATGATAGTATAGCTAGTAATAAATTTTTCAATTTTTGAATACTTAAAATATAAACTTTGGTTATTAGAACTTAGACAGACTTGTCGGACAAATTTTATTGCACATATAAAATAATAAAACTCTTGGCGTCAGAAAATGTGCATTCAGTTAAAAATATTTAAAGCGTTTAGTGGGGATAGCTTACCCCCATAGAAAAGAGAGAATAAATCATTTTCTCACTCTTTTTACTCTCACTCACGGAGACAAATAGGACTTTCAGACATCCCCATTGTTTGTGGAATTAAAAATGCTCTTACAATGAGACTTGTATTACCCACGACAAAAGTTAAGAAGTCTTTCAGGTATTAGGACACAGGGACTTTGAGAAATCTCAATAACCCATACGTCAAGGCAAAAGTCTTAAGGCTACTAAGTAACTAGATTAAAAGTATTTTTACGAAATACTTACTGGATCTTGCTGACTTATCGGTTTATCTCTCTTTACCAATTTAGTGAAATAAATGTATCCCTGGTCTTCAATGGGCCGAAAAATAAACCTTGCAGCCAAGGATCCAAGGTTGTTAACAACGTCATAGGTACCCTTGATAAATTTATCCAGTGAAATAGGAGGATGTGATACATTTCCATATTATTTTGCCTTTGTTCTATACAAATGGCAGTAGAACTGAAGCATAAACTTTTTGTGTTTATGATGTAATTCGTACCTGTTCAGCGAATGACATTACGGGAAATATGGTCATGATCATTTTTTCACCTTCGGTTAAAATCTGCATTAGGATGCTTTGCTCAAAGAGCCCCCTGGTCAATGTCATTAGATTCTTGTCAATCCAAGAAGCCTAAAATAATTTATTAATATTTAACAAAACAGATAGTCGTTTTTAACTTAATTCTAAAACTCTGATTTTTTATGAGTACTTCGTTCTTTAGCTGTCCAGGAATAAACTCCTTTATAGACTTGAATGGAAAGTCGTTGTTTGAAGAATTACGAGTAGTTAAACGTTTTATATAAAAGTGAATGCAAATGTAGTAAATTATTGCAGATAATGTCATTGAAACTAATTGGGCAATTCCAAAAGCGAGTAAAGCGCTTTCAGGTTCGTAAAAAGCTATAAAAACCAAAGTTCGGAATAAAATTATCCCAAAGTCGACAATAATCTGTAATTTAAAATAAATAATTTGAGCATAATGTTTTTATTAACCCAATGAAAATAAATGATTTTTGATACTTAAAATTGATTTACATACTTGAAATCGAAGAGGAAAATAAGTACTCGCTACTACCTGAGCTGCTAATGACGTTAAGTAAACAACGCACGAAATAGCAATAGAAAAAACTGCAAAAGTATAATAAGGTGGTAGAGTTTCTGATGTGGTTAATACAGACAACCAAATATATCCAAAGAAAATCGACATAAATGTGCTAAGTGGTACGCTGAAATAAAATATCATTATTTCATATAACTATTAGAGTAATTTTTTAATATATTCATTGAATTATTACGTTAACCAGAGCTGATTGATAATTTGTGCCCAATTACGACTAGAAGAATTATTCAAACAAGCCCTGAAAAAAGGCTCTCGAGATAAAAATAGTATCATTGACTCCAATAAAAGGAGTCGTACATTTATCACTCCAAGTACTGCTCTATCGACATGACGGGCAACAAATGCATTTATGAAAAATGTTATACAACGACAAGTTATCTGTAATAAATAAATTAATTGATTAATTTAATTAAAAAATAAGTTATGGGATAAATAAATAATATCAATTTTTGAGGTTATAATTTAATGTTTCTGTCAACAACGAGTAAAGAATCAGTGTTGAATTAAAATTTATTCAATACCTGGAAGATAATGTCAAATGATATATTTCTAGAAGTACTAGTTAATAAATTTTTGGCCATTTTTATAAATAATTTGATAAATACATTTTACATATTTTTATTTAATAACCTCTAAAATATTTAATAATTTTATCATCGTTCGATAATAGAAAGAAGATGCGAAATAATATTTTAAACCGTCAAGAGATGGCTCTTAGGTAATATTCTTTAACCAAATAAACAGCAATGATAAGGGTCGTAGTGCCGCCACAAATTTTTATATGATTTATGATATCAACTTGTAGAATGTTTTTATTTCGAAAACTTGTAAATAATATTAAATACTGTAAGATTAGCACTGCTCGTTATACCTTAAAGAATACAAAATGGCAAATGTATTAAAACTTCAAAATATCATCAACGTTCAAGCATCAGTCCAACATTTGGCAACACTATTCATTCTTCATGGTTCTGGTAATAAATTAATAATACACTTCTCCGTTCTTTATTATTTACATGCAAGTATTCGAGCTTTAAGGAATTTATTTGTGCATTATATTGCAGGAAGTTCAGGGAATGACATGAAAATGTGGATTGATGTTCTGAATCGTGAAGAATTGAAATTTCCTTATGTAAAAATTGTTTATCCTACTGCTCCATCACAGCCTTATACACCTCTCGATGGAATGGTATATTTATTTGTCTGTAACATGCAGATACAATAGAATAATTGAATAAAATTATCATAGTAATTTTGGTCATGATTTTCAGGAAAGTAATGTATGGTTCGATCGTCTAGATATATCAAAGACTGTTCCTGAAAAGAAAGAATCTATCAATCAAATATGTGAAATAATGTCTGAATTAATAGATAAAGAAGTTGAAGCAGGAATTCCCATCCAAAAAATTATGTTAAGTGGTTTTTCAATGGGTGGAGCATTAGCTTTACATTTAGCTTATCGATACAGAACATCCATAGCTGGATGTGTTGCCATGTCAACTTTTCTCAATGATAATTCTTTAGTATATGAGGTATATGATTATATAATATGCATGATTAATTTTTAAATATTTTCTTATCTATTACATCATGTAATCATTAGCCAATATTATTTATTTTTTATCGTAGGCTATAAAAAACAATAATGGAACAAAATTACCACCTTTACTCCAATTTCACGGATTGAAAGATTCATTGGTTCCATTTAAGTGGGGTGAAACAACTTATAAAATCTTGAAAGAGTTAAATGTAGATTGTAAACTGATACCAATACCAAATGCTGATCATGAATTGGTTCAAACTGAAATTAAACAGTTTACGGAACACATTCTAAACACTTTGTCGAATGAACATAATCCTAAATTATAATTTTGTTCTTCTTTTAAGCTAAAATATATAAAAAAGAATTACGATTGATAACAGTTTCCATTAATTCAATTTATCAGACAAGAATTCAATAGAAAGACTATTCAAATATTTTTCCAAGGTATGATAATATTTTAATGTTTATTTACTTTCTAAATAAATTTCATAAATTCAATGTCAAAAGTATCAAATAATGTTTTTGAAAAGCATTAGAATGTTTGATTGAATTTTAAATTTATCTCATATATCATCGATGACCTTGCTAATGATCTTGGAATGTTAATAAACAACAAAAATTTTAATACGTTTTAAAGTTGTCGGACTGTTACAATGATTAGAGATTGATTTTGAACTATCAGTTTATTTATAAGCATATTATTATCAACAATATAAATATATTTTTATATAGAATCATGAAGATGATGAAAAATATTAAAATGTATTACTGAACGGATCATGACGTTAAATATTTAATAAAACTATAAAAAATAAATTGTGAAAAGGAAGTAAGAAGATATTTCAATGCCCTCTTTAAAATTCAATCTATAACATAATTTTTATTCCACATAGGTCAGCAAATATATCATGTATACATGTATGTATTATATATCATGCCTAGGTTAACATCGAACACCCCTGGACGTTGGCACGATTACGAAGATTGGCGTTGCGCATTGGCGTAGTTGTTATCACCCCCAATGTACACTAGCTTACTCGTGGGGGTACCTTTCACTTTTTGATCATTTTTTTCTTCTCTCTTTTGACTCTAGTTCTTTTTTTAAAACACCAAATTCAACATCATCCTAATATTGTGTTATCAATCCATCATTAAGGCCCTATAAAAATATATAAATTAAAAATTTCATTGTATTTTTTATAAAATAGTGATATGTTATTTTTAAACTACGAGTATTTCATGCAACCCTACAATAACTTGACTTCGAAAAACATCCTTCTGTTTTTATTTTACGTGGTTTGTGATATTACAAAGCTCTAAATAAAATACAAGTAAATATTTATCATTAATTTACTTAATTGGTGGGTAAAATTTGGGTACTTATTCTTATCAGCAACATGCGAATAACAAAATTCATCATAGTTTATAGAACTATGTGTTGTGAAAAAAAATCAATAATGTGCATAGAGTCATTTGATGTTATTAAATTTTAAAATGAAAGTAAAAATTCACATCAAATTTACAAAATTAATTTTTTTTTAATTAAAAAAAAAAATAATTATAATATTATCTAGTGATCTTAAATAAATAAACTGTTTAATTATAATTGAAATTTTCTTTTTTAGATAAATTAATTGATTGAATGTAAAATAAAATCGCATTTTATGACACCATCAAAAAACTTCGACCCTAAATATAAGAGTAAGTAATATTTTTAATAATAATATAAATAATCAAAATAATTTTACAACTGTTATAAAAGAATAAATATCAAAAACTATGTCAATCATTGTGACACCAAGTTTGCAAATAAAAAATTTTTAGTTGTGAAAAAATTTCGAATAGTGAGTAAGATTGTTGACGAGTAACTTTCACTTGAGTATATTTAAAAAGATTTCAAAAGTAGATTAAAACACGTTTATCGACACGTCGATCAGCATGAGTAGACGAAAGAAAGAAAGCGGAACACCAAAGCCATTGGTAGAATAGTAATTTTTATTATGTCATACATAAGAGTGGTCAGTTTACCATTGATAGCTGGTGATGATAGTTGTATTGTGCTATTTTATAATAAAGTTATTCGTACAATCAACATAAAATAGAAATTGTTTAATAAAAAACGTTTCTAATAATTACTATGATATTAAAGGAGAGATGAACACTGATAATGTGGACGGATTTGGACTTGGTGTTGGGGTGACCAGTGGATCAAGCCTTGCTATTACTCAGCAAGGTCAAGGAGTTGCAGCTTTGCTTGTCATGCTAGTTGTTTTATGTTTTATATTTGCATATTGTTGTTGGGGAGCACCGTTTTGTCGATCTTTCTGTAGAAGACAGTGTTGCTGCCGCTTGGAGGGTTCAGAAATTGATCCAAGATTTGGAAATAGTGATCAAGCTATGGTAGCTACACCTACAATTATTTTATTACCACATGGGCGCATGTTGGTTGTTGATGGCACTATTTTTACACAGCTACAAGCTGATACTACTGGTAATTATTTATTAAGAAAAAATGATTTTTAATATAATAAATCAATCCAATATTTAATCAATGTTAATTATGTCAAATGGAAATTATTTTATTCTTTGTTTTTCTTAGGACTTGATTTAGTGGAATTGGGAGAAAATGTGATACGCTCTCAAAGGAATTCAAGATATGTTAATCGTCATCAACTTCAAAATAGCCAAGGAAGTATATTAGAAATGGACGCAGAAACACCAAGCAAAGATAGTATAGGATCTATAGGATTTTTTCCCCCTCCTACATATGAGAGTATCTATGGCAAAGATGAAGGTGAAATGCCACCATCATATTCCGACATCATCTTACATAGGTTTGGAATATTTTTCAAATATCATTAAATTGTTATAAAATATGATTTTTAATTATTTATATTGGATTCTAGGTTTGCTAATATGCCGTATGAAATTGAACTCCAAGATTATTCTAATGGCAAGGAAGAAATAGAGATGCGAAGTTTAGAAAACTGCTCGCATATCATAAATAATCCTTTGAATACAATAACAACTTATCATCCCTATGCCACCATAACATCATTTTCTAGTCAAAGACTTTCTCGACCGAATATTTCAAGGAATTCCACCTTTATAAATAGCTCTAGAAACTCGGATAATTTATATATCGAAAACGAACTTGATAACTTTTATAATGTTCCTTCGTCAAACTGCATCAGGATGACAAATTTACAACAAACCGCCGTTAGAGGTTTTATATCTAATGAAGAATTACATAGGCGTTACAGTGAGAGTCAAATAGCTCGGAACCAATTAAACAATGTAGTTAATTTAAATGATTATTCACAAACAAATGAAACAAGTCAAACATCACGTAATACACAGCCTATTGAAACTAGTGATATAACGAATACTAATGCTAACAATGAAATTATTAGTAATCGAACAAGAGAAGAAAATGGTAATATAAGATTAACTAACGATGGATTGAACGTACAACCATCATCTAGTGGAGGACAATCAACGAGTATCGAAATATCTAATAATAATAGTGTAGAAACTCAGAGACATGAAAGACATCGTCCACTTGAAGATGTTGAGGACGAAAATAAAAATTTCATGAATTTAGCAGATATAAGAGAAAGCAGAGTGTGATAATTCTCCATTTGAATGTAATAAAATCTATTATTAAATTTAACTAACATTAATGCTAATTATTTTATACAATAATTCTTTGAATAATTACTTATTTCTAATATTTACAATAATAAATCGAAATTATTGTTTTTTTTTTTTCTAATTTTGTACAAGTAATCTTAAACAATAATAGATAATTATTTGTAAAATTTTTGCAAAGTTGCGCAAGATAATATTACTAAAGTTAAAATTCAATTTTATTTGGTATTTATTAAATCAAAAGTTTGTTTATATATTTTTTGAATTTAAAAAATGCAATTTTTTAATTGAAGTTTTTAAAATTTACTGGACATGTGGAGATCTGTCTGTGTTAATATTATTACACACATTATGTAAACCATGAAATATTATATGAATTCTATAGAAATATGTAAATAATAATAACTTGGAACCAATACTTATCTTTAAAAATAATTTATTTATCATTTAAAGTATTCATTATTACATACCATCAATATCTTCACCCTCAGAACTTAGTTCACTTTCATTAGCTTTTTTATCCCAGTCTTTTAATTTTGCACCCATGACAAAATCATCTCGTAGCACACTCCAAACCTGTAAACAGAAACATTGAAAATTAATTCCAAAAAAGTTATTAAGAATTAAATTTTAAATTACCTTTTCGTCTTTATCAGTTTCGGATTTTTCAATTTGTTCTGCACGTACTTCGTCATCTACTGATATACTTTTTGTATTTCCCATCAACATATCCAGAAATACACGCTTATCAACATTTTGGAGTACTTTCTCTTGTTTTCTCATAAGTGGACCAGCATTTTGTAAATTTTTGTTTATTTGTGCTTGTTGTTTCTCTACTGCATTGAACAATTGAACAATACCTCTAAAAAATTGGACATAATTAAATAAAATTTGTTATGTACAGTAAAATGAATGAATAATTCAATAAATGATTAATGAAATTAATGAATTACTTTGTGGCAATTTTTTGCAACACTCTTTCTCTTGGTCTGTCTAAAACAGATGGTTTTTTTCTTAAAGAAATAAGCTTTGACTTGACTTCTTTGTTTTCTCCATCATTTTGAACCTTTTTCTTCTTACTAACACCTGCAGTTTGTTCAGCATCATCAGCATCTGTTGATATTTCTGATTTCTTTGCTACATCTGATAGTTTTTTAGCCTTTGATAACACCAGTGTTTTCTTCTTCTTAGGTTTATTTGTGTTTAATATTTTTTGGAATACATCTGCCCAACCAGGGTTTCCTTCACTTTCCATATTATCATCCTGTTCCATTTCTGATTGTTCATCATCATATGCATCACCATCCTCATTTTGACTATCACTTAGTCTATCATCATCAATGTCATTTTGATTTTTCATTTTTTTCTTGATACTCATTATTTATATATTCACAAATATACTTAAAATTTAAAAACAAAATCAAATTATTATCTTTTAATACACTTTTAATAATAAATTTACTGTAAAAATAATATTTTAACTACGAAATTAAACAGGCACTAAAGTTGTTTACCATTTATAATAAATAGGTTAGGTTAACACGTGTTATAACCTAGCGCATTTTCAATAGAAGCAGTAAAGAGAAACTTCTTCTCACAAGCAAAGAGCCACTTTTTATGCTTTATGTCAGTTGGATTCATTTATTTTGTTATTAAAAAAGTCAGAGAGATCATATTTAGCAAAAATGTCTACACTATTTATTTCGGTAATTATACTTACGTTGAAACTTTTATACAAATATTTTTATATTCAACTAAATACATACATTTAATTGCTAACAATTGTATTCTAGAATAATTGGAAGCTTCTTGATTATTTTACTCCAATTTTTATAAAAGACAATGACATTTACTAAAATGCATTTATATTAGATACTTTATTTATCTAGAAGATAATTAAAAAAATTTTTTCAAGTTCAAGTAATTTGTATTTAATAATTAATATTATTCATACGTAGAATGGCAGGAACTTCTGGACCTCCTCTTCCAAAACGACCAACATTAAGGAAGGATTCATATCAGTGGGAAATGTATCTCAAAGTAAAAGACAAGGGAGATCAGTTGGCACGTTTCGATAATAATTTTGAAATTATTAACGCAAAAAGTATTGTGAAGAACATTAAGAATTTCCTCGGTAATGCTATCAATCGAAATTAGATTATTAATATAATTATATATTTTGTTTTTTATTTTAAAACAATATAATTCATATATATGTTTATTTTTGTAGAATCATTAAAGCTTTCCCAAGATGAAACAAAGTCAATTACTTCCGCAATGCGAACTATTATAACATTCTATAGTAAGACGACAATGCAACCCTTCGAAAAAAATAATGGATGGATTGAATTACTACTTCCATTGATACAAATGAAACATCCCCTATCGGTAGTTTATAATCTATTCGAAGCTATCCAAGAACGTCACATCCCATATGCAGATAACTGTGAACATACTTTAAGACTTCTTTTTCTTTATCATGATCCAGAATTAGCACAGTTTATTGTTCGAAAACGTGTAAGCTTCTATGGTTTTTGCAAAAAGTGGACTTCAACGTTATTTGCTGGCATATGTCAACAAGAACTTGTTATAGCTTTATGGAAAGCTTTATTTAGATATGATGAGCCAATGATTTTTTATTTTGTGCTCGTCGTTGTGATAAATAATAGGTAATCAAATGAACAGTAAACAAATTGTAATGATAAATTTAAATATTCTACTATAAAAATTTTTAATTGATACAGGGAACAAATTTTGAGTATGAAAGATGAGAACAAAGATGTAATAACAAGAACAATCTCATCTCTACCAAAATTTATCGATACTAAGGATATTTTACATTTTTTTACAACTGCAGAGTATTATAAAAAAGAAACGCCTTTTTCATTCGAGTTTGAATTTTTCATACCTACTTTTGGTCCTCCAGAAAAGCATGCTACTTTGACAGAAGCTGCAAGTTATGTATGTTTACCAATAATAGCGGATGAACTAGAAGTGGATGGAAATATTGTTAGATCAAGGGAAAATTCGAAATCTATTGAATTTCTAGTGGTTGATCTGAGGTCTGCGAAAGAGTTTGAAGCTGGTCATTATCCGAATTCAATAAATTTAGACTATTCTATACATTTTCAAAACCCAGCACTCTTTGCTGACAAAGTGGAAGAGCTACTGAACAAGCAACCATTAGAAGCAGGAGAATTAGCCTATCAGTTTGATATACACTTTTGCTTTGTTACTAGTGGTCGCGATGAAGATGATAGTCTTTTACTAACTTTTATGGATCCTATTCTTGAAACACGATTGAAATTTATATGTATAGTCAAAAAAGGATATAAAGCAATCCATGATTTTTTTAAAGATGATCTTGATAGATTGCAGGATCATAATCCTGAAGAATGTTTATATTGTAAACCAAGTTCTCCAAAGAAACGCCTCAAACCAAGTGACGAAAAAGGTTTGTTTAACAAATTAAAAAGGCTTCGTTACACGGAAAAAAGTTCTGACAATCCTTTTCAGTCACGGTCTAGTAGTTCTCAAGCTGTTCGAGATTTTCGAATTGTATCAATCGAAAGACATGTTGATAACACACAAATCATGCATTTTATAACTTGCTTTCTCATTTCTGAATCTAATCAGCAACAGAAATGGTAAGTATTTGATTTCTGAATTATTAACAATTGTATTGTAAATTGAAATCCATTGAACAATAATTTAAAATATTTTAAATTGTTTATGCTGTTTCAGTTGGGTTTCAATCACTCCAACTCATTTTGAAGTTTTACGCGCAATTAAGGAACGTCCTGATTTAGCTTTTATTATTGTAAAACGTCCTTATTCAGAAGTTTTAACAATATCTTCACCATCGAACCATCCTGATATATTGAAACTAACATTTGGTGAAATGCAAGGGCAAAAGAAAATAATTTATGAAAAACTGAAATTCTTCATTCCGCATTTACCAGATATTGAGCTCATTCGAAATGCAGTTGTCTCAGACATGAGAGCTTCTACTTCTTAAATATCATAGCATATAAATTTCTTCTTTAATCAAATATTTATTGATAATATATTTATGTAGAGTATTTTGTATTTTTGAACAATAAATTTTGTTAGATTTTTACTAGAACATTTAGGTAGTCATTATTTATATTATTAATTTATCACATTCATGAATATATATGATTTTTCTTAATCAAGAAATTTCTTAAATTTTCTAGTTTTTTTTTTCTTAATGTTATTCTCAAATGATAAAACTCCTTCAATCTGCATTATAATATTGTTCATTTACTAAAATGTCAGATTGGGAAACAGATGAAGAAACGGATTTAATTTGGGATCAGTATGGAACTACACTGGAACGAGAAACACCAAAAAAATGGAATATTTATCCATGGGAGAAGAATCTACGAGTGATGAATCGAGGGAATCAATTAAAAAAATTTGATGGAAAATATAATCTTTCAGAACAGGCTAATATTCACAACGATAGCAAACAATTTGTTGGTAAATATTTTTATAAATAATTGAAACTAATGATTGTGAAGTTTTAAATAAGACGTCTTATTATAATAATTTTATTTTCTCCGCAGAAAAATTAAAAATGTCAGATGATGAAAAAGATTCCGTAATTTCAACATTAGAAGAAATAATTACAGCCTATTGCAAACAAAAAAGACAACAATACAAATCTAATAATGGTTGGATGAACTTGATAGTTACATTTATACTATTGAAACAACCTGCAGCAATTATTTACAATTTATTTGAAGCCATACAAAGCCAATATATTATACGAGATTATTCTGTTGTTGATAAAATCTTGTATCTTCTGCTATTTTATCATGATCCAGAATTGGCACTTTTCCTTAAGCTGAAGGTAGTATCCTTTGAGAATTTTAGTAAAAAATGGATGAAAACATTATTTGCTGGAAGCTGCTCCCATCAAGTTGTGACATCAATTTGGAGACATTATTTCAGTCGAGAATTAAGAGAACCAGACCCAATATTTATTCTATTCTTAGTTATTTCAATTATAATTAAAAACAGGTAATAATAGTTTAATCGTTAATTTCACTTAAATATTTAGATATTAAGTGCTATTATTCTTTGATCAATGGTTATATTTTTCCATAGAGATATAATTCTAAAGAAAAAAAATGATGAAGAAGATGAAGAAGTGATATTAACACCCTTCCTATCATCTCTTCCGAATAAACTGAAACCAAAAGACGTATCTCCACTTTGTTCTGCTGCTGAAGAATTAAAATTAAAAACTCCAACTTCAGCTCGAGAAGAATTTTATCAAATTCTCTTTAGTGATGCTAGTATTGCATCAAAATTACCCGAGTTCCCGTGTTTATATGTTCTACCATCAGAAGTGAATATTGAAACAGATGAAACTTATGCTCATCAACCTCTTCAACCTATCAAATATTTTGTCATAGACTGTAGACCAGCTAATCAATTTGAGGCTGGTCATTTACCAGGTGCTTACAATTTAGATTATTCATTACATTACCGAAATCCATCACTCTTTGCTAGCTACGTTGATGAAATTGTTAATTTGGGTGAAACAAAAAAAGTAGAAGATCCATATGCTCGTGAAATACATTTGTGTTTTATGGGAAGTGGAAATGAAGAAATCGATGAAATAGTTCTTTTAATTGCTGCTTCAATTATAGAAGCACATGTTAAACATGTCAGTATCCTTAAACTTGGTTATGCAGGAGTCCATGATTGTTATGAAGATTTAATAAGTTGTGAGCTGATCGATCATGATCAAAAAAGATGTCCAATTTGTAAATCAAAAGTAGTCGAACCAAATCTTCAACAATCTGGTCAAAGAAAAACAATATTGAAAAGAATTGGTTCGGTATTGAAATGTGTCAAAGGAGAACCAGATGAAAATGATGATGAAGAAGGATATTCTCTTGGTGTCGTGGAATGTCCTAGAGAAAAATTACAGTTTGAAATTGTTTCTATTGAGAATTATAAGAAGAAATTAAAAATTATTTATACCTATGAATGCAAGCATATGAATGTTCATAAGGAAGAACAATATAACAGGTAATTTTCAGGAAACATCATTTTCAACGTATTTATTTAACTGATATCATTCTACTTTTTTAGCTTGCTTATTCTCACGGATTACAATATTATATTACTGCGAATTGTTAAAAACCGTCCTCATGCTGCTTACATTACTAGCATTCATCGCTTTTCATCTCTCTTAAAAATAAGAGCTTCAAAAGATGATATGAATGTATTGACTTTAGAATATGGGGAAAGAATTGGCGACCAGGTCAAAATTGATGAAAAATATCGAATCAGAGTTGATAATGGAGTTCAAATTGCTGAAATAGTAGAAAATCAAGTCTATGTAGATGCCCGGAGATTGAAAACTTCATCAAGAGCTGGGCAATGAAAAACATTTATAATTATTTCATTAATGTTGAATGATAAATATTCATTACATTGTTTTTATGATTATTTTATATTATTATATTTATTAGAATAATTATTCTGTACTTTTATTTAAAAATAAAATATTAATTATTGAAAAATATAAGTACTTACTTATTTATTTTCAACTGTTTAAATTTTTATTCAAAACAAATGAAAAGATGTTTTCAACAAAGAACATTGTTCAAAAATTTCCTATTTCTCTGGACGCTGAACAATCAGTAAAGTAGAATTCATTTTATCGAAATCATTAATCGATAACAAAGGAATCTAAAAAATCCTAACCAAACAAATTGGTACATTTTTGATCGAAAAATTGATACACTTGAAAACAAATTTTGTATGGTTTTTTCATTTACTTTTGGATTGGTAATCCAAAATATTTTCTTATAATAAAAATTGTATATTTATTGATTAATAATATCATCATCTATAAATATTTACTCATTACATTGATTTCTTAATTATCAGAACCGCTGAGATGAATACTCTACTGAGTACTATTAGAAAATGTAACATCAATGTTATTAGTAAAGTATTAAAAAATAATTTAAGTTCTGAAGCACCATCATCTTCATCTGCATATGGTTGGAAATGGGATTTAAAAGTAACATGGGATCGACCAAAAAATGTTCCACATTTTCATCCTTCAAAATCCGGCGACTGTGGTATAACTCATAATGTAAAAGAAACTGATCCAGCAAAAAACTTCGGTCAATGCGAAGAATATAAAACGTATGAAACTAATTGTTTTTATCATGAAAATATGTTAATATAGAAATAATTATTTATGCTCTTAGGGCTGATGAAACCGTGAAGAAATTATTATCTTTAGAATATTACCCAAAACAAGAAATCAAACGAAAAATAGTAGAAGCGGCTACAGATGCAGTTAAAAGACATAAATACGATAAGGGATCATTAGAATTCAGAGGTAAATCTTTCGATTCAATCCTTTTTATTGAATATCGTTAATGAGTGATTACGGAATAATTTTTCTTTCAGTTGCAAAAATGACAGCTAGGATTGTGTGGTTACAAAATTTTGTAGACGGAAAAGGGAAGTTGCAAAAGACGAAACAATATTTAGGAGAACTTATTGACAAAAGGCAACGATATTTAAGAAAACTAAGGATGTGGGATTATAAACGGTATGAATTTTTGATTGAACGACTCAATATTAACTTCAGAACTACTCCTGAACCTGTTCATCAAGTGACCAGAAAAGATTCCTTACGGAAATTAACTCAAAAATATCATGATAAAGTAGTGAATGATAAAATAAATGCATATAAAGCAGAGCTTGAATCACAGCAAAAAGATTTTTATAAAGAAAAGGCTGAAAAGTTAGCTTTTATTCGATCGGAAGAATTAAGTCTTGGATTAGAACCAACTGTAACTGAACAAGAAATTGCTGCAGCTCGTGAAAAGGCTGAGCAATTAGCTCTATTAAAATAAATTGTCTGTTATAATAATAATTATTCTCATTTATTAGTTAGTTTTTAATATAATATATGCACTAATACTCTTAAAAACTATTATTACAGTCATTATTTTTACTATAAAAAAATGTCATTCAACATTATTTTATGATACAAATTGATAAAATAATTATTAATTGTTTTCAGTCCCTTTGATTTTACCAAAAAGTGAATTGTAAAGTTCTGTCTTCATTTCATCAGACCAAGTATCATTAACTGTAATAGGAGCCATAAAATTAATTAATTTAGGATGAACATTATATCGAATTCTTCGTCCTTTAGTTGCTTTCGTATCAATTTTTCTTTTCATTTTACTCCTCATATTTTGAAGTTGGACCCATTGTTTGCTCAGCTGAATAGGATCAGAAATATCTGCTACTTTCTGTTCAATTAACCCAGTCAATAGCTGTTGATAAAAATCGTCATCATCATAAATTTCAGGATCATATTCTTGAACTCTTCTTCCATCTGTATCAGCCTCATTCGTAGATTCTTTTCCAATAATTTCATATTCTGATCTTTTTAGTTGTGTTTTCTGAATGAGCTTAAATTTATCATTTAATAAAAATTCAATTTGTTTAACCACTGATTGATTTACACCTTTGTTAATTTTACCAGAAGCTATTCTGGTTTTATCATTCCATTTCTGTATCATAGAATTCCGATAAGAAGAGTATTTTTTATGGTTTTCATCAAGGATTTTTTCATACTCTGACAAACTTTTCACTTTTTGTTTTTTCTTTGGAGGTTCATCACTATCATTTTTCATCTCGTCTTCAGACTTCTCTTCTTCAGTATCTGAGTCAATTTCTTCATTCATAGGGTCATCATCATCATCATCATCATCTTGTTCTTTTTCTGTACTAGATTGCTTTGTAGACAATAAACCCTTAGTTTCTGGGTAATTATTTAATAATTTATCCTGAATATTCAACATTTTATCTAAGAGTTTCATTAAACTGTTTTTAGTTTCATTTTTACGCTTGAGACATTCTTCATCTGTCATAAAGTCATTGTGAGTGGTATATTGAGGTAATTTGTTACTAGTAACAAGGCATTTTTGTAATTTTATTCTCATTTCCAGTAAATTGTCCCATATTTTTAACTGATTATGAACACATTGACCTTTTTCAATTTCTCCTTCATTACTTGGGATTATATTTTTGAAATTTTTGTCGTCATCTCCATCGACTTGTTGAGAGTCGATACTGTCATCTGAATAATCTCCTTGAGAATCAGATTGATCATTTTCTTCATCATTATCTTCGTCTGTGGCTTCATTATCATCACTGTCATTGTCTTCACTATCTTCTATAGAATCCTCTTCCATGCTATTGTAGTTTGATTCTATTTCCTCATTATTATCACTATCATTCTTTTGGAATGGATCATTTTCAAAAATATCTTTTCTTGATATTTTTTTCCCTTTATACCTGTCGATAAAAATCGATAATTATTATTATTACTGAAAAAACATTGTTGCTTTAAAATTATAAAATTGTTTTTTACCTTTCATCACCATCTTCCAATAAACTAACATTTTGTTTTCTGAGTAAACTTAACCCAACATCTTCATCAGAACTAGCCTCTTCGTATTTATCAACGACCCGCGCTTTTGTTTCTTCATCTTCATCGTCAGAACCAAAATTGGTTGGTGCAGCAATTATTAAATTATTTATTTTTTCAGCAAGAGAAATTTTTTTCTCTTTTGATGATTTCGTTTCCATGTTTAGTGAATGAAATAATCACTATCTGCGGTGTGCCATGACTACTCACGTGGGTGAAAACATAACTTATTTTGGAGCTTCTATGTACAGGATATGTCAATAATGGAGCCCATGTGACACCAAAATTATCATTAATGTCATTTACTTAATCAGTATCGAAATTATTTTTATTTCGATTCCTATTTATGATTTTTAACTTAATTGTTGTTTTACTAAAGATTTTGTTATTGAAAATAGAAATTTTCGGTACATTCTTTCTAGTTGTTAACCTAAAAAGTCATACATTACTAGTGATGGTAATTTACCAGCATTGTTGATTTATCGGCTGCAACTTATTCGTTAAGTGACCGCTACTTTACCGCTCCTACAAGGCGCAAAGATTTTACAAAATTTAATTGTGTACAGTTTGGATTTTTTGTGATAGATAATAATAACGACATTATTTTTTGTCATCTTGAAAATATTTTGTTTCAATTGATTATTAAATTTGATTTAATTATTTGACAAGTAAGATTCAAATATACATAAAATTTCAATGATATGTACTTACTTAACTATGACAGTAATACGTTATTAATATAACCTATAATTTAATAACAAAATATGAATTTCGTTTTATAGATTTCACTTTTGTATCAAAAAAATAGAGCAATGTTTAATCAAAGTAGTACACTAGGTAGTACAACAACTAGTACTGCTAATCCAATGAACGATTTCGAGGTTGTTTCGCCTCCAGATGATTCAGTATCCAGTTTAGCTTTTAGTCCAGCATCAATTCAGCAAAATTTTTTGGTTGCCGGTTCATGGGATTGTAATGTAAGATGCTGGGAAGTTGAACAGTCAGGCAAGACAATACCAAAATCTATGCAAACCATGGGTGGGCCTATTCTAGATGTCTGCTGGCATGATGTAAATTTTTTATTACTCCACTTAATGACAACAAGTATCTATTCAATAAATTCATTACATATTTATACTTTTCATAGGATGGAACTAAAGTGTTCATGGCATCATGTGATAAAATGGTTAAATGTTGGGATTTAGCTTCGAATCAAAGTTTACAAGTTGCAGCACATGATGCTCCAGTGAAAACATGCCATTGGATAAAAGGCTCCAATTACTCTTGCCTTATGACTGGATCTTGGGATAAAACATTAAAGTTTTGGGATACAAGAAGTCCAAATCCTATGCTAGTTATTAATTTACCGGAACGATGTTATTGTGCAGACGTCGTAAGTATTTTCTTTTATTCTTATCCATGAATGTAAAATTTTTAAAAAATTACTAATTAACATGATTACAATATTATTATAGGATTATCCTATGGCTGTCGTAGGAACGGCAGGTCGAGGACTTATAATTTATCAATTGGAAGGAACTCCACAAGAATTCAAACGCGTTGATTCACCGTTAAAGTATCAGCATCGTTGTGTAGCGATTTTCAAAGATAAAAAGAAAGTTCCCAATGGATACGCCTTAGGGAGTGTTGAGGGTCGAGTTGCTATCCAGTATGTTAGTCCTGCTAATCCTAAAGAAAACTTTACTTTCAAATGTCATCGACTCAATGGAACACCTAGTGGCTATCAGGATATTTACGCAGTTAATGATATAGCTTTTCACCCTGTTCATGGAACTCTTGCAACAGTTGGAAGTGATGGAACTTTTAGCTTCTGGGATAAAGATGCTCGAACAAAACTTAAACCTTCAGAACCTATGGAACAACCAATTACACGCTGTTGTTTTAATCATAATGGACAGATATTTGCATATGCTGTTTCATATGATTGGTCTAAAGGACACGAGTATTATAATCCTATGAAAAAGAATTATATTTTCTTAAGATCTTGTTATGATGAATTGAAACCAAGAAGTACATCGTGATAAAATAATTGAATTTTTTGTATTATTATTCTTATCTTAATATATAAAGTGGATGACTATTATTCCATCATAATCAATTTATCGAAAAAAATTATCTTGATTACTGTTTTAATATTAAAATAATAATGATAGAAAATAAAAAAAGCATCAACATTTACAGACATGTTTATTTTTTATATTAAAGGTATTTATATTACCTTTTTGAAACAATAAAAAGTAATTCTTTATAGAAATATCAGCTAAATTAACTACATTGATTGGATTGATTTATTTATCATGACTATCATTCAATGAAATAAAATTTAATATAAATTTAAGGAAATAAATTTTCACTATTCAAATTACTCCACCACGTGGAGTTTTCCACGAAAGGAATTGTGGGTAATATTAAGGTAGAGAAAGAAAGACGCGTAGAAGATTTTCAGTCAATCAACGCGTGGCAAAGCGGCCTCTAGTGACTGGAAATCAAACACAGTTCCTGTGTAAGCACATTTCGTTTGTTCTTTCCCAGGGAGTCCGCCATTGTTGGCGCACGTAGATTTTTAACTAAGCCAACGATAATCGAAAAACATCCAATATGGTACGTAAAATAATATAAAATAATTCATCTTACATTTATGACTAACGTCTAAACTATCAATATGTACCAATATTTTTGTATCTTCACTTTTTTACTCTTTTTAAACAAATTTGCTAAATGTCCTCTTGCCCTAGATTGCGCAACTTCAACTCACGTCTTATTTTCCCTTATATTCAATATATTTATCAAATCCTTTATTCATTAATATTCGCTAAAATCTAATAATACGTTACAATATATCAATTTTACTTTTCAAGCTGAATTATTTATGATTATCATAAAAATATGCTCCAAACCTAAATACTTTACATGAACGTGTCATGGGATCCACGTTCTCGCGTCAAAAATCGAATCTAACATTGCGTTATAATAATTTGAATCATTATAAACTTTTTTCATAGATATCTTTTCGTTATTGATGAATATATTAATAAATTAACTTTTTTTATTAGGTGAACTTCACCGTAGACGAGATCCGTACCATGATGGACAAAAAGAAGAATATCAGAAACATGTCCGTCATTGCGCACGTCGACCATGGAAAGTCAACTCTGACAGACTCCCTTGTGTCCAAGGCAGGTATTATTGCCGGTGCCAAGGCTGGTGAAACCAGATTTACTGATACTCGTAAAGATGAGCAAGAAAGATGTATCACCATCAAGTCAACGTATGTTATTCTTGCCTAATTCTGAGAAATATTATTTTTAATTTATTATAAAATTTATTGAATTTAATTTTATTTTTAGTGCCATTTCCATGTTCTTCGAACTTGATGAGAAAGATTTGGTCTTCATTACCAATCCAGATCAACGTGATAAAGAAGAAAAAGGTTTCTTGATCAATTTGATTGATTCTCCTGGGCACGTTGACTTCTCCAGTGAAGTAACAGCTGCTCTTCGTGTCACTGATGGTGCTCTTGTCGTCGTCGATTGTGTATCTGGTATGTTATATATTATAATTTTTATAAAAATTTTAGTTTACTAACCATCTCTTAATTATAATTTTTTATTTATTAAATTTAATTGATAATTAAATAAAACATTTGTTATGGGAAACTGTTTTGCTCACTTAAAAATTGTTTTAAAGGTGTTTGTGTCCAAACTGAAACTGTACTTCGTCAAGCTATCGCTGAGCGAATTAAGCCTGTTTTATTCATGAACAAGATGGATCGCGCACTTTTGGAACTTCAACTCGACAGTGAAGATCTTTATCAAACTTTCCAGCGTATCGTTGAAAATGTGAACGTTATTATTGCCACTTATTCCGATGATGAAGGTCCTATGGGTGAAGTTAGAGTGCGTATCAATATATTTTTGCACAGTTATAAAAAAGAAATAATGTAATACTAATTTTCTACATTTTTTATTTTCTAGGTTGATCCGAGTAAAGGTTCTGTCGGTTTTGGATCAGGTCTCCATGGTTGGGCTTTTACTCTAAAACAATTTTCTGAAATGTATGCTGAGAAATTCAACATCGATGTAGTGAAATTAATGAAACGTTTGTGGGGTGAATCTTTCTTTAATCCTAAAACAAAGAAATGGAGCAAACAAAAAGAACCAGACAACAAACGTTCCTTCTGTATGTACGTCTTGGATCCTATTTACAAGGTATTATACTAATTTTTTTAACTTTATGTATCAAAGTATCTTCTAGCACAATAGCGTCTCGCTGTAGTACGGCCATCAGATAATAATAAAAACTGATTCAAGTACAGAGACAGTGTAGACAGTGTATCAATAGAAGAAGATGAACGAAGAAATTGTGTTTAAACGCTGTCATTGAACCTCTATCCTTATGTTCGTTAGTGACACGCTACGACATTATTACTACATTTTTTAATAATATCAACATCGTTTAACTATAATAATATATTGGAAGAATACTAAATAAAACATAGAATTTCTTATTTTCCAGGTCTTTGACAGCATCATGAATTATAAGAAAGAAGAAGCAGATACTGTTCTAAGTAAACTTGGAATAACTTTGAAACCTGAAGACAAAGATAAGGACGGAAAAGCTCTTTTGAAGGTATGTTTACAGTAAAAATTTAATTAAATATTTTTTAGAAATTCTTATACGTGTATATTAATGATGATTGCTTTAAAGATTCTGACACCTCTTCGTAAATGTTTTGACGAATTCTTAGGCTAATAAACTGAAATTAAATAATAACTGAAATATTATTATCAAACAATGCTGAAAATGATCAAATTAATACCAGGGTTGTTATTAATGTTTCAGGTTGTCATGAGAACCTGGTTACCAGCTGGAGAAGCTTTACTTCAAATGATAGCTATTCACCTTCCATCACCTGTAACTGCCCAGAAATACCGTGTAGAAATGTTATACGAAGGTCCTCAAGACGATGAAGCCGCTATTGGTATCAAGGTAATTAAATGAAAAATATTTATTTTCCTGTTCATTATTATGTTTCATAAATTTTTTTTAAATGATGATTGTTCAATCACAGACCTGTTCTGAAATTATTTGAGGACACATGAACGGCCAACTGACAAAATATTGAAATATTTTTTTTTTATAAAAATATCTGTTTTGCATAATACTAAAATAATAATTATACATTGCAGAACTGTGATCCAAATGGTCCACTAATGATGTACGTATCAAAAATGGTACCGACCTCAGATAAAGGACGTTTTTATGCTTTTGGTCGTGTATTCTCCGGAAAAGTCTGCACGGGAATGAAGGCCCGTATTATGGGACCCAATTTCCAACCTGGAAAAAAAGAAGATCTTTATGAAAAAGCAATTCAACGTACCATTCTTATGATGGGTCGTTATGTTGAAGCAATTGAAGATGTTCCGTCAGGTAAATTACTGAAATTAATTATTAACAATAATAAACATAAATTTTTTAAAATGATGAAATTATACAGACCTGTTCTGATATTAATGAACGAAAAACGGATCCATTTCCTGATAACCTATTTAATTAATTAATAACAATTAATTCAAAAATAGAGCTCAACAATAAAAACAACATTTTTTATTTTAGGAAATATCTGCGGTCTTGTTGGTGTTGATCAATTCTTAGTTAAAACCGGTACCATTACTACCTACAAAGATGCTCACAATATGAAAGTCATGAAATTCTCTGTATCTCCAGTTGTGCGTGTAGCTGTAGAACCTAAAAATCCGGCAGATTTGCCTAAACTTGTTGAAGGTAATTGAATAACATTTTTTTTTAAATAGTCATTTACTAATGAATTAATAATATATTAATCAAATATCATCTTATTGTTTTAGGTCTTAAACGTCTGGCCAAATCAGATCCTATGGTACAATGTATTATTGAAGAATCTGGAGAGCACATTATTGCTGGTGCAGGTGAACTTCATCTTGAGATTTGCTTGAAGGATTTGGAAGAAGATCACGCTTGCATTCCAATTAAAAAATCTGATCCAGTTGTATCATACAGAGAAACTGTATCGGAAGAATCTGATCAACTATGTTTATCTAAATCACCAAACAAACATAATCGTTTGTTCATGAAAGCTATGCCTATGCCTGATGGTCTTGCTGAAGATATTGATAAAGGTGATGTTAATCCAAGAGATGACTTTAAAATACGAGCTCGTTATCTCAGTGATAAGTATGATTATGATATAACTGAAGCAAGAAAAATTTGGTGCTTTGGTCCTGATGGCTCTGGACCAAATATTCTTGTTGATTGTACAAAAGGAGTACAGTATCTTAATGAAATTAAGGATTCAGTTGTTGCTGGATTCCAATGGGCAACAAAAGAAGGTGTTCTTTCTGAAGAAAATCTTCGAGGTGTTCGATTCAATATCTACGATGTGACACTTCATGCTGATGCTATCCACAGAGGTGGTGGTCAAATCATCCCAACCACCAGACGTTGTCTTTACGCGTGTCTTCTTACTGCCGCTCCTAGACTTATGGAACCAGTGTATCTTTGTGAAATTCAATGTCCTGAAGTTGCTGTTGGTGGAATTTATGGTGTACTCAATCGCAGACGTGGCCATGTATTTGAAGAACAACAAGTTGCTGGAACACCTATGTTTGTTGTCAAGGCTTACTTACCTGTAAATGAATCCTTTGGTTTCACTGCTGATTTACGATCACACACTGGTGGCCAAGCCTTCCCACAATGTGTCTTCGACCACTGGCAAATACTACCCGGTGATCCACTTGATGCTGGAAGTAGACCTTACCAAGTCGTACAGGTTTGTATTTTTTTTTGTTCGTTATCCAGAATAATTAATTACTAAAATTTGATGTTTTTATAAACTATTAATATTCCACATTCATAACTAATAACTATAGAATTTAATTTATAGTTATTTTTAAAATTGTGGTATAAAAAATTGTTTTTTAAAGTTTAAACTGTCTAGCTAATATGATCTAGTTAGTTTGAATAGGGGAACATACAAATTTTAATAAATTATATAACTATAAATTATCTTCTGTCTTTTGGAAAATAAATTAAAGAACAATTTTTTTTTTCTAGGAAACGAGAAAACGAAAAGGATTGAAAGAGGGTCTCCCAGACTTGAGTTCATATCTTGATAAATTGTAACCAATTTGGATTCTTATACTCTATTTGAATATATTTAAATATTGTAATTGAATTGATTGATGACGCTGGAATAATGTATAGCGCGACGTCAGTTTACTTTCGGTGGCTTTTGTTTTAGTAATTAAATTGTTATCACGCGCGAAGAATTGGTACATAAAAAAAAAGATATTACAGGATTGTCTTCGCTGAAAAAAAAATTAATTGTAGCCACTGTAACAAAATCTAATTCTAATATAAATCCTGTAATTTTTTACATTACTTTTTTTATAATTCAGCTTCTAATTACAATTCTTTAATAAGTTTTTCATTTTTTCAAACGACTGAGTAAATGAATTACTACGCGGAATACGAATTAAGTGTATTCATTTCACGAAAGAATACCCAAAAGAAACGGACAAATATAAAAAAAAATAATGCATTAAATACTGATTTTTTTAATGAAATGAATATTGAACCCTTATAAGTATAATTTACTATTCATTAACATATATTATTTTAAATAAACATAACAACAATTATTGAATAATGAAAATATATTTAAATGCTGATGCTATAAATCTTTTTGCAAATACTGCTTATCATTTGTATACAATTTTAATTTAACAAATCAATTTTACAGTTTACACAAACTGCAATTATAAAATACGTATCATAATTGAATGATTTTAATTAAACAAACTTATTAACGCCTTCATAAACTTTTCTCTTCTCATATATATCTTTTCATCTACATACATTCTCTTATCTTTTACGGTTAATCACCAGAATAAAATCAGGATTAATATTTACAAAAAATTACGAAATATTTTCAACATTTAGTTTTCAGTTTCTTTGTCGTTGTCGTATTTTTCTATCACTACACTGCAGTTATTGTATTTTTATATATTCCAGCTAATGACTGAGCTGCTAAAAGAATTGTATCTCTGCGAGATACTCCAGTAAGTGCATGATGCCATTCATTAAAAGATACCTAAATTCAAATTAATTCATATATTAAACATAACTCAATTACAATAACTTTTCATTAAAATAATCCATGAATCATTTAATAATTAATACAGTCATTACCTCTAAATTCGTGGCCATCAAATTACCAATTGGCACAGCAAAACCCAATGATTTGAGAGGATAATTATCAGGAGTTGATTCCTGAGCCATTGCAACAACTTGACTGGGTACTGGGATCATTTGGGTAAACATTTGGAGATTCACTTCGTTTTTTGGATCATTCAGAAGGATAACAGCCAATTCGTACCATTTATCTTTACCTATTTCCACCAAAAAACTTTGAACAGCAATGATTGGAATATTTTTAGGTATTTCCAAGGCATTTCGTACATATTTAATTCTATGCTCTGCTCCGCTTACACCAGCATTAAAGCCGACAGGTTGGCTAGCAATTGCTGAAGTATCAACAACAACACCCCTACATTAGGAAAAAATCAATTACACATTGAATAAATATAATTATTAAAATATCTAGAAAACATCTTTAATAAATAATTTAATATATGATGATAAAATTTTCTTACGTGACTGTAGCTTTTCCAAAAACTCCCTGGAAAGCCTCACGTATTGGACTGACTTTTACTTCTTTATTAGAGGCAACAACTATTTCTACATCACCTCCAGAATCTAAAATCCAATCATCAAATAGTGTCCACATATACTTTCGCATTTGTACTAACATATTTCGCATAATAAAATAATTGAATAATTGCTTTCGTACTAGTGTTGCATTTTTTATATAAATTGTATCTTACTATGACTTGAAATGACAGCAGTTTCTTTACTAAGTGTCTATGAAACTGCTCTACTTTATTTAAAAATAGAATCATCTATAACTATCTTCCGGCAAAGATAGGAAGGGCGTTACAAGGCATTTAGAACATTTCGAAATGATTAAAAGGTAAAAAAATAACTCAGATTCTACACGGTCAATACAAAATCTATTTATAATTGTCAAATAGAAATTTAATGATTTCTTAATTCTATACTCACAAATAAACTCACGCATTTGAGGATCTAGAGTTGTTATCATTGAATTCACGCTGTTTTTAGCCTTTTCTGCAACTTTACTCAACATATTACTGTTGACAACTGTATCCTTAACCCATGAAAACAAAGCTCCACCAACAATTCCTGATTCATGTGCTTGATGCTCTACGACTCGGGCAGAATCCGTACTTTTTTGAGATTCAATTGAAGATTGATGACTTTGAGATAGTGGCTGTTTTGTTTGCACTCCATAATTGTTTGGCTCTTCAGCTGAATCTTTTTCAGGAATTTTCTCTTCTTTAGAAATAGGACCAGGTGACTGAACCGATGATGGACTAGCAATAAAACTAGGTAATGCAGAAGGTGGAGAAATATTTGATAGTAAGTTTCCACTAGAAGACGAACCTCCAAGAGGTGTTAAAAGAGATATTGACGATGATAAACTGCTTATAGAATCTAAAAAATAATAATCTTTCAATTTCTATTCAATTGTCTACATATTGATAAAACTTGGTTATAAAATTATTAATAAACCTCTAAAGTTATTTTTTCAAGGCTTTAGTTTATATTTAATGATAAGTTTAGAGTTAAAGCTTGACTTTTCAGAATATGAAAGGTGAATATGTTTAAATGATTGTATTTTTAGAAAGTAATGATCGTTAGAGCAGAATAATTGAATGATTTGTACTGTAAATAAAATAATTTTTAAAAAATATAACAAAACTGTTACAGCAATTTTTAAAAAAATATTTGAGGTTACATAGTTGAAAAAATAGTTTTCAAATGGAAAATAGTAAGCCATATCGTGTAAAAATTTTTAACAGATAATATTGACAGGTAGTCTACTTTAAATGGAAGTAAATATTTACGTCACTGGATAAAATTCTAACCAGTTTTAATAGTTTCTCCAGAAATCGAAATGTCATCCACACGTTTTTCGACAAATTCAAAGGTTGATTCCCCATTTGATTCATCAGTCATCTTGAAAAAATTGTGATATTTTATGCACAGTTGACAAAAACTTGATTTTAAAAGACCACTGCTCCTCTTTGTTTATGAAATGTCGGATAGCTAAATCAGAGCGAGATAATAAATTGAGTCGTTCTCTGTCTATCATCCAACTTTTTACACACACATATACATAAATGTATGTACAAATATGCGCCAATGGATCACGTCACTGTAGTATACATCTAGAAAATTATATATAGGGTGTCCAACTTTTTATAATCGCAAAGATTTTATGATATCTGAAAAAAATTAAAATGATCTGGTACAAAAACTGATAAGATCAATGTCTCAATCGTCGCTTATGAACCTATTCTCGCTCAGCAATTTTATTTTGTCATTAAAACATATTCATTTGCAAAAATGTTGATCATAAAAAATGTTTCGCTATCTTTTTATAAACTCATAAATACATAACCATATAACCATTAAAAAATATAGTTATGTATCCTTCATAGAAGAAAAAATTACTTTTGAGTTTACTGAGTCAGAATAGATTTATAAGCGATAATTGGGATAGTGACTTTACTCGAAAATTTACAATTTTATAGAAAAAAATTAGTAAAATGTAATTGATTGATTGAAGCTTCAAGTAATTTATTGTCGATTTGCACGCCACCTGCAACTGTTTAAATTTTAAAGTCAACTATGTATTTTAAATGTAAATAAAATAACAAAGAATATCAATAATTTTTTAAAACTATGATTTACTCAATTTATTGGAAAATTACGTTAGAAGTTTTTAAGAATCTGGTTCATGTCTGGTCGTTAAATTTTTAATCTTAATTAATGTTCAAGTAATACCTAAAGGTACAAGACCATCAATTTCATCAAAAAATATAATACAAGGTTTTATTTGTTGGGTTAATTAAAATTTTCTCTAAACCACCAATACATAAAAAATTTCGTGTACTTGACATTTTTATAATCTATACTTGTAATTTATTTTAGCTTGCAAATATTTTCTAATCGGACGTTTGTGGATGTTTATTTTGCTATTTCTACTGAATCGATTTTAGGATAATACATACATACAATCACCAACTACAACAAATAGTTAAGTTTTAATTAAAAGTAAACTAATTATTACCAAATTCAGTGAAGAAACAATTAGATAATTTCAAAATTACTATAAACGCAAGCCGGCAATCAATTGACATTAGAAACTTGAGAATAAAGACGCTTTTGCCGTTTAGACTGTGGCGGCTTGCGTTGGCAAACCTCAGCGCCACCAGCGGTCACTCCGACAACCCGTTGACGGGATAAGTTGATTTAGCGGTTTGCAACTTGTAAATTGAAAACAATTTCAATAAGATTCGAAGCGAATAAAGTATATTTTTCGTTTTTCTACTAATTAAAATAATTTCTATTTGTATATTTTAAGTTAATTAAATAATAAATATTATTAATATTAATTCTTTTTTTTTTCATTGTGTGTCAATGAACTTGATTGACCATAACACTTTATTCGCCAAAAATTATCAACACCGTACATTGACTGAAGATAAACATGTTATTGCTTTGATTGATTGCTAAATTACCAGGTAACGTGCTCACTAATTTTCACACGTTTTCATTTCACAAAATTAAAATAAATAATTATTTAGGTTAAGTTTCAATTCTGTAAAATTACTATTAAAAAAAAAACATTAATTAAAATTGAACAGCTTAACTAGGATTTAATCTAGTGCTCCGTACATACTATTATTTTACTCTGAAAATATTTATAATCTTCCAAAATACGTTGTGGAGTATAACGATACCAATTTTCAGATTGATTGAAAGAGCAAAAAAGAAATAAAAAAGAGGCATAATATAAAAACTAAAAATGCCTAAGAAAAAGACAGGACAAAGAAAAAAAGCTGAAAAACAAAAGCTACGCCAAAAAGAAATAAGAACAGCTAAAGATCAATTAGATTTAGCAAAAGTTCCATGTAATACAGTGATGGTAAATTTAATTTTTATTATTATTTATGCAATGAAACATTGATAAGTAATATCTAAATTTGATTCTAGGAATGTGATAAATGTAACAAAAAACAAAAAAGTCGAGCATTTTGTTACTTTTGTAGTAGTACTCAAAGATTGCCAATTTGTGCACATTGTGGAAAAATGAAATGTATGTTAAAAACTGGAGATTGTGTTATAAAACATGCTGGTGTTTTTACTACTGGCATGGCAATGGTGGTATGTATACGCAATGATAACTAATTAGAAAAATTGAAGAAACAAATTATTTATTGTCGACTATTCTTGATATTTTAAGGGGGCAATATGCGATCATTGTGAAGCTTGGGTATGTCATGGAAGAAAATGTCTTACTTCTCACGCTTGCACGTGTCCACTAATGGATGCCGTATGTCAAGAATGTGAACGAGGAGTATGGGATCATGGTGGAAGGATATTTAAATGTTCTTACTGTGATTGCTTTCTTTGCGAAGATGACCAATTTGAACATCAAGCTTCTTGTCAAGTTTTAGAGGCTGAAAACTTTAAGTGTACGTATGACAGAATATTAACTATTCAATTCTTATTAAATATCTCATCGTTGCTTTCAGGTCAATCATGTAATAAATTAGGTCAATACTCTTGTCTAAGATGTAAAACGTGTTATTGCGAAGATCATGTGAGAAGAAAGGGCTTTAAATATGAAAAAAATAAACCAATTCCTTGTCCTAAATGTAGTTACGAAACATCACAAACAAAAGATCTTAGCATGTCAAGTAAATTGCACAAATTATTATTTCTATTATCGATAATAATTATTTATTCTAAATTTGTTCATTTAATTTTACTTGATTTACAGCTCGAAGTCATAAGTTTGGTCGACAAAATCAAGCTGGAAATTATGAGTCTGATGAAGAAGGAGGAAATAGTAGTTATGGATATCAATATCATCATGTTACCGATGAAGATGATGATGATGATGATGATGAGGATGATGATGATGATAATGATGAAGAAGAGTCTGAAGATGAAACATCAGATGATAGTGACAATGAAGAAAAGAGTGACGATAAAGACAAGAAAGCTAATTAAAAAAATCAGAATTAAAAGATAAAGGATACTATTAAATTGTATATTCTAAATATTTAAATTAATTAACTTCATCCATTGTTTATTTTTTGCAAAGTGGTTTAAAAAACTCATTATTAATAAACAAATTATTTAAATAATTACTATTACAATCATGTGAATAGATAGCGCTCAATTGAATTTCTAGACCTTCATACTACCTGTTGATAAATCAGAAAATAATATAAATATAATATCAAAGATTAGCAGATTCCTTTGGTGAAGAATTAGTCGTGAACAATCTCCCGAAGATCGGGAACATTGGCTCAGCATCTTTATTTGTTTATTCAACGTCAAGGTAAAAATTGCGTTGCGAAAGATAGTGAATGATTGACCTAAACAATATTCAAATTAAATGTCAATTGGAATTAACGACTTTTATTTAATTAACTGACATAAAATGTAAGAAAAGGAATTATTTTGTATAACATCAATTGTTTTGTCATTTTTATATTACTAGAATGTGTCACTTTTGGAACAAATGTAGTGATTTTAATTAAATTTATCTTTATTACAACTTCTTTGTATCATCAAATTATTTCTTGTTATCAATGAATATTTCAAAAGGTAACAAATAAAACGTTTTGGAGGGAAATATTATTAGAGCAATCAATCAATTGACAAACTATAATATGGTACTATTTTTTCGATTTATGTATTATGATAAATTCAATTGGTTTCAAGGAGCAAGGTTAGTGATTTCACCATTAAAGTTGTGAATTGCTTTAAAAAGTTTCATATCAACTCTGCTACGTCATTCTGCAATTTTTTTATCTACACATAAATAAGTTTTCATCGTCATGAACAACACAGTTCACTACGAGATATATACAAAAGTGTCCTAATTTAGCGTAGTAAATAATAATAGACAGTTGCACTTATTTTTGTTGAATATTAATCTGCTCATGACAAAAAAACCTGTATAATATTAATTGCAAACTGTATAAAAATTGAAAAATAATTTATTTTATTTTCATAACCCTACAGGTTTAGTTCAACAGCTGTGCACTAACGTTTTATTTCGTTGAAGTTTCATATAAATTAGTAAACAAGTTAGCAATGAGCTGCATCAGGTGTTGTCTTTATAATACAAGGTCTTTAGTGTCCTCTAATCATGCGTCAAATCATGGTAAGTAAAAAAACAGTTCTATATTACATCTATGATTGTTTTCAATCATTGTGTATAACGTTTGTTTATATAAATAATACTTTAACATTGACATAGTGATAAATAATTGTCATTGATAAATTTTCATCAATATAAAACACTTATTAGTTTATAAATTTAAAATAATATTGACAAAATTACAATAAATAATCTTTTCATTCATTAATATTTAACAATATACTTGTAAATAATTTTTTTTAATCTAATTGAGTAATTATTAATGAATTAATTTCATTTATAGTCAATTAAAAAATTTATACATAATGAATTAAAAATAGTTTAAAATTCAGCTAAAAGAAGCATACTTAAAATAGTTAAAAATAGGTATCTAATTTTTATTTTATTTTCGATGTATTTCAGTATACAAAATAGTCCGAGTTGTGGCAAAAAGGTCTTTAGCAACCACTTGCGTATTATCAAAAGTACCAAGTGAACCTACACCACCAAGTAAAGACATTGGAAATTCTACAACAGGTGCTATTGGTAGTGGAAATAGCGGTAGTGGTGATGGAGGTGGAAAAAAAAATACACTAACTTGCCCTAAATGTGGCGATCCTTGTACGCATGTTGAAACATTCGTCTGTAAGTAAAATAATAATTACTCATATATTTATAATTTTATATAGGATGTCATTTTAATAACAATCAAGTATATTTATCATTATTCTTTTATAATAATCATTAATAATTGATGATATTATTTTAAAGCTTCAACTAGATTTGTAAAGTGTGAAAAATGTCATCATTTCTTTGTGGTCTTATCTGAAATTGACTCTAAACGAAGTTTGAAGGAAGCCACGCCAAGGCCAGAAGACACTAAACAGGGATTTTACAGGAAACCTCCACCACCTCCTAAAAAAGTATTGGATAATTTTTATTATTATTCATTTTTTATGTATATTATGATTGAAATGTTAATGCTAAGTAATTTTTTTTTTAGATTTTTGAATACCTGAATAAACATGTTGTTGGTCAAGAGTACGCCAAGAAAGTTCTCAGTGTAGCTGTTTATAATCACTATAAACGTATTCACAACAATCTTCCTCAGCAAAATGCCGTTCAACCTGCGAATAATTCTGTGGGATCTCAAGAACTCAACTATCCTTTTACTCATAGAGGTCCTAAAGCGCGTAATAAAATTACCATTGCTCATACTGTTAGAAATTTTTTATCATTATGATATGACTCTATTATTATTCTCAATACGTTAATAAGCTAATTTTTAACTAATAATAGATTTTCAATATAAAAGCTGCAATAAGATTATTTATTTTTTAGATTTACTTCATGTGTCAAGCATTGGCAATCCATTAGGAGTTGGTTTTCAACATGGTCCCAGTCCAACTGAACAACAGAAAAATACTTCAAGCCAATCTGTTCCCGGATCGGATATATTAGACAATACTCAGCATCAATTAAAATTAGAAAAGAGCAATATTCTACTGCTAGGGCCTACTGGATCAGGAAAAACATTACTAGCTCAAACTATAGCTCAATGTTTAGATGTACCTTTCGCAATTTGCGACTGTACTACTCTGACTCAAGCTGGATATGTTGGTGAAGACATTGAAAGTGTTATAGCTAAATTACTTCAAGATGCTAATTACATCGTTGACCGAGCCCAAATGGGAATAGTATTTTTAGATGAAGTTGATAAAATTGGTGCAGTACCTGGAATCCATCAACTAAGGGACGTTGGTGGTGAAGGAGTACAACAAGGCATGTTGAAGATGCTGGAAGGAACAATTGTTAATGTACCAGAGAGAAATAGTTCGCGAAAACTTCGTGGTGATACGTTACAAGTTGATACTACAAATATTCTCTTTGTTGCATCTGGTGCTTATAATGGACTAGATAGACTTGTGTCACGCCGGAAAAATGAAAAGTACCTTGGCTTTGGAGCAGCACCGGCAACTGAAAGCCCTGGTAGGAGAGCAGCAACACTTGCTGATATTGCTAATATGTCTCCATCAACTGAGGAAGACAACAAAGAGAAAGACATTCTTCTTAGACAAGTTGAAGCCAGAGATCTTATTGATTTTGGAATGATACCTGAGTTTGTTGGAAGATTTCCTATTTTAGTTCCTTTCCACACGTTGGATAGAACTATGCTTGTAAGAATTTTGACTGAACCTAGCAATGCTATGGTTCCACAATACCAAATGTTGTTCTCTATGGACAAGGTATGTTTATTCACCAGTAAATATTTTTTATATTTTAAAAATAAATGCATATTCGATTATTGTTTTTTGGATAGACAATTTTTTATATTTAATTGATTAATCAAAAAAATCTTCATTCAATTTTTAGGTCGATTTAACATTCACAAATGAAGCATTAGATGCAATAGCAGCATTAGCAATGGAGAGAAAAACAGGAGCGAGAGGATTAAGAGCAATAATGGAATCTTTATTACTAGAACCAATGTTCGATGTTCCTGGTAGTGATGTTTTATCAGTACACATTACGGAAGCATGTGTTCGTGGTACTGAAAAACCTCAATATGTTCGAGGAGGTGAATCTACGGAAGAAGAACAACCACAACAAGCGCAGCATGTGAATAATTGAGATTTAAAAAAAAATAAATAACTAAATAGCTTAATTTATTGAGTGATTTGGAAGAAAAAAGAAATAGCAGACCTGATAAGTTTGCTACAATTACTCAAATCAGCCTTCTTCTTAAAAAAGAGATAAAAAAAATTGTCAAATTGAATCAATTTCACTTATTAAATATATTGATTCAGGTTTTTGAATAATTATATATCTGGGTAAATTAAAAAAAAAATTTTAAGAGATATATCAATTCCTATTACTTTGAGAAATCTTTGATGATAAATTATTTACACTTGAATGAATGAGTAATAATTATTGATAATGATTTGTAATATATGTACATAGATATAGGCATATAGAATACTAAAGAAAGTAAAAGCAGATGTTAATAAAATTCGATTGATCATTTATCAAAATTTTTTCTTAAAATTTGGTGATTTTATATTAGAACAAAATAAAAAAAGTACCAAAAATACTTCTTTTAGCAATTTTGTTGCTTTTATTTCAATAGAGTTTAATAATTAATTATTAAAGTGACGATACATTATTATAATTAAAGTTTTAATGTGATATTAGATTTGCAGATAACTCATGTTTTTCGATCACAACTAGAAGATAATGATAAAATAATAAATTAAATTGCCTGTAAATGAAAAAGTTAAAATTACAAAAGCTCTGAATTAATTATATATTTGAATTTCATTACTTCTATTATAAATCATTTTTACTGTATGATCATATATTTATAAATGAATAAATTTAAAATATTATTTCATTAATCATATTTTCAATAACTTATTTAAGTTTTTTATAAAATCATAGTAAATTACATTATTTCTATTTTGAATCAATTAAATAATATATTATACATATAAATAAATAAATTTAATAGGTAAATAGAAATACTTATGACCAGTACAAATAAAAATCTTTTATTTTTATATAACGATTGGAGTTTCTACATTGTAATAAAAATTATGTCGTTACGGCATTTTTCATTATCTTTATAATGAATTGAAATTTATTCAGATAATGCAGAAAAAATTTTAACTTAATTGATACATATCAATAAAAAATCAAATTCTCATAAATTGTAATCGATCTAAATATTTTCCAATAAAATTAATTTTTCTATTTATTTTAAGATTCAATGTAATAAATTTGTTGAGGTGTCTTAGCAACTTTTGGTTTAGATTTAAAGATAGTACCGATTTCCGTAAGAATGTATTTTGTTGCTTTGAGGACTAAAAAATGAATACCAAATTGCAAAATAAGAGCACCAAAACCTTTATATAACCCGAGAGTTCCTTCTGATGAAATAATTGTTCGATAACAATCATAAGCTCCACTGTACCCTGTCAAAAGAGGCATAACACTCCGTCCGTTATCTAAATTATCAATTATTGTTCGTGTTCCTTGAAGATGTAATCGGTGAACGACAGTTTCAAGAGGATAAAATACTACATCTGCTGCACACATTGAAATAAGAGCTGAATGAAGTTCAATATCTTGAATTGTCGCTTCCGACACCACGTCTCTACTGTATGCTCCCTATAAATTAGTTACAATGATAAAGTAAATCAAGTTTTCGATAAAAAAAATTATACATTAATGTAAATTTACTGAGTTACCGTTCTTTCTTGAGCATGGCGATCTCTTAACCACATTATTCTGCTCACTACACCTCTAACTATGAGAGAAAATAAATATTTTGCTACTCCGTAAGCTACATGAGGAGCTAGAAGAGCATAAATTGGAATAAGCCTTCCTTTAGATCCAACTTCTAGGAGTCTTATAGCTCCATCACGAAATACGTCAAGTATTCCAGGTTTTTCTGATGCAATTTCTGACTGAACTGTTTCTACTAATGATGCTGAGTAAAAAGGAGCAACAATTCCAATAGAGACACTATAGAAAAAATTAATTTTCATTTTTCATTAATAACTGGAGTATAAAAAATCCAGTATTTATTATAAATTAATTTACCATTTAAGAAGTAAATGTTGTCCGAACGCTTTTATTGAACTTTCACTATTAATTTCTCTACAATAAAAAAATTTATATTGATAAAAAATGCAATAATTGTCAAACAGTAACTTTAATATAAAAAATTAATTACTTTGGCCAGGGTGTAACTTTTGACAAAAAATCTTCAACAGCTAATGTTAAACCTCGTATTAATAAAACTGATCCTATTCCTTTCCAGAGAGTACTTAGTCCTTGTGTTTGATGTAATCTTACTATTACTGGAATCAATGTTATTGGAACTAAATGATAAGTTGTTGATCGGGGATTCACTTGACATTGTCTTCTTAAAACAATAAATGGATGGATTAACAAATTTTCTGTTATCAGACTAGCTAATCCACATCCTATCCCCACGGACTTTTTTATTGCAATATCTGTCAACAATTGAGAGTAATAGAGTATGTTATTAAATTCTTAGAGATTTCTATGACTTAATTTTTTTTTTTGAATAACTTAAATAATGTGTCATTGAAAATAAATAAAAATATTAAAATCTTAAAATGACCTTACTGTTATCGGGCTCATTTTCCGGAGGTATCATTGATATTGATGAAATATCCAATGGTCTAATCATATCACGATCATAATATTTTTCCGGATTTTCATCATATCTTCTCGAATCTATCGGTCTTCCCCGATAGACCCGTTCGTAACCTGACATTCCTGCCATGCTTATTATTTTATTACTTAAGATAATAACTTTCGAAAAGGATCAATTAATATAAAATTATACATTTGATTAATTTGTTGCTATTTTCTAGTTTTTAATTTTCTATTCATATTTATAAATTAAAAAATATTGGTTTTTTTTACACCAAAATACTTTCTAGTAATTTCTAACCTTGTTTTGCATGAAATTAATAAATTTATTGTAGCTATTACCAAATATGTATATATATTTATATATATCCAAGTTTTAAATAATATAATGTTTATATCAAACAAGTTAATTAAACTTTATATTTATGATTTCATTACATAAATTAGTTTCAACTAACATTTTTATTTTTATTCGTTTCACAACATTAAAAACATAGTTGACTTCCTAGCGTTAAAAGCCAGAACTAAATCAATAACAGTGCGAATTTTTAAGTAATTTAAATTGCAACAATTACATCATTACATTTAAATAATCTTTATTTATTATTTATTTTAAAATAAGTATAGTTAAAATTTCTACAATTTTTTGTGTCAATTAATATTGGATTGAAATATATAGAATTCTGATAATATCATCAATTGCTACTGAAGATCATCAGGAAGCTCAATATAATCTGTGTCTTCCCATTTCTCTTCATTAGGAGTAATTACATCTGGTAAATTTTTATTTAAAGGTAAGCCATCCATTCCCAAACTAAAATATTTAATTAAATCGTCTGCTACAAGGTTACCATCAGGACGAGCATTCTGGGGACCTAATTCTACATCAATGAAATTTCTTTGTAATGAACCATCTTTAGGAAATCTAAAACTACTGGGTAAGCAATGATGTTGAAGACAAAAGTAATCTTCTCCATTTTCTCGATGACACCATGTTCCATCAGGAAAATACGGATCTATTCCTAAATCATTCAATTCAATTCTCGGTGTATAGTAGGAAGCAATATCAACTCTTTTACAAAAAATAGCACAACCCATCCATGGTCTTTCCATTTCATGCGGTGCTTGAAGTCCTAAACCACTCTTGTCTAATTCTGGAATTTTTTCACTGAATTCTTGACATTTCATAGTTGCATATTCTTCAGCAGTAATACGTTTTTTACAAAGCTTATCGTCCTGACATAAAATTACATTATAATAAGACCCTTTACAGTCTTTTATATCTTCAAGGTTACTCTTGCAAACTCTTTTCCTAGATTTAAATCCTTTAGATTTTTTAATACATCCACTAGAACAAGAAGATTCTGTCCATTTACTCCAACCTATTTGATTATTATATGGAGGACGTTTATTAGGTTTTAAAAAGTGCAGAGCAGGAAGACATTCACCGCCACGACATTCTTTTCCTTCTTCACAAATGGTACCATCTAAAGCAGGTCCAGCAAAGTAATAGCCGCTACGATGAGGACTATGACATTGAAGAGATTGGCACGCATTGGTAAGAGTTACAACCTGAGCATCTCTGTCACGTAATAATAATTCACATTGTTTTTTTGCAGTCCATTCTCTTCCGGGTAATGTCAAAAATTTCTCATGATTCAAACTTTTATCAGATCTTGGTTGAGGTTTATCTAATAGACATGGTTTTGTTTTTGGAAGATTAATAGCTATTTCTCGGCTACAAGAAGACCAAATAGTTTCTCCAGATGTTCCTCGACTAGGAGACATAATAAATCCATCTCGAGTACATGAATTTCCTTTAGAATCATGATGCATTCCTAAGCTGGAAATTATATTATTATTAAACTTGGCATTAATCAAGCAAGTATCAAAAGTTAACAAAAATAAGTCTTTATTTACTTATGACCAATTTCATGAGCTGCTATATAAACTGACGTAAATCCAGCAGAGGGATACGGTTTCCCTAAATGGTTAGTAACTCCAAGTTCAGCAATGACACAAGAATATTGATGTAGACATACTCCAGAAACGGTAGCTAAACCCATTGTTACTCCATCTTTTCTACCATTTTCATAGGCATAGAAATCTAGACCTGATATATAAAGTCCCATATCCCAGTGATTAGGATTCTCGTCATCATGGGGATTAATTGAAGCAGTATAATTACAAAATGAGTTTAAAAGTTTTAGCCTTTCACCACTGTAATGAGGAAGATCAATTGGTTGATGTTTCATTATGTCTAGCCGCACTAAAGCTATGTTGATTCTTATTCCAAGACTACGATGATAAAATAAAGCTTGAATAGAATTTATATATGCCAATAACATGTCTCGAATTTTTTCATCATTATTTTTGAAGAATGGTGAAAAAATTTTATATCCAGGCTCATCAAAAAAAATAGCTAATTCAATAATTATTTCGTCTACATTTCTTTTTTTTTGTCTTCTTGAAAGATTATTTGGTAAATTATTTTCATAGTAAATGTCTTTATCATTTAACTGTTTAACTTTTAAATGATTCAGAAATGAATTAAGTTGTTGATCGTTTGATAGTTTTCTAGAAATATATGACCTTTTAACTAAATGAGGAATATTGTTATCAAATTTGAGATTTTCAATAATCACTTCTTCTTCATACAATGGATTGATTTCTAAAACTGTATCATTGATTACAATTAATCCTTGCACTCCTTTATTACAAAAACTTAAAGCACCAATACTCAAATTATCCTCATGGAGATAATGACAAGATGGAATTTCACCAATATCTTTTATTTCTTCAATAAAATCTGGTCTAGGATGATGATAAATTTTAAAACTTGGTGATAATAATTTATTATTTCTTTTCAACTTAAGTTCAATATTCTGTCCGAATGCTATCAGTGTTATTGGATTCTAAAATAATGTAAATATTTTATTATTAAAAAAGATTATAAATTTGAATTATTTATATGACATAGTAAATAAATTACCTCTATTACGTTATTGAAGTCTACTTGAAGATATATGACATTGGAATCTTCTTCTGCTAATGAAAAATTGAAAATTAGCAACACAGTGAGTATAAATGTACATACTGTAACCATGATGAAAAAGTATCTAATTGTTCATAATAATGAATTCTGCATTTTATAAGAATGCAAGTGTATATGGAGTGCAGTTTTTAGATTATTGTCATAGGAACGACATAATGACAAAATTTATGCTGGTGCCAGTACATTCTAAAAATGTTCATGACCTTTTATCAAAAATGAATAAATCAATTAATATAATTTATTTGTTAGTACAGGTTTGTTTGGTATCTTTAAAGAAAGCATTTTAGTTTTTTTTTTCGACAAATCGTGAAAATATATTAGTATCGTGAAGAGTTCATTTTACGAAGAAATGTAACGCACACGAACTATTTTAGGAGTGCGTTGACTAATAATCGCAATAAGATCAAGAGGAAGGGATTTAGAAAGAGGTTGGTAGAAAAATATATAATAAAAAAAACAAACATATCAAATAACTTAAAGTATCCATTATATTAAGTGTACAAATAATTTTTAATACATGTAACTCGTTTGATGAGAGAGTTTAAAATAAAATTAGCAAACATTCTATTTCACATACATACATTAACACTCATTACACATTGCTTAATGACTATCTTAAAATTTTTTAAAGGAAAATAATTATAATTATTATTCATATACAAGTCATCACATGAAATTATAGTAAATTCTTTCTTATACAGTATCACGAACATTCTTTTTCACAAATAACAAAATCGGGTACTGTTGAATTGCATAATGACCGAGCATTAGATGAATTATCGCTTTTAACTATAAATATTCAGTCAATAAACCATTTTGTTTTACGTGTTTTCCACGCATTCATAGCTTTTTCAATGTACTACAACGTACACCCTTTTAATAGTATCAATAAAAATGATTGAACTAATTGATTTAACATATTATCATTCAGCAATCTCACTACTGTGATTCGTCATGATGGGTTCAGTTAGGTAAAGTATCATACAAAATGTCTTTGACACTTTGTGATAATTTATCCGGGAATTTAATGTCAAATGATACAACTAAATCTCCTTTTCGTGATGGTTCTTTGGGAAGTGGTAAACCTTGGCCTTGGATTCTCTTCACCATGTTGGGTTTGATGATTTCTCCGGTAAGATTGAGTGTTATTTTCTCACCAAAAAGTGTCGGAACATCGATTATTGTTCCACAAAGTGCTTGTTTTAGGCTAAGCTTATGCGAGTATTTAATATCACTTCCGTCTCTCCTGAATAATGGATGTGGTTTATCTCTGATGATGAAGACAATGTCGGCAGGTACTTTGCCCCGTCCTTGGTCACCTTCTTTTTGGAATGTGATCTTAGTTCCTGCTTTCCAGCCTGGTTTGACATTAATTGTAAGCACTTTGTCTTCTTTTTTGGTAGTTCCATCTGGTTGAATTACTCGCCGTGAAATCTTCATTTTCTTAGTACAACCTCTGGCTATATCTTCAAGACTAACGAAGAGATCATGTTCTATCGGTGGATCTTGAGCATGTTCTTTTTGGCCTGAACCACGAGGACCTGCACCAGCGAAATTGAACGAATGTGATCTGAATGCTCCTCCTGGACCTTGTCGGGCAGGACCAATTCCCAAATCAAATGGATCTTCCATATTTATATCTTCATTGCTGAATGTAAATGTTCTGTTGCCACCTGGTCCACCAAATTCGAAGAAAGTCGCGAATGGTGATGATGAGCCGAAGAACTGAGCGAATGTTGCCCGTGGATCACCATGGAAAGTATAAGTTTCAGCTCCTCCACCACCACCAGACGGTACACCACCTTTCAATCCTTCTTCTCCGAATTTATCATATACTTCTCGTTTTTTAGCATCTGACAGAACTTCATACGCTTCAGCAATCTCTTTAAACTTTTCTTCTGCTCCAGCGCTCTTGTTTTTATCAGGATGGTATTTAAGAGCAAGTTTTCTGTACGCCTTTTTTATTTCATCATCATTTGCACCTTTGTTGATGCCTAAGATCTTGTAATAATCTTTACCCATTTTGAGTTATTCTGAAAATGAACAAAAATTATACTAGTAATTTTTGTTTAGTTTTTCTTTTATTTTTAATTTTATAGAACTTTGTTTTGACCGTCAGTTATGCTTTATAAGTAAAAGTGATTTCAATGTAAATTAAATATAAACTATTGTTCATATATATTTGGCAACAATATGCGACATTGGAATAATTTAAGGAAGTTATCACTGTGACATTGAATTGTTAAATTAGTATTTCCCAAGACGTCATGAATTTTATTACTCTATATAGTTTAACGATTAAACCCACTATAATTAAACGAATAATGATAAAACGAATTTTTTTACATTTCAATAATGATACAATTTTTAGGTCATCAATATCTCGAAGCACCCACGGTTCTATTGGTTATTTTGGGAATGATGATGCCACAATGTGAAATTAAAATATTTGTTTATTGAAACAACAAATGAATATTTATCTATATACAAATTTATTGAAACAACTAGTTTTTGTATATCGAAAAATATTTTTATTTAAATACTGATATTAAAGTTGAATTTAATGACTCCCATTTTGAGATCACTTTTTCTTGCATATGAACTAAAATTTAACGATTGATTTTTTTATATTTTACTATAGAATATTATTTTTGATATTTACCTTTGTCAATAGATGTTAATCAATTCTCTGATATTGATATTATTATCAGTACAGATGAATAACAAACTAGAAATTAAAATTTAATGAAAAGTTTAATAGTAAAACTTTGTATAAAGTCTTTCACGTCTCACTATGAACTGGAAATTTAGCGCAATTGCGCAGATTCATATATATCAACGGCACGTCTCGTGTCTTCTGGAACTTTCGAGAATCAGAGTTAAGTATAGGTTATTTCAGCTTCCGTGGCGTTTTAATGTAGTAAGTCTAGTGACCCTAGGCATAACAAATTATTTTTTCACATTCATTTCTAAAAAAAGATAAATAGATGCATCTTATTATTATTTGGAGAGAGATAAAATTTTTATAACGGGACTCAGAAGACAGTTTATACAGAAAATCTGGAATATATCGAGAGTATAGTAGAGCCATCTGGATTTATCCGCGGGAATTTGAATTTTAGTAAATTGTTAGTGTTAATTAATAATTTTTTTTCTTGAACATGATAAAAATTTTATGATAAAATTTATAATTTTTATAATATTGATCGATTATTTATAAATCTCTCATATGTAAATAATTTAAAAAAAGTTGTTTAGTATAAAAAAATATATTTCATGGTTTAACCCACTACATTTAGGAACGCTCTGCGTTCACCAATCGCCGTTGACTTCGACACACCCTTTAAGTGTTCGTTTTTTTTTTCGAATGCAAACGAAACAGTCAACAATTGAACAAAATTTAGCGATTAGTAAGATTTATTTATCTTTTAAACATTACAGTTAATTTTATATTACTGTAAATAAAAAATATCCTGTGAGAATTTAGTTACTTTATCACTATGGTGAGTCATTTTACATTTAACAGATAATTATAATAATAATTATTCATAAAAATTATCATTTTTATTAAAAATTTGTTTAAAAGTTTATAAAAATTATTATCTGTATCAATCTGGGTTCATTCAACTATTTTTTCCCATCTAAAATGTTGAAATTTGATACCTAACCATAACAACTCAAGTGTCAAGATGGTGCATTGTGTTCTACATTTTTGTACAAACCTTAATCAAGATCTTATCAATGAAACTTCATATAATTTGACTACTACAAATGATTTAGTATGTATTTCAGACTTAAATATCTGATAAAATTCATTTTTTCAGAGTGAACAACAGATGGACTGCGCCCTAGATTTAATGAGGCGATTGCCACCTCAAAAGATTGAGAAAAATCTCAGTGACCTCATTGATCTTGTTCCTTCGCTATGTGAAGATCTTCTGTCTTCAGTTGATCAACCTTTAAAAATAGCTAAAGATAAAGAATCTGGTCGGGATTACTTACTATGTGATTATAACAGAGATGGAGATTCGTACAGGTAACTTACAAAATGAATTCAATTGATTGATTTAGCAAATTATGATTATCTCAACAATATCACTAATTTAGATCACCTTGGAGTAATACGTATGACCCACCTTTAGAAGATGGTTCAATGCCATCAGAAAGATTGAGAAAACTTGAAATAGATGCCAATCATGCATTTGATCAATACAGAGAATTATACTTTGAAGGTGGAGTATCTTCAGTATATCTTTGGGATTTAGATCATGGTTTTGCTGGTGTTATTTTAATCAAAAAAGTGGGAGATGGATCGAAAAAAATTAAAGGTTGTTGGGATTCTATACACGTTGTTGAAGTCCAAGAAAAGCTAAGTGGTAGAAACGCACATTATAAACTTACATCAACAGCCATGTTGTGGTTACAAACGAATAAAGATGGTTCTGGAACTATGAATCTTGGTGGAAGTCTTACAAGACAAGTAAATTTAAATGAGATATTTTTTATTGTTCGTAATTAGTATAAAAGTTAATATTAAATGTAATACATTTTCTAGGTAGAACAGGATCAACCAATTAGTGAAACTTCACCGCACATTGCTAACATCGGTCGTATGGTAGAAGATATGGAAAATAAAATTCGTAATACGTTGAATGAAATATATTTTGGTAAAACAAAGGATATTGTAAATGGTTTGAGGTCTGTGCAATCGTTGGCGGATCAAAGGCAGCAAGCTGCCTTGAGACAAGACTTAGCAGCAGCGTTACAGAGGCGAAATGCCAATAATTGATATAAAAATGAAGAATGCTTTGATTATCATTGTGATTAGACAAAAAAAAATGATTAAAAATTCAAATGAGAGAATGATTCAGACAGATCGAAAAGTACTATTGAAATGCGTGGACTCGAACAATTGATACCTATTCAGTTACAACACTTTGTTATTATCTAGATTTAATGAATGCCGGGAATTTATTATGGGGCTACTAAAGAGGACATTTATGTTATTGTTTGTTTAAAAAAATATTATCGTAACTACTCAGTCCCTAGTGGTATTCAGTATGTTACGTTACAAAGCAACCACAGTGTATTTGTATAAATAAAATCATTTTGTTATAAAGTCCTACGATATAGTATATTATATTTTGCTCTTTTCTTTTGCTTTCGTTAATAACTAAATTATTAAATAATTCAAATATTTTAAATAACTTTTTTTTATATTTTTACAGATTTAAAATTTATAAATAAATATAAATATACTTTTATGATAATCCTCTTGGGGAGCTCCTTTAAAATACCTTTGTGCCTTGGTTTTTCCATATTGTTTTCATACCCATTTACAAACCGAATTTTCATATGATTTAATTTTAATTGAAAAAAAAAACTTATGAACAATTCATATTTTTTTTTGCTAATTTAACATAAATGTTTTTAAAACATTTTTTATATTCTATTGAAAGTAAAGAAAACTCACGTCTTCGTCGAGTGAAAATTTATATTGTTATTAATTAAAATGTTTTTGTAATGTAGATAAAATATATATAAATTAACGCTACTTATTAATAATGTATTATTATCAATTAACAAAAACTATTGATATAGGGAAATTTAAACACAAAACTTACCTGAAATAATAACTTTTTATCAGTAACAAACATCGTAATGTATGTAAATAGTTTGTGTGAAGTTAATATTGTTTGAAATTGATATCAAAAGATTATCAAAAATCTTCATCACTTATTTAAGGTCAAGAAAATCATTTCTATATTTTATTCATTCAAACAAATAATACAAATAGGTATTCCAGTTAATTCTTATTGAGAATTAATTGTAATATTAGGACATGATTTAATGTAGAAATAAAAGTAATTGTTATGTAATTAAATTTCGACTAAAAAATATTATTGGTCGTCGAAATATCGATTTTTTTTTTATTTCCATGACTTGTTCAATCTTGAAACTTGTGCAATATTTTTTAAATTAAAAAAAAAATTTAACTTTCGTTACATGATTGTTAAGTCTTCTTTCAAAGAAATAATAATAATCATGTCATCTATGCATCGTTATCAATTATCAGGCATGGTAAAGGTTCTTGTACACTCTCATACATTTTGAGCATAAAAAATATCGTATTAACGTTCAATCTATGTTCAAATTTATGTTAATAACCATTATACCATAAAATCTGAACATCTACATATGTTCTTACGGCACAAAAGTTGAAGTTAACACTTAGAAAGAAAAAGTTGCAAAAAGTAATTCGATAAATATTTTCAAAAGATTGCATTCTCTTTAGGTAATCATATGTAAATAATTCTTACATAAAATTGGCATTTAATTAAAAATTTTAATTGTCATTATCGCACTAACTTTCATACGTGTTGCACTCTGCTTCATCCCATTTATTATACTTTAATAACAAAGCACATTCAAATAAAAAATGTACCTGGTCCAACATAGCACACGTGTAATATAGATGCTGATTTATGAATTTTGTTTTATTTTTAATTGTTAGGTAATTTTTTTTTTTTTTTTTAGCTTAGATTACAATAGCTGGATTACGGTTTTTTAAAACCATATTGCATATACTAAAGTTTCGGAGGAAGATAAATATCATTATCTTCCAATGAAAATTTAAGTAATATTTATGGATTATTAACATATATTTATTTTGTCTGGCTTTGTATTGTTTCATTATTTTTTTTTTTAATAACTAAATTCTTTTTTTCAAATATTTCGGGCTGTAAACCTTGGAACAATTTTTTATACAAATAAAAAAAAAGTCGTTAAAGGACCGTCAATGATACGAATTCTTTTTTTTTTTTTTTAATAATAAATTGGATTTTGTTTGAGATAATTAATGAATGAATTATTACATTTCATTTCAGAAGAAAGATCATTAGACATAAACCCAGTCTTTTAAATTTATCTACCTCTTTGGGTACAGGTAGCATTATTATGTACTTACTCCACATAAGAAAAGGCAAGTTAATAACTATTTTAGTTATTCAGTTTATAATATGTATTCAAGCGATTGTGGAAAACAAATTTTCTTTTAATAACAAATTGTATTACTATTAAAAATTGACACATTTTCAAATTTTTATTGTGTCATTATTCCGTGAGATATTATCCTCAACATCCATTCATGATAATTATGAAAGAATTTATATGTAAAAATATCCTTCTAAACTAGTATATATTTTGAAAAGACTGCCACAGAATAAAAGTTTGGTTTTTAATTGGATTTTATAGGCCTAAGGACTTATAAAGACCTAATAAAAAATTTCAACTGCTGCATTATTTTATTAATATTCTTTTTTATTGTTATTAAATTATTGAATTTAATATACTTATTAGTTATTAATTTTTTTTTTCAAATATTAACTACGTTTCCAGCAATTTCAACATGTTTTTTTTATTTCGTTGAAAATTGAAAAGCTGAAAATAATATATTAGTACTGTGCAGCATATAAAAATTATGATTAATTACCGTAATTAATGTTAGAATTAGAATACTACTAGCTTGAAATTTGGGAATTAGAAAGACTTATTTCTTTTTTTTGTTTTTATTATCTTTTTTAGTTTTCTAATATTTTTTAATTATTTAAATTATTGTATCATTGACAATATATCGCGTTCAATATTTTTTATTATGAGATCGGATAAATCTCTTAAGTTATCTCTTTTTTTTGCATGAAAAATTGTTCCTCACAGCAGTCTGTATATTTTATTATCAATTCTGATCGGCGATAAGTGTCTCATGCATTTAAATATAAGTTTAAATGTTCAAATTACAAAATTACCACGGTATTGAGTTATATTATCTGTTATATGTATTCGAAATCGGCAATGTTTCAAAATAAAAAAAAAAATAAAGGAAGTGTCAAGGCTTTTCTAATTTTATTTTTCAATCAACCCTCGGAAAAGTTTTTTTCGCCTTATCTTTTTATATAACAAACAACATATGTGTGTATTTCTTTGTATCTCTCCCCTTTAGATCACGCGTAAATAATTTACGATGATCTAGTGTACTTCACTTACACTGCTTAAAAAACTTTAGCATGATCTTTTCGAATAATAAATAGTATACCCAATTAGCGTATAATCTTTTTTTTTTTTTGGTAAATTAAGATTTTACTTTGATAAAAAGTTATTTTTTAGTCTTCTCATAGCTGAGATGTTGGATGAATGTATTGGCTTTTACCAATGTTAAGATGTCGATTGGCTAAATGGGTGGTAAGGTTGTGTCTTGTTGGAACTGAACACAATTATTTGTCGAGGGCAGTGTTGGCTTTTATAGCAATAACCACTTCTTCGTTGCAGGCTTTAAGAACAGTGCACTAGAAATCAATACATAAATCAATTGATTATTCATTCGAATAAATATTTAATTTAAAAATTACATATCCAATGAATAATAAAACATTACTCACGAGTAATTCTTTTCCTGAATCAAATTCAGAACGTAGTTGAATTCCTAGATCCCCATCTGGGATCTTGAGATCCTCGCGAAGATCTCCATTATCAGCCATTAACGTCAAATAACCGTCATCGGAAATGTCTGTTAACTAAGAAAATTTTAAATGATTGTTAATATAAGAAATGTTCCAATGAAAAAACGAATCGTAAAATTGATGTTTCAACTCGTTGACAATTTATTACCTGATAATCTTCACGTTTTACGTGTGGTACATCCATATTATGAGTAGAGGGACAAATATCTTCATATTTTTTGGAGGTAAATATATCGATTCCAACAAGGTGGACCTTAGCGTGACCATGCTTTCCAGTTTTGGAAGTAGACATTTCAACAATCTTGCAAGGTCGGCCCTTTAACATGACGAATCCATTTTTACGCAATGCTGAACATTGCATAGGAAATGTCACTGATGCACCGGAGTCACCGGTCTCAAAGTGAGTATCCTCGATATCTCCCATAATTTGGATTTATGGTCTGAAAAAAAAAAAATTAAAAATTCAATAAATAATTAATAATGTAATTTTACAATTTTTTCGCTCTTTCATCAATGAATTCTGTAAAACAGAAGAATAATTTGTACATAATATTAATATTAAATGATTTCAAATAAATTATGAATGATCTACAAATATCAAGTCTCCATGTCAGTGAGACCTGGCGAGATAAAAAAAAATGATTCGTCGGTTCAACGATGTGGAGACTAGAGTAAATAAATAAAGCATCGAGACAATGTTAAAAAGAAAAAGATATTTCACTGTGGTGTGTCGAAAAAATATAAAACCATGTGGTAGCACATTATTGTATAAACTGCAATATAATAAGAACTCGAATTTATTGAATACTAAAGATTGATGATTTGTATTTTTTTTTTCGCGATTTATTTTGCATTACCGTTAGAAATAGTGAAGAGATGGAATTAAGGAAAAGAGAAGAATTAAATGCGTGCACGATTCAAAATGTGGAAATAGATGAACTAACCAAGAACTCGCGACAAAAACTGTGAACTACGAGATAATTCAAGTAGATTTAAAATGAATAAAAAAAAAATTTAAGATAAAAACAGAAATATATTGAAAAGATTTAACAATTATTAGTAAGCAGAAATGCAATTTTAAAGAAAATATTTGCGAAGATGGCGCGAACGAGCATCTAGCCACATTGCCAGCGAGTTCGTTGTCACTAGATTTATTCGATGGTTTATAAGATGTTTTCTAATGTATTTTACCACTTTTTTTGATAGCTTAAACCGTAAGATCAATTCACTATTATATTGTTCGATTTTATAACATTTTTAAGCTATTAACACTAATAAATTTCACAAAAATCAGCAACAGCTCGAGATACTTACATGTGATCAAAATGGATACTCTAACCAGAAGATCTCACAGCGCTTGCGTAGCCGGGTGATCGAAAAAGGGGTCCTCTACACTGGAATCACGGATTTCGTCTCTACCTTTCCTACTGAACATTGAAAGTTTGTGATCTAAAAGGTGACAATGATGATTTGCTAAAAAACACGTGGAAAGCTGCCGGTTATTGAACATCAATTTATTATTGATATTGACAATCATACACTTTTGGTACACTATTCAATACAAACTGTATTATGTCAATGACAAAATTAACATTTAGACATTCATAAATCATCCCTGGTAATAATTATTTAATATTTTGGTTACCCTATTTTTAGTTATTTAGAAATAACAACATTTGGTAATAATTATTCTCATGTTTTTTATTCGCAGTTTCAAAATTGTAATAATTATTCAGTGACGTACTTATTCAAGATTAATTGGAGCGAAATCTAAATAGTACTGTAAGTTGAAAAAATAAATTTAAACATTCATTTGTTATATATAATAATTATTTCATTGTTACAGACATTGTGGACATCTTGGCAAAATTTTTAAGTTATAATGTCCAGTGAAATAAACGGTATTAGTCATGAATTACAACCATCGAGTTTCAAATTCTATGATTTTCCTCTTCAAGTAGGAGAACTGAACTTTCAATGCGAGATAATAAAGATGCAGGATAGTTTATATGTTTGGATTGGAGATGAAAGTGAAAAAAAGATGAATAATTTTTCTGTGGCGTTTAAATCAAATTATGAATCTCTACCAATAGCAACTAAAATAATGGGATCAATAGAAGATTCTGCATCTTCTAATTTAGCTAAAAGGCTTACTAAAAAATGCAACATGCCTGTTTATGTTAGTTTTAATGTTATTGCTCCGAACTTTACATTACTTGGTATTGAAAAAAGTTTGAGTATAGAATTGAAAAATCGTCCTCATATTTTACAATCTTAATCGAATGAGTTGACGTTAAATTGTATAAATAATCCATCTAATATAACGTTTTATAAGATATTTTTAATATTACCTTATAATTTGTATTTTATAACGAAAAATAAATTAATATATTATTTTTATAAACAATAAGTCATCATTTTGTTCTAACGAAACAGTTTTATTTATCAATATGGTTATAATTATTTTAAAATTATTTGTCGAGGGCAGTGTTGGTTTTTATAGCAATGACAACTTCTTCACCACAGGCCTTCAAAACAGTGCACTAAAAATCAATGCATAAATCAATTGATTATTTTTTTTTAATGAATTAATATAACAGCTGATTACAAATTTAATGGTATTCAATAACTGAACATTACTTACAAGTAATTCTTTTCCTAAATCAAAGTCAGTGCGTAGTTGATTTCCTACATCACCTTCAGGGATCTTTAGATCCTCACGAAGATCACCATTATCAGCCATTAAAGTCAAATAACCATCATCGGAAATGTCTGTTAACTAAACAATTTCAGATGGTTATCAATATTAAAAACATTTAAAAGATATATGTATATATTTGACGTTGTTCCAACTTGTAAATTACCTGATAATCTTCACGCTTTACGTGCGGTACATCCATATTATGAGTGGAAGGACAAATATCGTCATATTTTTTGGAGGTAAATATATCGATTCCAACAAGGTGGACCTTAGCGTGACCATGTTTTCCAGTTTTAGAAGTAGACATGTCGACAATCTTGCAAGGTCGACCCTTCAACATGACAAACCCATTTTTACGCAATGCTGAACATTGCATAGAAACTGTTGTTGAAGCACCGGAGTCACCGGTCTCAAAGTGAGAATCCTCGATGTCTGCCATAATTCGGATTTATGATCTGTAATAAATTAAAAATATAATGAATAAATTAATCATATAGTCAAACATAGTGATTATTTTGATGCAACAAATGTTCATTATTAAAAACTAGCAAAGTAGCAAAATAATATTCTTTCATTTATTTCCGTTGTACTTTGTATTATTTTATAATATCAGTTTCAACGATGCACCAGATATTTTTTTTATTCCATCTTGTATACGAAACATAAAAGTTATGATCGTTAGTAAATTAATAATTTAAAAAATTGATTTCTTGTTCCTATTTTGAAGAAATTCCCGCACATCAAGCTTGCCTTGAATATGGCTGGTGATGTAATCCAGTCAACTTCACTCTAATCTGTTTTTTTTGACAGTATTAGTTGGCGTGATGATCGCTAATGACGAAAAATTCCACGAATACGGAGCCATTTTGATAAACTCTCATTTTCAACTTATGCGAACTCGAAAATCGTGTTTATTTATATTTGTTTATCTATTATTCTTAGAATATTATCAATTCATCAGATAGTTAAATTAGAAACATACACAAACTTATACTGTAAATAGTATATTCAACAATACTCCGAAATTGACTTTCATTAAGATGCTCCTTTTAGTTTAGTTGAAAATCCAGAAGCATGTTCTGATTCTTGTTGAAATAGTGACATTCCCACGTGTTTTTTATGCACGGCTAACCTTTTTAGACGGCTATATTATATTAGTTTGAAAGTAATAATTTATTAGTAATAATAAATGATTGTTCAAACATGAGTAACAAAAATATGGAGAAATTATCAAAGAGTTTGCAGGCTGTTTGTGATAAAATTCCTTCATTTCATAAATTCAAAGATATATTTATCAAATATCTCCCGGAGGAGGTATGAATACCCTCAATACTTGTATATATTAAATAAAAGTATTGTTGCCAATTGAATAATGAATAAATGTTTAAAAATTTCTTTTCAGGGTTCAGATGAAGATTCTTACAAAAATGCAGTAGAAAATTTTTGCAATCATGTGCTATTAAATCCTAAATATACTCAGCACGTGGCAGAATGCTTTCCTCAATTTTTAATTTATTTATTAACAATAACAATACCAACGAGATCAGATGTATTTGATACAGCACAATCCAATGTATCAATTCATAGATTGAATTGTGTCATTCTAGGACAACTGATATCTGTACATCCAGATGTATTGGAGTAAGCAATGCGAGATTATATGCTTGGTTTTAATATAAATTTATTTACATATTTATATATGTTTTTAATACTTTTTAGATTTACTCTACGTTATTTTGATACACATTCAGCTCCTTTCGAATCTCCTGAAAAAACAGTTCCAATAAAAATGCCCAAGAAATACCAGGTAATTTTTGATATTCAACCTGTGACTGATTATGATATAGTTTTATCAACATATAATATTCTTCAAACTGCTCCAAATCATTTCAAACACAAATGGAATTGGTCTCTGTTTTATCATTTCTTAAATAATGAAAATAATGAATTACAATGGTATGCATTAAAGTGTGTGGCCATCATTTTAAATATGTCAGAATTTGCAATGGTGAGTGTAGCTAAAGCACTTATTCCTAATTTTGAAAATTTTTTAACGATTAAACAGAGGTCTCATATTGATACACTAATAACCGTTGATGAAAACAGTATTGATGAATTACAAAAAATAGTTGAACACTGTAATTGTTTAGTATCAGTAGCAGGTGTATTATTACCTGTAGTAGGTGAAAGAATTCAAGAAAATCCACCTTTAATTCAAGTGCCGTCCATGAAATCTAACTTACGAAATTTAGCATTAGCAGTTGTGTCAAGAAAATGCGTTTGTCTTCAAGGACCAGTAGGTTGTGGAAAAACTTCTTTAATTGAATACTTAGCAAATATAACAGGTCGAGGACCTTCAGACTTTATAAAAGTACAGTTGGGTGATCAAACAGATTCGAAGATGTTGTTGGGTACCTATAGATGTACTGATATTCCGGGAGAATTTATTTGGCAACCCGGAGTAGTAACTGAAGCGGTAGTATCAGGAAAATGGTTACTCTTAGAAGACATTGATAGCGCAGCTCTTGATGTTGCCAGTGTTTTAAGTAATCTTATGGAAACAGGAAGTCTATCAGTACCAGGATATCGTGATACAATTTATGCTCAAACGGGTTTTCAACTTTTTGTTACTCAACGATTAGTTTCTTCAGCATCTGGATTTTATCGTCAATCTACAAGCGTTTCTAATTTATTAGAAAAACATTGGCTGTGTGTGAATATGGATCCTTTAACCAAAGAAGAATTAATTATTGTAGTGAAGGAACTTTTTCCGTCGCTTTCAACTATAACAGCAAGAATAATTGATGTCTTTTTAATGTTCTCTATGGGTAGTCACGAAAATGATTATAATGAAAAATTATCAATTGCAAGTGGAAGATTGATTTCGACTCGTGATTTAATAAAATGGTGTAGCCGAGTTATTGTAGATTATGATGTGTCTTCACCTGAATCTGCTTTAAAAGTGTTTCAAAATGCAATAGATATTTTTTGTTGTTCAGTTCCTGATCAAAAAAAACGATTAGATTTTGCTCTATCTATTGCACCAATTTTAGGAATAGTAAAAACAAAGGCTGAATATTTTTTTAATATTTATAAACCACAAGTTTCGATTTCTACGGATCTATTTGTTGCTGGACGAGCAAAACTTCAACGCAAAGTAACTCAATTCCTCGAGTTTGATCATTCAAAAGTGAATTTTTCATTTACCAGGCCTAGTGCAAATCTTTTAGAAAGAATCACTTGTTGCGTGAATCAAAAAGAACCTGTTTTATTAGTTGGAGAAACTGGAACAGGAAAGACTAGTGTTATACAATTTCTAGCAAAAAGCGCAGGTCATAAATTAATAGTAATAAATATGAATCAACAAAGTGAATCAGTTGATCTATTGGGAGGCTATAAGCCTGTGAATATTAAAATTCTTATTAAACCGATCCGAGAAGAGTTTGAATTACTTTTTCGTTCTTATTATGCGGTTGAGCCTAATAAAAAATTTCTTGAGCATGTTGCGACTTCTTATAAATACGAAAGATGGAAAACTTTAGTTAGATTAATGCTTCACAGTACTAATGCAGCTTTGAAACGCCTAGAAGGGCAGAATAAAGAAATCACAGTGGGAAACAAGAGAAAAAGTAGCAATAGTAGTAATAATTATGAAGAAAATAATGAAACATTATTGAGATGGAAAAGTCTTTCAACAAAATTAGAGAAATTAAAAGGTCAAGTGAAGACTGAATTTTCTTTAGCCTTTGCATTTGTTGAAGGTAGTTTGATAAAAGCTTTGCAAAAAGGATATTGGATTTTGCTCGATGAAATCAATTTAGCGTCATCAGAAACACTAGAGTGTTTATCAGGACTATTAGAAGGATCATCAGGCTCTCTTTCACTTCTTGAAAGAGGTGATAAAGAATCTATCAAAAGACATAAAGATTTTACTATTTTTGCTTGTATGAATCCAGCTACAGATATTGGCAAAAAAGAACTTCCTGTTGGTTTAAGAAATAGATTTACAGAATTTTTTGTTGATGAATTAACTGAATCAAAAGATCTTCATTTTCTTGTTAATTCATATTTAGAGAATTTAAATCTTCCTTCTACAAAAATCGATGCAATTGTTAAATTTTATTTAAAAGTTCGTAAAGAAGCTGTTAATTCATTAAGTGATGGAACAGGTCATAAACCACATTTCAGTTTAAGAACATTGTGTCGAGCATTAAGCATTGCAGCTTCAAATCCATGTGGAAATATTACGCGATCGTTGTATGAAGCTTTTTGTCTAAGTTTTCTAACTCAATTAGATCATCAATCTTATCCAATTGTACAACAGATGATTACACGGGTAATATTAGACTCAAATAACGTGAAAACCGTTCTCAATGCTCCTATCACCAAACCTACATGTTCTTTTGATACTGATTATATTAATTTTGAAGGATATTGGGTTATAAAAGGTACTCTGCAACCAGAAATTCCAAATAATTATATTCTGACAAGTTCCGTTCGTCGAAATCTAAAAGATCTTGTGAGGGTTGTTTCAATAGGTAAAATGCCTGTTTTACTACAAGGAGATACATCTGTGGGGAAGACAAGTTTAATTACTTATCTAGCAAAAGCTTCCGGGCACGTCTGTGTGAGGATTAACAATCACGAACATACAGATCTTCAAGAATACGTCGGTAATTATGTAGTTAGTGAAACTGGAAAATTGGTATTTAAAGAAGGTGTTCTAGTTGAAGCAATGCGCAAAGGATATTGGATTATTTTAGATGAATTAAATTTAGCACCAAGTGATGTATTGGAAGCTTTAAATCGAGTTCTTGATGATAATAGAGAGCTGTTCATACCTGAAACCCAACAGACTATCAAAGCTCATACCAATTTCATGCTTTTTGCAACACAAAATCCTCCAGGAATTTACGGAGGACGAAAAGTTTTATCTAGAGCATTTAGAAATCGATTTGTTGAACTTCATTTCAATGAAATACCTGCTAATGAATTACAGACTATTTTACATGAACGATGTACCATGCCGCAATCTTATTGTAAACAAATAATAAATGTGATGACGGAACTTCAGATTAGAAGAAAAAGCACAGCAACATTTATGGGAAAGCAAGGATTTATCACGTTAAGAGATTTGTTCCGGTGGGGTGAAAGATATAGAATAGCTCCAAATGTTGAATCTCTATATGATTGGAGTCAGCATCTTGCTGATGAAGGATATTTAGTTTTAGCAGCTAAAGTAAGACGACCTGAAGAAGCTGAAGAAATACGAGAAGTGATAAAAAAACATTTAAAGCGAGATGTTGATCCAGAAAACTTATTTTCGCTTCATAAAAATACTTCTTCCGTCACCAGACCTATTTTAGAGAAACTTTTGGAAAAAAATATTCCTGGATTCGAAAATATTGTTTGGACATATCATATGAGAAGGATGGCAGTATTGGTGATTAAATCTTGTGAATTTAAAGAACCAGTTTTGTTAGTAGGAGAGACTGGAGGTGGAAAGACAACAGTTTGTCAACTAGTTGCAGCAATAAGAAATAAAAAGCTCTTTGTAGTTAATTGTCATATGCATACTGAGTCCTCCGATTTTCTCGGTAACTTGAGACCAATAAGAGACCATTCAAAAAATGATAAAAAATTGTTCGAGTGGATTGATGGCCCATTAATTGAAGCAATGAAGAATGGAGATATTTTTCTAGCTGATGAAATATCCCTTGCAGATGACAGCGTATTAGAAAGAATGAATTCTCTTTTGGAAACTGAAAGAAGTTTATTGTTAGCTGAGAAAAATACAGATTCTTTTGATTCTAAAGAATCAGATTGCGTGATCACTGCTCATGCGGATTTTTGTTTTATTGGCACAATGAATCCTGGTGGTGATTATGGAAAAAAAGAATTATCTCCGGCTTTGAGAAATAGATTTACTGAAATTTGGTGTGAAGGTTGTGTTTCTAATGATGATCTTCAACAAATTATTCAGCATAATTTATTGAATTCATTAAAGAATCAAGCGGATATTATTTCAAATGGAATTATTCACTTCCTAGACTGTTTAAAAGCTTCGGAAATTGGTAAAAAAATTACTGTAAGCATCAGAGATGTTTTGACGTGGATAGATTTTATTAATACATGTCAAAATAATAGAAATAATTCGAAATTGTCTTTGGAAACAATATTTGTCGAAGGGGTTCGTCTTACTTATCTTGATAGTCTTGGCTCTGGAATTACAAGCACTGAAAACAGAGATAAATTAAAATTATTCGAAGAAAGCATGTTGAAGTCATTGGAACCTTATCTTAGGAAGTTGAGAAGCTCTGATAAAATAATATGCGACGAAGATACGACAAATTGTAAAGAACAGTTCGGCATTGAACCTTTTTCTATAGATATAGGTTTGAAAGGAAAATGCAAAGACGTGAATTTTGTATTTAATGCTCCTACAACTCGATTGAATGCGTTGAAAATTTTACGTGCTTTGCAGTTAAAAAAACCTGTTCTTCTCGAAGGAAGTCCTGGAGTTGGAAAAACGAGTCTAGTATCTGTTATCGCAAAATCAAGTGGACATGATTTGCTGAGAATAAATTTGAGTGATCAGACTGATGTTTCTGATCTGTTTGGGGCGGATCTACCGGTTGAAGGTGGTAAAGGAGGTCAATTTGCATGGAAAGATGGTCCTTTTTTACGAGCATTGAAAGCTGGTGACTGGATTTTATTGGACGAATTAAATCTAGCATCTCAATCAGTCCTTGAAGGATTGAATGCGTGTTTGGATCATCGAGGAGAAATTTATATTCCAGAGTTGGGTCGCTCATTCAATGTGAAACCTGACACGAAATTATTTGCATGTCAAAATCCATTAAATCAAGGTGGTGCAAGACGAGGATTACCTAAAAGTTTTTTAAATAGATTCACTCAAGTTTTCATTGATGCTTTATCTAATGATGATTTAAAAATCATTACATTACAACAATTTCCTGAATTAGGTGAGCAAATAATTGATAAAATTGTGAAATTTAATGCTGTGATAGCATCGGAAGCTGGTGTTTCTTGGGCTTATAATGGAACTCCATGGGAAATGAATTTACGAGACATTACACGATGGTGTGAATTAATTTGTAGAGCATCAGAAGAACCAAACGCAGCTGCCGAGGCTGTAAAATTAATTTATGCTGATCGAATGCGAACTGCAGATGATAAAATGAAAGTAGGTTTTTTTCTACTATTTTTAATTAACTTTTTGTTCGAGCTTTTCTCAATAACTTTATTAAAAATTAAAATTTTTTCAGGTTATGCAACTATTTTATAATATATTCAAGCAACCAATAATGAGAGATAAACAGCCATTTATTTATATTAATGAGGAAAATGTATATTTTGATGATATTGTTTTGCCACGCACAACAGACTCATTTATATCAGATCAAAATTTGCTGGTATTAAGAGATCAAATTCCTGTTTTAAAAAGCCTTGCGGAGTGTGTTCAAATGAAGTGGATGCCAATTGTGGTAATTATACTCTTCAATTATATTAACTATTTTTCTATCTCTATAATAACTAGATTATAATAATATAGACTTTCTTAAGAATTTGTGAACAAAAACTTGTTTCTATTTAGGTAGGTTCATCGGGAACTGGAAAGAGCAGTGTTGTTCGAGTTTTAGCGCAATTAGCAGGACAAAAGCTACGTTCAATTGTTGTCAATTCTGCAATGGACACTACGGAAATCCTTGGAGGTTTTGAACAAGTAAGTCAATATTATTTTTTTTTCATTTTACACTTTACTTTTATCTGTGTACATTTTATTTGCGTTGCATAAATACAAGTTACTGCAATTTTCGAGATACTAAAGGATACCGTTTATTTTAACACTAATAATTACATGAGAAGCTTCATTATATTTAGTTAGTTACAAACTTTATATATAATTAGAGGTATATTGTGCAAATGATATGTGCTTTTCATTTCTCTTACAAATATTTTAAAGACATCATACTATGTGTTTTAAAGTCTACATTACGTAAATGACTTAACGTATAAATAATAGCCTCTATGGAGTGGACGGTTAAATTTATGAGGCTTATGACTAATCAAAACATAAATAAAATGAAAAGAGAAAACTTTGACTTTAACGTATAAGTTTTTATTTTATTTTATTTATTCCACTCTGATTATTTTAATTCATATGTACATTAAATCTTTTCACAATTCATATACATTCATTCAAATCAACGGATTATATACATGAAATTAAATTCACTTTTCCTCTGAATTAGGCACATTAGATTCCATTTTTAATTTATTCATTATAGTAGTAAAATTATGTGAATCATTTTAATTATCTTCTATTTCGTCTTCATTGATAAGCTAGTTATTTTGTTTTGACTTTCGTATTTGATCAAATCATGTCTTATGTCTTATCGTGACATGATAATTTATTTATTAATTTATTAATGACAGGTCAATGACATAAACTTTGAAATTCTCCTTTTTCCCTGGCTTTGCAGCTAGTAAACAGGGTTGGAGATGAATCTCTAATTGAGAAAAATAATTGAGACAAGCAATTTATTTTAAATTGACTTGTTCAGTTCTATATTGAAAAAGAATGAATTTAATTAAAGTGTTATACAGAAATTATAATACCTCAATTTAATGGAGATAGTACAAGTTGAATATTCAGGAGCAATAACCAAATGAGAGAAGTCAGATATTTCCAGAACTTAACACTTAACTCGCGATTACAAGTTAAAAAAAAATTTTTTTTATATGTAGTTAGACTTCACAAATAAGTTTTTGAATAATATTTCTATTCGGTTTGATGACGACTTCACAACTGGCTATTGCTTTCATCCCATGAGTTTCACAATTGTTCTAGAAGATCATTGACATCAAGAGTAGGAAAAGTCAAAACCAATTGGACTTTTCATATTCTTGATTTATCTATAGTTTTACTGTTTTAACCAATACTTTTGGGCCATATTATCCCTTCCATATTAATTTGATATATCACATTAGAGCATAGTTGACGTACGCACTAAGTTTCATCATGTACACCAACGTCACCACTTTTCTAATTGCTTCTACCGGAATATTTCGAAACTCGTCAATTTTCTATCTAAATTGTACTTTCTGTTGAATTTCTTAATATAGAATACGTGATACAACATTCCAAACAGAGAATGTAATAAAATTGAAATTAATGAAGCTATGAACTATTGATTATAACCATAAATATTACAATAAAAGAATAAGGTCAATATTTCAATTGTTGCTCATGAATCTATTCTCACTCAGTGAATCTTATTTTTTAATTAAAAAATATTTAGTAAAAACATCCATCTATTACATAATTATTTGATTAATAAAGAAATATAATTATTTTTAATAAAAAAAAAATTACTGTAAAGTTTATTAAAGTAAAAATAAGTTTATGAGCAATAATTGGGACAATGGCCTTTTAATTGTGATTTAATGAGGAATTTTTTTTTATTAAAAAATAATTATTAATTGCTAATTAACAAAAACAGACGGGTGTCACATAAATTAGCTAATTCATAATGTTTCTTATCACCCACCGAGCTTGTTACATTTTACGCTTCTTCAAATTGCATTAAATAATATAAAAGTTTATTAAAATTTTTATAAAGTATCTGAAGATGTGCAACCTCCAGAAGTCATAGTTCTAGAACATACCCCACGACTTGTATAAACAATAAATTTCTAACTAAAAGAGAACAAGAGAGAGAGAAAGAAAAAGGAAAAATTCATCTCACAATTTGATAAAATTTATTATATTTAATAAATTTACATAATTATTTATTAAATGGACCCAATGGATATATATACGTATATATATTCAAAGTGCACTTCTAATTTTATTTGTGGACGTGATATAAACATTTTAGTCTGAACTGTCAATGCCCTCATAGGTGTGAAAACAAAAGTGTGTGATTTATTAGGATATTGATTGTGTGATTCATTATAGAAATTCTATAATTTACAATATTTCCATTCGCTAATTGACAATTCATGTGACACTTCGGTGGGCGGAATATCGTAGTAATGAGCAATTCTTTCAATTTTCTGTTTAATAAAATGTAATCAAGAAGGGTAGTTCTATTTAATTTTTATTTTTATGTTTAATTAATTAAAGTTTAAATTGTGATATTTTGATGCATAAAAATATCATTTAATTATCAATAAAAATTTTCCAATTATTATTTATAATTAAATATTATTTTTGTAAATAATTTTTATCCTCTTCGTGTATTGAAAAATTAATATTATTAGCTGTTGAAAAAAATATCATTGTCAATTAGTAAGAGATAATATGAAATATAAAATAATTATTCTTTTAAATAAAAATTAGTTTAATATTTGCAAAAAAAAATACAATACTTTTATTTGGTGAAATGAATAAAAATTATTTTACAAAATGTTATAACTATTTACAATGTTTAAATTTGATAGATAAAAAGATATACACTTGAATACATTGATAAAATTGAATATACGAAGAAGATAAAAAAATTTTATATAAAAAGCATTAAAAAATCAGTCTGGAGACACAAGTCATGGAAGAAATTATCATTATTATTAATAATTATTATATCATATGGTATAAGTATATTTAATAGTATACTTATAATTAGTTGTCATTGATTTTAAAAGATACAGCACAAGAATCAAAGTTATATTATACTCGAACATTTTGTAAAAAAATATTCCGTATTGATGTCAGCTTCTTATGAAAGCTGGATAAATCCTTGAAACCGCTATTACATTTTGGCAACGTTTCAATTTACTTCAGCATCTAGATATAATAGTTTAGTCGCTAGGCATATCACTACACGTTGGACTAACAGCTGGTGGCATATCATTCATATTTGAAAGCAGTAAGCTCGGTCTTCTTGACAATTTCTCCTCATATAAGCTCGAAATACTTTTCGGCCTAGTAATTCCAGTGCCCCAAGAATCAGATGATACATTTAAAGGCTCATCTTGCTGTAAAATTTTATTGTCTTGTGTTAGATTTATTTTTATATTCATTATGTTAATCTAAAACTAATAATTGATACTTGAAAATTTAGTTAATTATCAATCTCTAAAAGGTTAAAGGCTCCTTCTTGATTAACAAAATTAGTTTAGAAACTTACAGGCAGGTATTTAGCTGTTGGAGGTAATGGTGGTTTTAGAAGAGCAACGTCAGTAAGATCGAAAGACGTTACTGCTGCCATTGGAGGTGGAGGAGGTTCTGGAGGTGACGGAGCGTTCGATGGTGCTTCATATCTAGGTGGTTGAACTGACTGGAGCGGACTATTTGTCGCCGAGCCGAGAATCCATCGGGCAAAGCTTTCACAGCAGCCACAACACACATCAGAGATACCCTGACGAAGTCCTCGATGGAGGGTGAGGAATAAAGCAGGGTTCACGAACGCATGAATATAAGCAATGTGAAGAGTGACCTAGAGATAAGAGAAGGACAACAGAGGTCAGATTGACCGAATGATATCGACATTTAGTAGCTGGAGAGAATAGATAGTCCTTGAACAGCTTGTGCCTGACCATTAATTACCTCATATCCAGTAGTGTTTCCAATTACAGGATGATGGACTAAAGTCACGAAAAATAAAGGACCCCAAAATATGACGTAAGCTGCTGTAATAACTAAGAACATTTTTACTCTCTGGACTCCTTCACGTTCCATTCGTTGCAAATAGTTTCTCATTTTTCGATGCTCTTCTACAGCACCTCCTCTCTAAAATTATTATCAAAATTATTTTTCATTTAATATATATATATATTTATATATCATTTGTATGAAAATGTTTTATTTAAAAGAAAGTCATTCTTTATTATTTCTCTAGAGATTTTTATTGTAATCACAGTGCAGACGTTCATTATATTTTTTTTTTTTTAGGTTCTTTATTTTTTATTTTAATAATGGTTTTGATGTTTAGAAGAATTTCTTGATGCAGAAAAAATTCATCAGTTAAAATTAATGGAGAAAGTTGCTTATTTTGTCCTTTAACTGTGTAATACTATTTACTCTACAATTGAAGTTACTAATTTAATAACAAAATACGTAGATACATTTATCATTGACATTCGTATTTATACGAAAGTTTTAAAGTTTTCACTACGATGTTCATACTAACGAGACAAGATTTTAAGTACATAAAGTACAACTGAAGTTTATTGAGTTTAATATGTTATGTATGTACATTCATTTTATTTCAAGTTATAATTTATCTTAGATATTACCATATTCAAGATATACTTTTTATAAACGATTTTATTTAAATAATATGTTCTTGACTACTGAAAGATACTGAAAATAGCTATTTATTTAATATGCTATTTGGTTTTGTAAAGTTAGCTTTACAGTATTCAACATTTATTCTCCTATATGTAATATGCATATATGTGCATGCTTATATATTATATTTTTTACCTTTGGCGTAGTTCCATTTCTCTGGTCTGTAGTACCGTCGACTATTCCATTTGTTCCTCCGTGTCCACCACCCGTAACATTGACTAGGGTTGTGACAAGACCTGCAACTCGTACCTAATAAGAAGAAAATTTTAAACTAAAAAATTCATCAAAATTCACGGTACCTGTTCATACATTTTTATTGTGTAAAAACATAGAAAAAAAACTAGAAAATTGAAAACTATAATGTTTTTTTTTTTACTTGTACGAAATAACAACAAAAGTGTAAAGACATAAATAAATGGCAAAAGAAAAAAAAATTAAAGAAGAAACAATGGAAACTTGTTATTACAGTTTTTATATTTCATTGCCAGAAAACATTAAACCTTGCAAATATAACAACGAAAGCTTCTTTACGAATGGTTTAGTTAAATGAAAATGAAAAAAAAAAAATTGTAGATTGACGTAAATTTAAAAAACAGATAGAAATGATGATAATACAAAAGCTTCATTTTATATTTCTTCACTGGTTTCAATTTTATGAATATATTTTTTAAAAATAGAACAATAAGACGAAAGCAAGAAATGGAAAATAATGTATGAGATACCATAAATTTGAAAATATAATAATAATATTTTCTTGATACACGAGTAGTAATAAAAATGGTAAAGAATTGTAAATGTGAGTTGAAAAAAAAAAGAAATTATCCAACAGTAATAATATTTATAATAATTTAAAAAATATTATAAATAAATAAATATTAAAATGATGTAAGTTAAAATATTATTTTGGATACGATACAGAAAAATGCATAAAATAGATGAACATATGCATAGAGGAATTCTATTACTTACAGCTTCTACATTGGCCTTAGTGAGATCTCTGTGTAATTTTCTCAAATGAAATAACGTGAGTGCCACGCATATAATATTAATAACAATCCAGAGGACATTTAAAATATAATGTCTAAATGGACCGTGTACTAGTGGGCAGCTTGGAGCATTATGAGCAGTTTCAGTGTTAGCAGCAAGTGCCCCACTGAGGAATGTAGGTCCGAGGTTTATCGTAATGCTCGCAAACCATATCATAAAAGTCCCAAAAAGGACGCACTGAAACCAAAAATATTCAACATTATTCTACAAATAAGAAACAACGAAATTTTTTAGATAAATTTATCCAAAAATCTTGACTGCTCAAATCATGAATCATCATTAGATAAAATTGTGTTTAATTACAACTATTTTTTGTTCTGTTTTGATGATAAATACAGGTGTATCAATTAGCTGTCATTAATTGCTTTGGGATCACTAATCAATCAAAGGAAATTTTAACTAATTATAATCAATTAGTTACACAAGATGATTAATTGATATATGTATAAACAAAATAGAATAATTATTCTGAGACAATTTCTAATAAAGCCGTTGATAAGCGGATTAATGTTTTAGTGTACTTGACACATTTGGTCATAACATGCATGTTGCAAACCTCAATCTATCATATCCATTTAACATGCTGTTAAGATAATTGAATATCTGTGAAGATAAAAAACCGAGAGAAGCTATGTAAAAATAATGAATGAGAAGATTTTGAATAAAATATAATTAAATATTATTTTTCTAACCTGAGGAGAATCCATGAGTAATGGAGCTGCTAAATCAGCTTCTTCATCGCTCTCAGGAAAGACAGGACTATCATTGAGCACTGTAGTAAGCATATTTACTGTTGAAACAGTAACTAATAAGAGAAAAGCTGTCTCGACAAGTGAGCACTTGTTAACAGGTTGACAGTTTAGTATGCTTGATCCGAGTGGCAATAGTATTGCAGCTCTTGCACAGTCTACCATTGCTTGATGAAATAATAGTCCTTGGGACCACCTGCAATCCAACAAGACATTCCATTCAGCTTGCTTTTGCTTGAATGCTTGACACTTTATTTCAAAGTTTGTCTACCGAGTGCTTGTGAGTATTTTCCACAAGAACTCTCGCCGAGGAATTTCCCGATTAGCCCCTGGCATCAAGAACAATATTTCTTGTACGAGGATACGGTTTACCACGAGAGATGTGCTTTTCGAAAAGGGTTGAAAAGGAGTAGGGAAACAAGCGGAAGAAGATAATCAAATGGTTACAAAAAACTAAAATTGGTTCTCTAAGAAATTCACTATACATCAGACTATATTTTATCAAAATGAAAAGAATAAAACTGTGCCAGTCAAGTCAGATATTTTTATTTTGTGGTAAAGAAATTATTTATTTCTATTTTTTTTTTTTTTATTTTTAGTTTACTGTAAATGTTGGTCTAAGAATTTATTTTAAAATAAAACAAATTCTGGTGTGACTGATTTTTTTTTTGTCTTGATTGATAGACACTCTATTTAACATGAAATGAAAACTGAATCATCAAATATTCTGAATTAAATGAATTTTAAAAATGCATAGTATTATTTAAAATGTATTCAAACAAAATATATATACAGGTATTTTTTTTTTTTTTTTTAACAATTTTTATTGATGAAATTTATCTTTATATTGTTTGTTGTGCAAAAATCATTTTTGTTGAATTTACTTTATGTTATACAAGCCATAAAAGTTTCTCTATGACTAATTCAACCATTCTCAGCAATTGATGTATAAATAAATATAAATTTTCACGTCGAGAATAGTACGATAAAATACATTTTACTCTAATCTCTATTTATATATATATATCCATGTATATGTACAGTGAATTGAAGTGGATTAATTGCTTGAATGTATGTTTCTGTTGATACCTTTTTTTTCGACATGATATTTATCTTAGCAAAATAAGTGCAAATAAAATACTCCATCAACTGTCATTAAAAATGGAGAAATGTTCTTTTAAAAATATGATTATTTATATCAAGACATGTTCATATTATTTTGACATATTTACTTGCTTTGTGAATATTTATAATACAACAGCATGACTAATTATTATAAGATGTGGGTACATTCATGTGAACAAGAGGTATAAAATGAAGAGGAAACGGAAGTGAGAAAGATGAATGTATGTCACTTGGATTAGTACCAAAGCACAGCTTGCATATGACATTACTCAAGTCCTCTGTATCACGTTAGACGGTCTGTCACTTCTGTCGACCGCATGAAAGTTTTGTGATACGGAGCTTTCAAAATGAATGACGTTCAGAACACATTTAGACATCACATTCACGTTTACACAACCAATCCATTCAATCTTCATTCCAATTTAGTGTGAGTTTTGACTCTGAATACTTGCATTGATAAAAGATTGGATCCATTTGGGTTTTATTACCTTCTGAGCTGACGTTTGGTGAGGATTAAAGCCATAAGAACGATATTTGCACCCATGCCAAGTGCTCCTAAGCTAAATATTACAGTTGCTTCAGTGACACCGCCTGGATGGCATTGGAATACTTTTGTTGCATTGGAAGACACATTTCCTGATGCTCCAATACCAAAGCGAAGATTCGCACCTATCATTGCCACAGCAGAACCTATAAATGATCATTTATTGAGTTTATTATTACTATCTAATATCAAGATCAATAATATTATAAGTGAACTATGTCAGGTATTTCAAGCTCAATCAAGTGCTCCATTCAATGATCTGTAGTTAACCGCTCAATTGTGCGTTCATGTTGTCGCATACTGAAATAATTTTATTGACTTATTATTACATTTTATCCACCAGTAGATGTTTTACATGAATCGATTTTCTTATATAAAAATTTTGAACAACTATTGAAGCATTCATGATCAATTTTCTGTAAATTAGAAAAAAATCACAAGTAGTTTATTTGAAGAAAATGTATATTAAAAGTTATTACTTTGTAAAAAGTTATTTTTACCAAGTCAACAAATCGTCATTTATTTAATTAAATTTCTTAATAGAAACAGTTATTCTGTAGAATATAAATTGATTTAAAAAAAAAACTTTCTGAAAAGATGAATTAAAAGTAATAAATGAAATTAAACTAATTTATAATAGAGTAATAGTTGTATGTTAATGAAAATTTCTTGTATTATTTTTATTCAAGTAATTAAACATTTGTTGAGAGCAATTGCAATTTTAAACTTTAAAATAACAATTTTAATAGAACTTCAACAAGTATTTGGTTCTCATTAACAATTCATAACTCATAATTAATTCATATGATTAATGTAGTGTGAGATTAGTTACTTGGTCATTACTCAGAGGTTTGTTCAGTTCATCCTTATTCTTGTAGTTCTATCATACTCATAAAACTCAGCGAATCAAATCTCGAAAATAGCCTTTAGCAGTAAAGTATTCATTGAAACTTTTAGTATATGTACAATTGAGTCTAGTGTGTGTTATAAATGTGTTAAGTTTATAGAGCATGTGATTCTCTATACATACTCTCAAGTAACTTTGATAATTTAATTAACATTTTTCTATTACTATAGTTGATTTGCATACTCTAACGATCGATATTCAAAGTACTTCACCAACTAATTACAACAATGCTATTATTCATGTATACAGTTCATTTGTCAGTAATACTGAAACAAAAAGAATCCCTTGAAAATTTCTAATTCTCAACAGTAACAAAAATAACATCAAATGTTAGCATCATATTATTTGACTTCAATTCATCAGCAAAATAACTTGAAATATATTCGTATACTAAATAAAAAAGATACTAATCTAAATGTGAAGTTGAATAATTAATGTCATTACTAATGTTTCGTTTGAAAATTGAATCATCATTGCATGAATATGCATATAGGTTTTCCATATCTTTCATTTGAATGCAGTTTTCTCATTAAAAGATTCTTAACGATGATGTTGAGAATATATACTACCAACGGTATGCTTTGCATCCCTCAAAAATGACCTAAATACTTTTGTTCATGTTAAGAAAAAATGAAATTATTTTATGATAGATTTGAGAAAATAGAAACAAAAACTCTTTTTATTATTAAATCAAATGAAACTTAGTTTTTATTTAATATTTATATACTTGTCGAAATTTTACGTGTTAGCTAGTGACAAATTACTATAATGCAATGTTTTAATTAAAAAATTGCTCACAAAATGAATTTAAAAAAACAAAAAAATGGTTCATAAATATAAACATATATGTAATGCTGCTTGTCTCGTTTTGAATAGGATAATAAAGTGCCTTTAAAGTAGCAGAAAATAGTTGAGGTGCTTAAAGTGTACTTTTTTCTGCTTTGTAATTTAATCCTTTCTGTTACGTTATTTTAACTTTGAGTTTTGCCAACTACTTACTACTTTTTACAGTAAATTTAAAATATATCTAAACAATTCTGACAATTTATAACTTTTATATTAATATTAATTTGTTACATTTCAATATATTTCTTATCTCTTTTAACCAAATTTATGTCTCTAACGAATAAAAATTTATTACTTAGTATTTTAAGAAACTATAAAATGTATTTTTTACGAGCTCGTGTTGCAATGCAATAAAATTTAGATCTTAAATGACTTAAGCTGGTTTCTGAGAAACTATTCTATATGGGATATGTAAGATTATATTAAGGAAGTAAAAAGCGATGTATATTGGTGCTCATAAAGACTTCTAATTATATTATATTTATCATTAATTAGATTTCTTCAACTTGAAATGTTTTTATTACAAAAAAATACTTCTTCTCGAACAAAGTTTTAAAGTAATGTTCATAAGGAAAAGAGAAGTAAGCTATAAAAAATAAATAAATTACTCCAAATTATGATTTCAGTTTATTATTATCTGGAATTACTTTTTTTAAATTAATTCTTGACAAGAGGAAATATGTTTTTTAAAAATTTTTTTAGTTTAGTTTAAATATTTTTATTTTAAATATTCATTGTCATCTCTTTTTATAACCAAGTACTTTGCTTAGAAAATAAAATCGTTTCTAAGGTCGTGGAGTAACAAACCATGAGAATGCTCATGACATCAAAGAGAGATGAGAAGGTATAGTTCAAGTGTTATTCATACATAAAAGGAAATAGAAAATTACTTTCGTACGTTCTGAAAGAAGCATACAATTTTTACTCACTTTTGAACAATCTTTAAATTTAATAGTTAACTGTAAAAATCACTTTTATGATCTAAAAAGTCATAATGTAGTGTGTTGAACTTTTAGAATAAAATAAGATAAATTAAATAATCGATAGAGGTTATAAGTCCCTTTGGGATTTATGTAAGGCTAAATTACTTCTTGTGGCATTTATTAAACTAAAAGTATTCATTTTCCTTCAGCATATTTCAAAATCAAATATCAAATGTGCTTATGCTACGATTTTTTTATTTTTATTATTTATAAAAAGTTGGGAGATAAAATATGAGAATGTCATTTTTTTATTTCTCTTATATGGAGGGATAAAATGAACAGAGGTGAATAATTTTGCTTCTTGGACATAAACTAAAATCAACACTCATCACAAATTCATTGACATTCACCACAAATTATTGAAAGCTCGATGACACTTGATAAATTATTAACGATAAGTTTGATCATAAAAATGATTAAAAATATAAAAATATTAAATATTCTTTACCAATCATAAGCTTTATTAATTTTTTTTTTTTTATTAAAATTTAATAAATATATTTTATTTGATAACGAGAATTTGATCTCTTGTAAATGATATTTATTTTGAATAATAATTTTAGTTATAAAAAGTTTCTCTACTTTTTTTTTTTTTATTACAAAATGGAAGTAAAGAATTACTCGTCAATTAACTGATAAGAGCTTTAACAGAGATTTAAAAAGATAAGAGTCAATGGAAACGAAAGCGGAATTGAAGCTCAACGAGACTCTGTCGTGCGGAAAAAAGGTGACAGTTACAGTGAGAATAGAGAAAAGAAAAGATAAAAAGAAGAGTAATGTAAAAAAGATAGAAGTGGAAAATTATAAAATATGAGCAAAGAAAAAATATAATATACACTTTTGATCGACATCTAATTTCTGTAAAATGGCTTCTTTGAGTTCTACATTGATACTTTTTTTATTTAATTTATTTTGAAGTAAAATATATTTCGTTCCAAATATAAATTTTATCAGCAAAAAATAACCTAATTGTAGTATGTCAGACTAAACTCTGATAATTCTACTTTCAAGAGTTTTTTGTTAACCAAAAGCTCATTATTTACATTTCTTTATGGCTAACTATCAAATGGATTTTTAAGTAAAAATCTACAAAATGATTGATTTTGTTGGAATGTAGTGTAATTTTATCTCAAATTCAAATCTAAATGTATTATATTTTCTACATTCTTATTGATTCCTTATTGGCAATCTAGTTGCAATCTCGTGATAAATGTTTTTGCTTTTCTTTCTATACTCTAATTAAAATGTTATCGATACTATATATTTTCTGATATATAAGATAATGAATTGACCAGTATGGTACCTAATTTGATGATTAAAGTAACTATCCAATTAATAAATATCAATCAATGGTTTATAAAAGTTTCTTTTCATTTATATAATAAATCTGAGTTATATCAAAAGGTGTTTTGATTTTATTTAACAGATTTGTTAATTCTCTAGTCTAATATAATATTATTAGCATTCAAAAATGCATAGTAATATTGTCTGATAATAATATTATTCTGACCTTATTTTGACTAAATACTGTTGTTCTAAGTTAATGGGTCTATTTTCGCTTTAATTCATGCACATAACTTTGTCTTCCTGTTTGAAATGAATAGTTGGAAGAAAGTTGGAAAGATGATCAAAATTCCTGTCATTTCCTTCAATGGCAATACTAATTAAACTGACACAAACATTTAGAAGCCAATATTGATAGTGTGTGTTAAAATAACTCACATAAAGTGCCATTAAATATTAAAATTTTATAAACAAATAATATAATTAAACACACTTTAAAGGATAAATAACAGATCTTCTCAGTGTTTCATTCAATGTACGATAAAGTTTCATTTGGTTGCAATTATTTTGAATCAATGACAATAGGTTTAATTAATTATCAAACTAAAACCACTTGATTTGTGGTTTCTAGTTGATCAACAATAGAATTAAATTAAAATAATTCAATAAAATATAGTGACGTCAGCAATGGTATTTAATTTTTTATGCATTATCAAAAATAATTCTGAGATTAAAATTGCACGTTACTGAATAAATTATTAGAAATTCTTTTATTTTATTTATTTTCAAAGTAATATTTTATTCATGTTCTAAACAGAATTTTTCAAAAAAAAAAATAAACAAAAATAATAATGTAAAAGAATGGCAATAGAAGTGAAATATGATGCTTTGGTGCATCAGTAATATTCTTTTGTTGGACATGGACGAGAGCGTTGAAACGATAAGACGAGTAAGGATCCGTAAAGATATTCGCTTCCGATCTACATGTAGGTATATCCGATCATAAATCTGGATTTATAAAACGTAAACCACGGTGTAGAAAGTGTAAAAATGAAATAAAAAGTAAAGGTAAAAAAGGAAGAAGAAAATGAAGTAACGAAATCACAATATATGAATAGAAAAAATGAATTATTTCTTGAATAAGAGGGGATTAAGTTGTGATAAAGATATCTTCCTCTAACAGATTGGTGCTCTTGGATTTTAATTTCATTAGATGATCTCTAAATATATCCCCAGAACTTGGAAAGTAGTAAATTTAGTTTTCCATCCTAGATCACTGACTTGGTTCTTTTTTTCATTTCCTCAGTCTCTTCTTGTTTTTCTCTGAGAATTTATTCCAATTTATTTCAATTATCGTTAAATCCGATAGTATTTTCTGGGTTGAGTTATTACTTTCTTTCAAATTGAAGTACTTCAGTTTTACTGTGAAAATATTCATCTCATTTACATCTACTATTCATATTATTATGTTATCTTCAATAAATTTGCATATTTACTTGATATGAACGGAAGTTTCTAAATTAATCATCAAATAAAGTTTAATTATTATTTTTTGTTTTAAATTTATCGTTGATTTACACATGAATGTATGGAGTAAACAGTAATAAATGTAATTGTAACACAAAGTAATATAGATAAAGTGTTGAAAAATGATTTAGAGTATAGATCGTTGATCTAACTTTATTAAGTAGAGATATAATTTAATATAAAATACGAGTGATGATTAAAATAAAATAAATTTGCATTTTTTTTTTCATCTCAGTATATATAATCTTGCTTGTGATAAAATTTTCCGTTTAGTTATCATCTCACTGTTCGTTTACTTTTGCTTGAAAGTCTTTTATCGAATGTTCCGCACTTTTCAACGATAAATGTAAATATTTTTTCGGCACTTACTAAAGATAAACTAGTGTATCCTATCGATTTTGAATTAATGGAATTTTAAATCATATCATTTTATCGAGTTAATTGATATAGTAGGAATTAATTATTTATATATTAATAGTTTAATTTATAAATCAATTTGATATTTAATTAATATCAATTTTGCTGATAAAATATTGGAAATTATTAAAAAATTTATCAAATATTTGCACACGAAGAGAAAAAAATACAGTTATGAATTTTTATATTCAATATTAATCTTTTCATTCTTCATTATCCATCATTAAGTTTTAGTTAATATAAGAAAGATTTTTTTATTTCTCTACTGTACTTGAAAAAATGTCGAAAAGTTTTTTCATTGCTAGAATTCTCGGGTCGTTGCATCGCCTAGACTGCTTCATTTTCTCTTGAGATTCACTTCGAAGTTTGCGCATGTTCCGGTGGTTCCTCTTGTTAAAATGTGCATAATTTTGTATTCTCTTCTTCTCTCTTTTTTTTCACCCGCGATAGACTCCGGTAGCAGTGAAAATTGTGAATGTTCTGAAATTATAAATGCACCGAGGTGAAGGTAGAAATTGATTTTTCTTGCTTTGATTTCATCTTCATTTAAATTATAGTTTGATTGAACTTTTCTCTCTTTTCTTCATTTGAATTCTCTATCTGAATTAAATATCATAGATTTATTACAATATTCCAGATTAAAGACTTATAGGATACTTTAGATAATCCAATCTAATTGAAGATGTATTTACATCATTAGGAAATCAGTAATTAATTTTTATTCACATTTATTTATAATTCATCTAATTGTTATTATTTAAAGTGTCAAGAAGCTTATAAATAATCAAGTAAATCATCGGTAAATATTTTGCAACAAAAAAAATGTGTGAAACAGTATTATATTTCATGAAATTCACACTAAAAAACTTTTATTCCTATGATTCGTTTTTGTTGAAATATAAAAGCAGTAGTTATAAATACAAAGTTTATGTTTCTCTCTACTAACAAAAAGTACATTTAAATATTTCATTGTTATTCAATAACAACGACAACAACAAATGAAAGGGACTATCATTGATTGCTGTCTAGTGGAAGGAATCGATTTTTATAGGATGATCGGACTTGTAAACATGAAGTGAATTTTTAGCATTGGAACCAACTGACGTCAGGAAGAAACATCAGTAGTCAGGGATAAATAGCTGAAAAACGTGTTAGAGCAGAAGTAACTCGAAAAATCTTGTTTTCTGGCAATCTTGGATAACACTGTACAACAGGCTGAGTTGAAACAAATAAAACTTAACAAGGAATGGCAACAGAGTGGTTAGCATGTTTCTACAAAGTGAATAAACAGATCAAGTAATGCATACAAGTTGGTTTCCTCTTTTTTTATTTTAATTTCTTTTTCTCGAATAAATATTCTGCACTCTGTTGACACTCTTCCATTTCTATTAAATTAGCTTTCTATTCTTGCAGAATAATTCACGTGTTATAATGGAATTTATTTTGGTATCCTCTATTTTGTGATCAAATTTTGAGCTGCAATAAGCTATATCAAAACTTTGATGTAAAATTAATTTTATATTCACTTGGAGAATTTATAATGAATTAAAAATTATAATAATTTTTTTTCGAGTTTTTAAAGTATGAATAACAAAAAGGGATCTGGTTTAAACATTATAACATAATAGTGCTAAGACTTTAAATTGAGTTTTTTTGTTTGAAATTGAAGTGTCTGCTACTTTGAAGTCCATTAATGAATGAGAAATGTTGAGTAAAAGAGAAATGAAAAAAAGTGTTAAAATAAAAGGCGATAAAAAGAAGAGAGATGTTGGGATCAATGGCTTGATAATACTTTGCCAACTAAAGCAGGACAAAATTTTTTTGTAGATTTTTGTAGGTAGTGTTGAAGTTCTACTTTGGTCTAGATTTATAATAATGCTTAACATTACTGAACAAAAAATCTTTTGCTGCTTAAGAATGTCAGGAAAAACATAGTTATTTAATCCTTTGATATTTCTAGGTCTTTTTCGTTCAATTTTTTCTTTGTTAAAATTAAAGACTGTAAAAGAACCACAATATCTCGTTAAAAGGATTTTAAAAAGACTTGATGATGTAATACTAGGATGTGGAGAAGCTGATCAGAAAGTCCAGCACGATCTTTTAACTTTTTGACCTCGTGAACTTTATATCAATATGAAACTGTACGAATTTTCTTCAAAGTTCCTTTGAAGTATTTGGTAACTGAGACAAAAAAAATCATAGTCAAGATAAATTGACATTTTAAAATATTTACAATCCAGTAAAGTATCACTACATATATTATTGGTATTATGAACTTTTATTGTTATATTTATATAGATATATATTTTCTGATATTTACTTAGCTCTCCTATTGACGAACAAAATTTTTAACAACTTGCTCAGGGCAAATAAGTTTAAAACCTAACTATTCGTCGTTTTCTTTTTCAATTTATTGTTGTAGAAATTTACTTGAATGTTTGTGAGTATTTTCACTTGAACTTAAAGTTTTCATTGTGTTTTTTTTGTTTTGTTTTGGAAAGAAATTAATAATTTTTTTATTAATGAGAATTAGAAAGTTATCAAGAATGTTTGAAAATAGAGTTAGCCAGTTGGAATTTATAGCTCAATTAAAATATAGATAGTGGAGGTTAAAATCCTAGTAATGATAATAATAGGAGATGATTTTATGTATATAATCTAGAATGTTTAATTGTCTCCGGTAGAGCATTCAACTAAGTTCCAATTCTATTGACTACGTGATTCAATATTCCTTCCTGTTGACTGTTCTTCTGTAATATTAAGAGCTGATAGCTACTGCATAACAGAATCTTTGATTTAAAATATCAAAATGTTCTTCATTAAAGTAAAATCATTTATTTGATAAGCTTAAATAAATAGTACCGATGAATGAATCTTTTGGAGATATCTAAATCCTATAAACTTGATGTAAATTTCAAGAAGTAATAGGTAATGTGAAATGCTTTGTTTTTGGTAAAGCTATTTAAGAAAAATAATTGGATCAAAGTTAAAATTGAAGTGAATTATAAAAGGCACTTACCAGCAGCCATATCTTTCTCAATCTTCTTTGCTGGTGAAAGACGTCTTTTTGCTTTCTTGTTGGAAACCTCCTCTTTAATGTCACCCTCTTTAACAACGTCACACCAAGTCCTTCTAATTAGCCTGGTACAATTTTGACGCTCTCAATGACTAAATGCTTTCTCTTTGATCGGCCCTCATTTTTTGAGGTTTCCTTCCTTTTTCTAACTTTTACATTCCTTTTTTTTTTTTTGGTTGGCTTCCTGCTTCACTTATGAGTTTTTGTTACTCTATATTTCTTCTAACCAGTCTTACAGCCACTTCAAATGACGCCAAGTGAGTTTCTCTAACAGACAGATGTGAGACTGGTCTCATGAAAGAAAATATTGAATTTTTCAACCATCATAGACAAGCTTTTATTTTATTAGGAAATATGTTAGGGGAACAAAGGTTTTGTTCAATATTTCTAAAAGCCTTTTGAATGAAAAATATTTCCGTTAATTGAGACTTTAAAGTATTTACTTTAATTTTTTAATCACTACAAATAGTGATTTTAATTGAACAAAAAGTTAAAAAATAAATAAAACATTTTTAATTACCATTTTAATGAATTTTTTTCATTTGTATACAAAAAACATAAGAAGAAAAACTAAAGTGTAGTTCAAATAAAAGATAAAAAAATAAAAGTTTTAACAGGTTTTAGAATAGAATTATTTTTTTTAGGGTTTTATTTCTATTTTATTTTTTTTTATTGTATTTCAATGTCTGCCTCACGAAAATAGAGAATAAAAGGGAAGTAGTTACAGAGTGAGAGAGAGTTTGTTACTCTATCTGTGGGAATGCAACTCACTGTAAACTAAAATCGTTCCGAAACTACTACTATTCTTCTCTGTCCAATGTAACTCTTCTTCCACCACCTTTACTCTTTTCCTCCTCAACATCATTCGTCATCTTCCTCATTCTCAGAAAACACACAATGTCCGTTAATTTCCTGATATTTCTATCTTCTATTTTCAGTAGCTCTCCTACACTGTTGGTTACTTCTTGGTCATCAAAGTTCTCCTGCAACAAAATAGAACAATTTTTAAACATAATCAATCACCAAAAATAAGATGTTAATGAAATATCTGATAAATGCATCAATGCTATCAATCTGATACAACTGTTGGTTGATGTCTATCAAAGTATTTTCTATGATACACCACTTTCTTCAAACTTTCTATTAAACTTTAAATCTAATGGCTGTTTTTTTCCTTCAAAATTAGTACCTATTAGCTTCAATTGAATTGATTGATGCTAATGATTGCGGTGTCCAGTTAGTTGAGAAGTTACAGGATGGAAGGAATAACGATTATACCGAGTTGTAGTGACAGGATGACCCTAGCATCTAGTAGTACGAATCAATTAGTGTCAGACACAATAGTTTTTATCTAATTACAAAGATGTGTAGTCAATTATTAGATTACTTCAACGATTTTTACAAAGTTTTATAACTTTTTTGATTCTTTTTTATAATAAATCACCATTTTTATTTGTAGTTCATATTGTTAAAATTTTGAGTTATTGATATATATCAAACTAGTTGTTATCAAACTAATTTCAAAGTTTAAATTTATAAATCAATTAACACTAATTTTGATTATGAATGTACAAAGTTGTAGTGAAAGTTCGAATAATTATTGATTTTCATAACAAGGAGACATGTAGGTTTTAGTATTATCAAATTTTTGATTGAAATGTTTTTTTTTAATTTTATCAATATCCATAATAAAATAATTGCAAAGTATAAGTAAGTTAATAATAACAATAAATAAAGTATTCATAGAGATTAATTGGCAATTAAAATGAAACGTGAACTGATGGGCCGGTGTCAATAAAATAACCAGTAGTATAGGTCAATTAATAAAAGGTACCTACAGTCAGTTTTATTTGAGTTTTAAACTAGATTTTACTCCATGAGGAAATGAAAGAGTGTATATTTAAATAAAGTTATTACATTTTTGTTGAATTATTTAAAATAGATCTAGACTGCAGATAATTTACTAAAGAATCTTTTATAATAAATAATAATTTAAATATTTTTTTATCATTTTCTTTTTTTTTTGGATTTTTTATTTTCCGAATAACAAAGAAATCAAACAGAATATTTAGAGATCTCTCTGGTGGTTCACAAATTAGTAGGATTAGCATTGGACTACGATAAAAGCGAAATTCCGTTGACACACAACCTATTCAGGCAGAAGAGCTAAATTTACGTTGAAACAGAAGATAGTGCATATTCGGATGGATCTATTCCAAGTGCTATTATCGAAGTCAAGTTCCAACACTACTATTGATTCATGAGAAACGTACAGAGTGCATTATCCTGCTGTGAATCATGCGTAATTCAAATATTATTGTGCCATGTGTATTCATGTTTAGAAGTGACATAGTATTATCAGTTAAACAAACAAGATGTTCCACTCGAATATTTTATCGTTATTATAAATTTATAATATTTTATTGTCAAGATTTATTTATTTTATTTTTCCTTTCATTCTACAATGACTCATTTATTCAAACGAACAAGAGAAAAATGATCTTTTTCTCATTCCACTTGTTTGAAATGTAATTAAAGGATTAACATAATATCATATCATTAAAATGCTCGCGAAAACAATGGTAAATATTTTGCGAATTAAGTTGCGCGTTGAAGTGTTATTAACTCATGTGATAATTCCTTGTATAAATTTCACTAATCACTCTACGGTTTGATAAGCCCGCGCATTTCTGTAGTGTACCCTCAAGCTTCTATTCCTCTCTGTGCCGGGCTAGCAAAAGAGAACTTGTTCCAGTTATTATTACGGTTCCCTCGGGCTTACTATTAACAAGTACCTTGCTAGCCATAGCTTTTTTCTTTTAGTTAAATTTTTTTGTTTTAACGTAATGATCATTTTTATTTCTTTTAATTACTTCATATTTCTCTTTTAAATTATTTACTTTTTTTTTTAGTTATTTCATATATTCTAACAATTATTTTTGATTTATCACACAGTAAAATTTTTAAAAATTGTTCAATTATATTAATAAAAAAATATTTTTTCTAAAAAAGTCTAGTGGGATTATGTGGTATGAAAAATATTTCACTGTTGATTTTTTTTACGTTTTTTTTGGTTAGTATTTAGCTTTCGAAAAATTTGTGGAATTTTATTTTATTATTAGAAAAAAATTAAATATTTTTATGTTAAAAAATAAAATTATTAAAATTAATAATAAAGAAAAATACAGCAGTAGTTTATTATTAATCTTTTTTAACATAATAAAACAAAAAAAAATGTTTATATGAAAATGCAGTTATTTTATAAAAGTAACACATGATTTAATTATATGTGTAGAATAATTCTGTTATTCTAAGTTAAAAGCTGTCAAAAAATTTTTTTAATTAAACCGTTGCCAAGTGATTTAAGTGAAATAGATTTAAAAGAGTTTAAAGTAAAACAAAAAAAAAAGCTCACTAAATAGGAAAAGTAATTTTGAGATGAATTTTTTTTTTTTATTCATCAAACATTTAACAACAATTGAAAATGATCTAGATAATCCACAAGCCGATGGTTATTAGAATAGTAAAACAATAGTCAGATAATAATAGTTGTATTGTGCGAAGGAATAAAGGAAATAAAAACAACGATTTTCATACCACTTTTCCTGTTATTCTCATTTTAGTTAGAACGACTTTCCCTTATTCTGTGAAAACTCTTCGTCTCTCTACGTTAAAACGTCTCGACAGCTTACTCACTGAGGTTATAACAATGTCCGCGTAATTATATGCTCTTGGCCCGAGACAATGAGAGAGAGAAATAACGAGAGAAACCATTCCTGCTTTGTGTGTCAAAATTATTCATATAACAAAGAGTACAACTCAGCTTGAGAGTTTCTTTTTCAAATCTTCTAATTATTACACCATTAATATTGATTATTTAATTTTTTATAATTTATTACAATTATTTAAACTGTAATATCTTACGTTATACATTGTGTATCTAGTTTTAAATGTTAGCTAAACAATCGAATGCCAATTTTCCCACGGTTTACGTGTAACACTTCAACAAGCAGAGAAGAATGCTAAAGAAATTTCCTTTAAATAGGTATTGGATCCTTACAGTCTATTTTCTTGGAAATAACAAATTATTTCTATATGAAGACAGTAATCGACACGATATTCATACTATGTAAAAAATAATTTGCTCAGAGAATAACACAATAAAGTAAAAATATGACACTAAAGTGCAAAAATAAATAGTTTTAGAAAATTGAATTTCATACAAACACGCAAAGAATCTATTATAAGAGAAAATAAAAATGAATTATTAAGGATTATCGACATTTTCCAATTAATTCTTTTATTTGAATTTGATTCGATAGTTTTTGTGATTCACTAATAAATAAAATAGTCATTCAAATGGATATATAAATATTTTTAGAATATTGAAAAGATAAAAATAATAGATAAATAATAATAAAACTATGTCAAAAAGTGTAGAAAAAAAATTTCTACACACTGTTTTATATTAGATATATAACTAATGTCAGTAATGAAATACAAATTGATTCTCTTTTGAAACACATCTACATACAGTAATGATCAACATCAACCTGATGGTGATTGAAATAACGTCAATAAAGAAAAAACCTTTAATCAACTTGTGAAGGATATAAATTGAAAAAAAAATTTATAAATATTTGCAAAATCTAGGGAGAAAATTGAGTATGTCAATCACACAGGTTGAAAATTAACACTGTAAAGACTTTGTATGTGTCAATTATGTGATAAATTTTTCTTTTGCTTTATAAACTATCGTTAAACAAATAAGTATCATGAATTTATTAATTATAAAATCAATTAATATTCAATATCGAGGTTAATATAAAAAATAATAATGGTAAATTATTTATTGTAGAGTATAAAATATTTTAATCTATTTTATCAAATTCTTTGATGTAAGAAATTACTTACACAAAGTTCAGATGAATAGAGGAAGGGAAATGTTACATAAATTAAGATGAATTACTTTTATTGAAGAAAAATCTTGAGAAAATTTGTCTTATTTCAAGAACTTGTTGGTTTTCTTTTTGATAGGTCATTACAGATAATTCAATTCCGATACAAAAAAAGGATAAATTTAAAATTTATTCAATAAAATAAAAATTGAATGTGATGAAAAAAAAAAAGTAAATGTAACGAAATAGTAAGATAAAAGCAATAATATTCCAGGAATTTTGAGGAAAATTCTCTCCACGCTAAACGATGTACTGTTTTATGTCCATCAAAAACTCGTTCAGACATGTTATGCCTGTTGGAAATATCTAGATGTGCATAGCATTCTTATGGAATAGTAAGTGAACTTTCATTTTTATGTACCTTTTTTAAAGTCCTCTTTAGTAATGGCAGAGACGAATTTTAAATAATTTATGCCTAAGATTAATTGATAGTACAATAAAAGTTAATAACGAAATATGAATAGTGTAATTTAATTTGACAATTATCATGGGAACAATTTTCACTTGAATATTTATTGAAATATAGCCTTTATATGGGTGGTGTAGATATTAATGTTCGACTAGATGATTGTGGGCTTCATAAATTGCCGGCTATGAAGTTTACCTACGAGTAATAATTATTCTGACCTTTTAATAACTGGATATTATTTTCGCCACTGCAGTGGAAAATTTTTTATTTCTGTAAATGCAATAAAAATGAAGACTCTTGCAGCAATTGAATACTTTTTTTATATACATCTTTTGTCAAAAAATAAATAAAATCTCCTTTTAAGTATTTTTGTTACTGAAAGATGACGTGTATAGTATGAGGATTTAAAGTGAAAAGTCTATAGTTGAAATAAAGTGTTTTATGAACGAGATTCGTTCGTGTGTACATTTAAAGAAATAAAAGAAATAAATGAAAAAAAGCATTCGATGAAACTGAGGCTACAACGTGATGAGATTTTTTAAAAAGTTCCCTTTCATCTATATTTATACCTATCCTCTAAGAGTTCTTCACTAAACTCCACCAAATTATAGACAAACTTTATTGCCAAGATACCAAGAAAAAATGAATATTTTCTGATACATTTACACCTGATGATTTTATTTGAATATAAACAAGTGGTTTTATTTTGAATTACTTTATAAATTTAAATAATTTATATAAACATTATAAATTTATTTATATTTTTGTTGATTTAATAATAATAATAATTAAAAAGCAAATATTTAATTGTGTTTTAATGATAACTTTCAATCATGACATTCACTTTCAAAGTTTGTTTTAATAATAACAGTTATTAGATAAGTTTGAAAAATTATTTTAATTTTAAAATATTTTATTAATATTCACTAAAGTATTTAATTAACCCAACTTGTTTTACTGTCAATGTCAGCTTTAGTAATCATAAACATAAAAAAAAATTTTTTTTCATTTGTATTCTGAATAAAACAAACTTGGCAACAAGTTTAAATATATTATTTGATAGTCTAGTTTTTAAGTACATGTTTAACAACAGTTAATTTAAGATTGTATTTTAAAATATTTGAATTATTGTTCTTTAGATATGTTGGACAGTCGACAGTTTTGTTGTTGGCAATGTTCAACTGATTTGTTCATGTTTAATTTATAACTAAAACTAGAGCAGATAAAAAATCTTTTCTAATTTATCATAATTTTTCTTTCTTTTCTAACAAACTTTTAAATTGATTTTAATCATTTTTAAATCATCATTTCGTTATATTTTTCAATATTATCACTAACATATTCATATAGATTTTTTGACACAAATATTTAGATATTTCCAACAAATTTCAATGATAACATTATTCGTAATTAATTTTAATTTTCATAATTGTAATATATTTATTCAATTTTCGACCAAAAGAACAATAACATTAATAATTAATTTATAATGCACTGTGAAAATACAAGAATATTACACACCATGTTTCAGATTATCATTGAAAATTCTAAAAACAGCACCAATTTACGTATAGTTAGAGTAGATGAGTCAAACAGTATTGGAGATTCATTAAATTAAGTGAGTAAATGAAAATAATGAGGACCGATATGAAAGTTATTAAATAAACGTCGATTTAAAGTGTTGGAAATTGATTATTTTTTTCCAATAAAACAGCATAAAATGTTAAAAAATACAAAAAATAAGTAATTGGAATATTTTAGTTGTTGTTGGAAAACATGATACACTAGTGTATTGAGCATATCTGATGACTAGAGGAAGTATCTGATCTATTGAAATTAATTGCTTTATCATATAATATTGGAGGTTGGATTACATCCTTAAGTAGGATTAAATAGCGCTTACATTGTTCAAGTAAAGTTCACTTAGTTCAACCAAAATCACAGAGTATTATTATGATTGAGATGATTGTATGAAATTTTAACAAGAAATAGTGATATTAAAATCTCGAGGACTTGTTATTTTAAAGAAAATAATTTATGAAAGTAAAAAAAGAAAAATAGTATGAAACAACATTCACTTTTTGTTGATATCTTCATCCCCTTGAGCATTGAGAATTTGATTGATGTTTTCTTTTAAGCAGAGGCAAATAACTTTCTTAACAAATATGCGGTGACTAGACAATTTTTTTTTTTTTTTATATCTTTCATTATTTTATTTTCCATGATATGATTAATTTTTGGGTTCAATTACTTTGTCATATGTTTTTTTAATAATAATCCTATTTTGAGTTTCATTAAAAATGAAACTTGAAAAGTAACTTAATTATTTAAACAAATTATAAAATTTGTTGAGAATATTTCAAAAGACTTACTTGTGGAATATTAATTAAAATAATAAATAAATAATTGTCTTATTGAGATAATCAATTAAATTAATATTCAAATAATTTACATGAAATAAAATTAAATTAAAAAATTGAAAAGTTTTTCACTAGTTTATTGAATGTAATGCTCGACATAGTTAGCAGAATTTGATATAAATAAGAATAAATTTTTTACGTCATGTGATTTAGTTTTTTTTTTTTTTTATTTGTTATGTTAATATAGATTGTTTGTGTTTATTTAACAAGTTAGCAGCTTTTGAGGTAGGGTGTACGGGTTCATCCTTTAGAGACTTGAATTCATCCTGTTTCAAGTGTCCCGAGGGACTAAAACTGCAACTAGGAGGGATCAACGTTTAAATCAAACCCGTTAAGCAGTTTGCTCTTTACTCAGATCTGGGCCAAGCAGTTCGAACTTACTCATGTCTTTCACAATCTATTTAATTTTTTATTATTAACAAGACGTTAATGACTTTTTTAATTACACATTCACTAATTCAAATGAAATTAATATTAAATGTAGTAGTGTTATAAGTGAAATATCAAAGTGTAACTTTAGTAATGTGTGTTTAAAATTGAATTTTATTTTTGACAGAATATATTATTGATGGATATAGAAATGGTTGAAACAAAAATTTATACTTTTGATTATTTAAATTAGGATAGCTTCGAAAAAGATGAATGAATCGCTTGTAAGCTAATTGAGTCTCTCATATTCTTTCTCTCTTGCTTTTGGCTGTAACTGAATTGACCTGAATTCGACAGCCACTAAATTAAATCTAACAACATAGGACTATTTTACGTCACAAAAATATAAAGTTGGAAAAATTGTTACAACCGTCTAAATTTTATTTTAAAAAAATAAAAAATTGAAAAATCAACGAAACAAGTTGTTGAATGATTTTTCGAATTTCT